TAATTTGGTAACTTTCTATGTAGTTCTGTTTGTACATCAGATGCATTTACCTATTATTGTTTTGTGTGTGCATTAGATCAATTATCATGGCTATGGAATAATCAATAATTAGTATCCTTAAGCATAAATGTCCTTTTTCCGAAAACTGTATTCATTAAACCCCATTACTCGTTATTATTTACTCGTTATAGTGCAATTTTCAACGTAATGCTGTTATTAACTCTTTTCCAGTAATTTATTGAGATCTTCCACTAGTATAAGGTTTGTTAGCTTGTTCAGTTAGTAGATTTTATGACCTGTTTATGTCAGTCGTAAAACTCCAAAGAACATTTCCTGTCCAATACAGTGTTCATAGTATTAGGTATTGGTTTTTCTTGAATATTTTAGTCTCCTTTTGTGTTAGTCGTGTGTTCATCAGAGCCGGCCTTAGGTACAATGCCCACACATTGGGTATAAAATACAGAATAATTTAAAAGTATTAAAATTTTACAATATTTATGTTAATTATAAAAAATTAAAAGGGGGAATTATTTTATCATCAATTTTTTGTTTGCACCATCCAAGGCCGGCTATGTGGTTTACAGTTGAAATCTATTTAAACTTCGATATCTATCTCCACTGATTTGACAGAATTTTTAAAAAAAAGAATCGTCTTTATTACCTTATATAACGTATCTATTAAATTTTGAAGTAATACAAATTTTATATAAAATTCTTATCAACCCATTTTTAATGTCTTAAAAACAAATCATTTATTATGTTGAATAGTTGCTAAGGCTTAAAGTTAAAGAAAAACATTTATAAAAAACGTGCAAAATTTAAATTTCCATGTTATTTATACATTACTTACATAGAATAATTAAACCGTTGCAGTTTGCTTGTTTATGAACACATTTGTATAAAATTTAGCAAATAAATTTATTTAGTAATAATCTATTAACATTTTACAAAAAAAATTACCCTTCGTTGTAGCAACTCGCGTGATAACTCATTAAACTTAGGTTATTATTTAACTTCGGAATAAACATGACTATTTAAGGAGATATTTTGATGAAAATCCAATCGAGCAAATAGAAATTCACTTATTCCGCTGGTTTTCTGTGGCTGGGGTATCTTGTTACTTCAGTTATACTACTTAAAACATTGATTAAGCAAATAAAATTATCCAACTATTGTAATACAATGGAACAGTAAAGCGCTACTCATAAAACTCACACAGAAAAATAAAATAATACATTGTCGACTAAGCGTACAGTGACACTACTAACGTCTTGAAACAAACATAAAAAATCGTTTTACAATAGGATGAAAAGTCTATAAGCTAATCGGCACAATAAATTCGGACACCTAGACTAAAATCTAAAACTACAATTGAAATTATTTGATCCAGAGGAATCATGGATCAGAGTTTCGGTAAAACATTACAGTATAATGGAACAAATTAGATACTATTCTAGTTAGTTGTTTTTTATCTTTATGTTTTCCAACATGTTTTGCTTACGTTTATAGTTTAAGGTTGTGTAAATAGATTATTTTCATACACGATATGTTTATAAAGTAAATAAAATAGCTTATTTAAATTTTTATCTTTTTGAAAAAGCAGTTGCATTTTGTTTCCCTTTCGTTAAGGTTACCTCTCCTCAGATTATACCTCAGATAATTGACTTGATTGCCTCAATTAATTATATTCATAAATATTATATACTACGATGTATTTTACAATTGAAATAGCTCAAAGTTGTAGTGATGTGCATAGAAAAAATATAATGCATTCTTATTTGTTGCAAGTTCCTATCAACCATATACATTTTGCCATATAACTTGGTAATTTAGGGGACTGCCTCAATCATATTTATACTGATTATTCTAAACATTGTATATTACCATTAGAATACCTCAAAGTTGATGTGATGGACTTAGGAAAAAGATTGTGCACTTTTTCCTGATGCGAGTTCCTATCAACCATATACATTTTGCCATATAACTTGGTAATTTAGGGGACTGCCTCAATCATATTTATACTGACTATTCTACACATTGTATATTACTATTAGAATACATCAAATTTGATGTGATGGACTAAGGAAAAAGATTGTGCACTTTTTCCTGAAGCAAGTTACTATCAACCATATACATTTTGCCTTATAGCTTCGTAATTCACTGGACTGCCTCAATAATATTTATACTGAGTATTCTACACATTGTGTATTACCATTAGAATAGCTCAAAGTTGATGTGATGGGCTTGGGAAAAAAGATTATGCACTTTTTATGTTCGGAGTTTTAATTGATCGCGTTATGTTAAGCCATAGCTACGTATAATGTACACTACGGACTCAAATATGCCTTTTAAAATACGTCAATTAATTAGTTTTAACTTGTATACACGTTTTATCAATGTATAATTGACATTATATAAATATAAAAACATCATTTCGCACCGTATTGTCATTGATTTGTGTTTCCGACATCCCTGCAAAACACGTTTGTGGCGTCCGCAGACGTACCAACCCACATCTATTACAAACCGAAACTTTTCCTGACGCAAATTCTTATAAACCATATAGATTTTGCCTTATAGCTACGTAATTCACTGGACTGCCGCAATCATACTCATACTGATTATTCTATACATTGTATATTAGCATTAGAATACCTCAAAGTTGATGTGATGGGCTTAGGAAAAAATATTGTGCACTTTTCCTGATGCGAGTTCCTATCAACCATATACACTTTGCCTTATAGCTTCGTAAATCACTGGACTGCCTCAATCATATTTATACTGAGTATTCTACACATTGTATATTACCATTAAAATACCTCAAAGTTGATGTGATGGGCTGAGGAAAAAGATTGTGCACTTTTCCTGATGCGATTTCCTATCAACCATATACATTTTGCCATATAACTTCGTAATATACTGGACTGCCACAATCATACTCATACTGATTATTCTACACATTGTATATTACCATTAGAATACCTCAAAGTTGATGTGATGGGCTTAGGAAAAAGATTGTGCACTTTTCCTGACGCAAATTCCTATCAACCATATAGATTTTGCCTTATAGTTTCGTAATTCACTGGACTGCCGCAATCATACTCATACTGATTATTCTACACATTGTATATTACCTTTAGAATACCTCAAAGTTGATGTGATGGGCTTAGGAAAAAATATTGTGCACTTTTCCTGAGGCGAGTTCCTATCAACCATATACACTTTGCCTTATAGCTTCGTAAATCACTGGACTGCCTCAATCATATTTATACTGAGTATTCTACACATTGTATATTACCATTAGAATACCTCAAAGTTGATGTGATGGGCTGAGGAAAACGATTGTGCACTTTTCCTGATGCGAGTACCTATCAACCATATACATTTTGCCATATAACTTCGTAATATACTGGACTGCCGCAATCATACTCATACTGATTATTCTACACATTGTATATTACCATAAGAATACCTCAAAGTTGATGTGATGGACTTAGGAAAAAGATTGTGCACTTTTCCTGATGCGAGTTCCTATCAACTATATACATTTTGCCATTTAACTTCGTAATTTACTGGACTGCCGCAATCATACTCATACTGATTATTCTACACATTGTATATTACCATTAGAATACCTCAAAGTTGATGTGATGGGCTCAGGAAAAAGATTGTACACTTTTCCTGATGCGAGTTCCTATCAACCATATACATTTTGCCATATAACTTCGTAATTTACTGGACTACCGCAATCTTACTCATACTGATCATTCTACACATTGTATATTACCATTAGGATACCTCAATGTTGATGTGATGGGCTTAGGAAAAAGATTGTACACTTTTCCTGATACGAGTTCCTATCAACTATATACATTTTGCCATATAACTTCGTAATTTACTGGACTGCCGCAATCATACTCATACTGATTATTCTACACATTGTATATTACCATTAGAATACCTCAAAGTTGATGTGATGGGCTTAGGAAAAAGATTGTGCACTTTTCCTGACGCAAATTCCTATCAACCATATAGATTTTGCCTTATAGCTTCGTAATTCACTGGACTGCCTCAATCAGATTTATACTGAGTATTCTACACATTGTATATTACCATTATAATACCTCAAAGTTGATGTGATGGGCTTAGGAAAAAGATTGTGCACTTTTCCTGACGCAAATTCCTATCAACCATATAGATTTTGCCTTATAGCTTCGTAATTCACTGGACTGCCTCAATCAGATTTATACTGAGTATTCTACACATTGTATATTACCAATAGAATACATCAAAGTTGATGCGATGGACTAAGGAAAAAGATTGTGCACTTTTTCCTGATGCGAGTTCCTATCAACCATATAGATTTTGCCTTATAGCTTCGTAATTCACTGGGCTGCCTCAATCATATTTATACTGAGTATTCTACACATTGTACATTACCATTAGAATACCTCAAAGTTGATGTGATGGGCTTAGGAAAAAGATTGTGCACTTTTTCCTGATATGAGTTACTATCAACCATATACATTTTGCCTTATAGCTTCGTAATTCACTGGACTGCCTCAATCATATTTATACTGAGTATTCTACACATTGTGTATTACCATTAGAATAGCTCAAAGTTGATGTGATGGGCTTGGGAAAAAAGATTATGCACTTTTTATGTTCGGAGTTTTAATTGTTCGCGTTATGTTAAGCCTTAGCTACGTATAATGTACAGTACGGTCTCAAATATGCCTTTTAAAATACGTCAATTAATTAGTTTTAACTTGTATACACGTTTTATCAATGTATTATTGACATTATATAAATATAAAAACATCATTTCGCATCATATTGTCATTGATATGTGTTTCCGACATCCCTGCAAAACACGTTTGTGGCGTCCGCAGGCGTACCAACCCACATCTATTACAAACCGGAAAAGCGCCGATGAAAAGAGCCGCTAACTTCACGACGGTGATAGGGGTGTTATGTTTATGTATGTGTCGACTGTCGGTTCGGTGATTGATTGATTGATTAATTAATTTTATTACCTACACTTTGTTCTTAGATAATAATTTACATCGTTGTAAAATCTTTACTAAGTTTACACATACTCAAATAATTCTAACAGTCAAATGAACTAGGGATAAAACTGTCACACATATATTTTACAAAACTAACATACCATTTTATTATTTATAGGTTAGGTATTATTAAAAAAAATATATTTTAGATTAGGTTTAGGTTATGTGAGGAAATACCTACAGCAGGTGTTTTGATATTCACTTCCATTGAAATTTTTATTAATTTATTTTAGATAATATGGCTGATGTATTTTTCAAACCTGATGCTCAACAACTTTTGAACAAGAAACACATAGTCTTCTTTGGTGACTCAAGTAAGTTAAGTTTAGGTCAATAGACTATTGTGTTTTTTTTTAACTTGAGATGTCATAAGCCTAGCGAGGGACCCTAATTTGATAGGGCTTATAGTCAACTTATACTTCTTTTCAATTCAGGGATCCTAAAGTGAGTCAAATCAATTGCAACATCACCAATGTTGGCCTACGTCCAGCATTTAAGATAACCTACTCATTTAACAAGAGTAGACCTATGTCATGTCACAGAAAACATAGCCTACTACTAACTTATAACCCAGAATGCCAACCACATGGTAAAAAGCGTTAAGTACTTTGAGAGAGCTTTGCCTGTCATTCCGTAGGCAGCGCCACCAGCGTTGCTATGCTGGTGGCGCTGCCTACAAAATGACAGGCAAAGCTCTCTCATAGTACTTAATAGACAAATAGACAATAGACAAATAATCTTTATTTACACATTCATTAAGAATATTTAGTATAGTAGCGTTAACGCTTTTTACCATGCGGTTGGCATTCTGGGTTATAGTAGTATGTTTTCTGTGGTTATGTTAACAAAAGTTGTTATAGAATGAACAGCTTTCTCTTAAGTAGGACCTACCTACACCAGCTGCTGTTACGCTCCTTTCACGCTAAGTATATATTTACGGTTTTTGCCATTTTGAAAACAGTGAGATTTTACGTTACCGGTATACCAATAAGTTATTATATATATGCCTTATAAGTTATATCACATTAGGCTATTCACAGTTTCTGACACAATAAACATAGGCCTAAGCAGTGTCCGGAATTGAGAGGTCAGATTGTTAGCGATAACCATTGCAACTGCTGATCTATTTGCACTGGCTGGTGGGTTCCTGTTTGATTAACCCTAGAAAGGTATCGTCATACAGCATGACGTTAAGGGTATCAATACGTAAATTTGACCTACATAGGAATTGCATAGGCCTAGTAAGGTTTCGTCATACAGTGTGACACTAAGGGTATCAATACGTAAATTTGACGTACTGCCAGCTGTTTTACTATACACAAGCCGGCCATTTTTATATATAGGGTATTGACACGTAAGTTTGACGTGTGCGTTCCAAGAAACCGACTAGCAAGGAACATAAAGAAACACACTATGACGCTAAAAATAACTCGTCCTACGTTAAATTTACGTGCTATACCCATCTAGGGTTAAAAACCATTCAGTTACCGGTAGTCAACTTCTTTGGCCGCAGTGTCTCCTCCAGCTGCAGTGTCAGAAACGAGTGCTGTACTCAGATGAATCTACATGTAGTGTAAATCTTAATAGTAGTGTCATACATCTGTTTTTCATTCTACTATGCTGTTAAATGGTCTATTTATTTTATTTTTATTGTTAAACTAGCTGAACCCGGCAGACGTTTTCTTGCCTTTGACTATTTATAATCCCGCGGGCTTTGCCTCATTTAACTTCTTAATTTTAAAGATGATCTCGTTCGCATGGCTCAATCACGTCCTGGTTGAAGTTCGTTCGCTACACTCACTCACCAGGGACGGGTGGCGTCGTCCTGTAATCCAGCTACTAGGAGGTCACGAATTGTGGATATTTATAGGGATGCACTGTGGATGCGATGCTCCCTGGTGTGGATTAACGTCCGCACTAGTGAGTACTACGACTATCCGCAGTACTATCCTGATAATTAGACCAATTCGTAAATTACAAGGAAATATGTGGTTCGGATTCCACTATAAACTGTAGGTCCCTTAGTTGCCATTAGCTGTATGGGCTATTAATTAACAGCTGTGTCTAAGGAACATGTCGGCCTTAGTCACTAACAAGACTACAAGATCGCGCTACTCATCCTACACTCATCCTTCACTCATATTTGGGTTAAAATACGCACATAGTGGCGTCCCCATCTTAACTAATTGATAATTGATTTAGGTTGAGCTCGTTCGCTACGCTCACTCACCTTTAAGTTGGAGCTCGTTCGCTGCGCTCACTTGCCTTCAGGTTAGCTTGTTCGGTACGCTCACTTGCCTTCAGGTTAGCTCGTTCGCTACGCTAACTCGCCTCCAGGTTGAAGTTCGTTCGCTATGCTCACTCACCTTTTGGTTGCAAATTAGCTGTCGTCATAAATGTAAAAGAAATAATAGTGCTGCACCCTGTTGGTAATCCTTGTAACTTTAATGCTATTAAACATCATAGAACAGAACCAACTTGTTTAATTGAAACAGCTGTTAAGATTCATTAATTCCATTTCTCATAAGGTTAACATGGGAAACTCCAGAGCCACTGGGGCGGAGCCGATTGGACGGATCACGAAATTGGTGGTGTATAAACCTATTCCATGACATTCTACACGTATGTACCAAGTTTCGTGGCAATCGGTTCAGCGGTGTCTGAGTTTATCACTGCCAGACAAACAAACAAATATATATACAAACATCCTCTTTTATACTTATAGATAGTCTATTTATATTGTTTTTGTTGTAAATGGTCTATATTGTCTTGTTGTAAATGGTTTAAATCACTTATCTGTGAAGTAGCAGCTGTAAAGCTGCGCCTTTGTAGTTCAAAATATCTGTACATACCATGAGTTTACCGACCACCCGCAGACACTCTGGATCAAACGAAACAAGCCCTAAACCTTCTTGCTGAAATTATTGACACCTTTCCTGTATTCAACTCATCCACCATGGTTATTGGAGACCTCAATATCGACGGACTCAAGCCTTTGACCGAGAAGAGGCTGCTGACAGAAATCTTGTCATCATACGACTGCAAGAGAATTAATTTACCTGCAACTCGCATCTCGACTTTTTCTTCTACGTACATTGACGCGGTCTGTACAAACCTAGATCTGGACCTGATCAATGTCGAAGTGATCAACTCCGGCATCTCCAATCACACCGGACAATGCTCCATACGCCTACCTACGGCTATCACCAAGCAATCAACTCACACCAGACGGATGGTGACCGCGCGTATCCTTGACCAGCTGAAGGTTCAGCTTTCTTAAGAAACTTGGGAAAGTGTACTCAACAAACACGACGTTGATGAGGCCTACAACGAATTCATGTACATTGTTACCACAATCCTAAATGTTTTCATGACGAAGGTGATTAAGAGCTTAGACAAAGATTCTTGGCGGCAAATAACCGTTATATTTTAACTGGGCGTGCAGAAGACAAGCTAATAGCTAATAACTTCAAAAAATCGTAAGACGAGGTTAAATTCACTTCGACGAGATTTTAATGCCAAGCACATTCAGAACTCAGACAACAAGAGCAAAGCTGTATGGGATGTTATAAATGGTGAGCGGAAATTCATAAAACCTACAAAGGCCGAAATTACATCTCTTCTAATAGCTGATACCCGCCAGGAGGACCCTCAAAAAATTGCTCTTTAAACACTTTAACGATTTTTTTGCAACAATCGCAGACAAAACCCTTGGCTTGGACAACTCTGCAACCTCAATCACTTCAACTGCCCAAGGAATAAGCTGTTAATTCAAAACTAGAGTTCTTCACACCAACTCACGAACTGGAATTAAAAACTATCATAGACTCCTTGAAGTCTTAAGTCTTCAACTGGCTTGGATGACATATCATCGAGAATGGTCAAGCACTGTAAAATAGAATTACTTCAGCCCATTCTTCATATAACAAATCTATCCCTGGCCCAAGGCGTTTTCCCCTTAAAAATGAAACAATCAAAGATATACCCTTTACATAAACGAGGGAAAAGGGATGATGTTGGCAATTTTAGGCCAACATCATTAGTGCCGACAGTATCTAAGATAGTGGAGAAGGTTATATTAACCAGGCTACTTCAATATATGATTGCAAATGATATCTTGACTAAAAGACAATATTATTCAGGGCTTCATCAAAAGCCGCTCAACTATGTCAGCTCTGGTGGACCTTTGTGAACATGTGATAGACTGCCTAGAAGAGGAGGAAACCGTCGCCAAAATTTTCATTGAACTAAGCAAGGCATTTGACTGCTTAGGCCATGATCTGATCCTGTTAAAACTAGAAGCCTTAGGAATTCAAAATATTGCGATGAAGTGGTTTTCTAGCTACCTTTCAGACAGACAGCAAGTAGTTGAAATCCACCGGATAGACGAAAAAGTATCGAAGATGATTAGATACAGCCCATTTCCTGTCACAAGAGGCGTCCCTCAAGGTTCTGTCTTGGGGCCAGTGATGTTCATTCTCTTCACCAACGACCTACCAGAATGTGTCAACTCTTAAGGACAGTGCTTTATGTAGGCTACGCAGAGGATTCTGTAATCGTATCCTCCAGCAAGTCCTTCCAGGAAGCTTTCGAAGTCAAATCTTACATTGCCCTGAATGTTGCATTAGACTACTGTCAAAATAACAACCTTGTGTTCAATGAAGACAAGACCAAGCAAATGACTTTTGGTAAAAACCCATTCCTGGCTTGCCGAACCTTGACACCGTGAGCTCTACAACACATCTAGATTGCTGTTAATTCCACCATCGATTCCACATTGACATGGATACCCCATGTAGATATCCTCTGCATGAAATTAAGTAGCGCATTATTCGCAATCAGAAGAGTCATGGCCTCCAGTACATTGGAAACAGCAAGAGTCGCTTACCACGCCCTCTTCTAGAGTAACATGAACTATGGAGTACCCCTCCGGGGAGGGTCATCCTGCGCCAATCTGGAAAGAGTCCTACTACTCCAGAAGAGAGCCATACGAACAATGGCAAGGTTGGGTTGGCGAGATAGCTGCAGAGTGACTTTCAGAGATGGGGAATACTCACTATTGTAGCCGTATACATCTTGGAAGCTGCGGACTCTGCATGCTCCAGAAGCCTCAAAAGAAATTGCCATCCTCACTCTTACAACACCAGACATGCTGGAGACTTCAACCTGCCCCTTTATCACAGGAAGTCTTTCGAGATGAAACCTTCCTACGCCGGAGCCAGATTCTACAATATTCTACCAGAAGAATTGAAGTCTGTGTGTCCCAACCAAGTAAAATCTCACCTGAAGCAGTGGCTGTCCCGACGTCCCTTCTATACTGTTAAATCCCCTGACGCCTGTCAAATCTTAACGATTTTGATTAAAAGTTATTCTCTCTCTCTCTCTTTATTGTGTAGTTTTTGTTGTTAATAAGTTAGTCTATTTACATTTGTTTTTGTTGTTTAAATTGTTCATTTATATTGTTTTCATGCAACATGCCTGTATAGCTGTTACTTCCAGTTTAAATCTCTGTAGGCCTATATTTAATCATAAAAACAGTGTTGTAATCGTATTTCACACTAATATTAATTATTGCTCACGCTATATCTATTTCACATTAAGTTCAAGAGATTTATTATACCATTCAGTAATAAATACGATAGGTATAACGTCAAAACTATGCTAAAAATAAATCAAACCAATTTATATATAGATATATATATTTAGGCTACCTATATTTTTATATATTTATGTAATGATTTACGGTATATTTGCTTTTTAGAAACACAGCATCTTTGTTATTAGCATTATTTGTTGCCAATGAAGACGCACGACCATATGAATGAGGCCCTTAACAGTTAAAGAATAAAAGCCACTTCACTACAAGTATATTCCACTATACCTAACATTCCGGAGAGAAATTATATTAACAACTTTATGTAATTGATAAGGCTGAGGCAACTGACAAGGATCCCAAGACCAATTTCTCAAAACTATGCTAGAGGGTTATTCATTGGCACAAAAGTATGATATGATGACCAACGTGACGGAGGAAAAAATCAAACTTACACAGCTTAAGGTTGAACCTCCCTTTGAAATAAGAACGAGCCTTCTCAACAAACAGATATTTTTCTCAAATAAAAATGTAACTTAGCTTTAATCTGCATTACACTGATGAAATCGCGGAATGATCCACCAATACGATTTTTATACTATTTAAACGATAACTCCGATGACGTACCGTATGGGAAATATTTTATTCATTGAATGATCAACCATATTTTTTACTGTAATCCAGCTACTAGGAGGTAACGAATTGTGGATATTTATAGGCATGCACTGTGGATGCGATACTCCCTGGTGTGGACTAACGTCCGCACGGGTGAGTACTACGAATATCCGCAGTACTATCATGATAATTAGACCAATTCGTATATATCAAAGGCAAAAATGTGGTTCGGATTTCACTATAAACTGTAGGTCCCTTAGTTGCCATTAGCTGTATGGGCTATTAATTAACAGCTGTGTCTAAGGAATATGTTGGCCTTAGTCACTAACAAGACTACAAGATCGCGCCACTCATCTCCATTCATACTTGGCTGAAAATACCTACTTTGTATGGTCGCCATTTCATTGAAAAGTATCTGAAAAAAAATACTATCTGTAACTAACACAATAGTAATTATTGCTTTTACACTTATTGCTCATCAAACAATGCTAAATGCTCAAAATTTGTAAAATTTCACTCTATTTATCTCAGTTAGATGAATTAGTGTAAGCTTGAAAGTAACCGTCGATTTCGACTGATTTCACCTAGTATTAGTATAATGTATTAACTTACGGCCTGCTTGGAAACATATTTTTATTGTTTTATTACAGTTGGTTGATCTTAAGTATGTTTTCTTAATATGCTTACTATAAGGTACTACTTTTACCTACTGTTTACAATTAATCTTTGTTCATTTTTCAGATGCTCGAGCTATTTATAAGGACCTTGTTTGGCTGCTGAATTATAACCAATTGATTGACCAGAGCGCTCTAAAAAGGAAGGTAGGTCTGTCATTGTTTATTTACCCATTTAAATTAGTTAACTAAATCATCTTGGATTTCCAGAATACAGTTTAAAAAAAATTGTTTTGTTACAAATTTTATATTACGGTACCTAAACCAGTAGGCCTATAGTAGCCTATAGCTTAAAGTCTACTGAATATATAAAGTGAGTATAGCAGGCCTACGTTACATTTCAAAATTATCTAGTGGCTATTGGCAAATCCTGTTTATTCTATTGAGGATTTTTATGGCGCAATGAAGCATGGCCTATTTTTTTACCTTAGAATAGGAATCTGTAGAAGGTAGGTAGGCCTATATATTTATTTTTTGCTTGCTTGTGCACCTGCATGGTTTTGCTGTTATTTTGTAGTTTGCAGTTTTTGCAGCTTTATTCGTTATTAAGACTTATCGTTATTAAGAAAATAACTGCAAAAAAGAGCCATCAGATTAATCTTCAATCTAAAATATAGAGAGTCTTGTAGATCCGTTTTTCATAGAAATAATATGCTGACCTTCCCATCACTTTTTATTCTTTAATCTTTGACCTTCTTAAAAACAATTTGACAATGTTTCATATTAGAGAGTCATCTCACTACAGCTTCAATCTTAAAAGGAACTTTGACCTACCTATTCCACTATCCCGTACCACTTTTCATAAAAACCAGTCTTTCTCCATGTTTATCCGTCTTTTTAATTCTCTTCCTTATACAATCAAGGGCAAAAATAATAAAAAAAAAAAACTTAAAGCTTGGTCTGAGGGAATATTAGTTGATAAGGAGTTTTACAGTGTTACTTTATTTTTAAAATGCAAATAGTTTGTACCATTTGAAGTTTATATCTTTATTTTAATGAGTTATATTATATACATTGCAAGTACGATTTTTCATGAATTTTTTCAGCAAGAACCTACTTTCTGCGGTGACCGATTGGATAAACACAGTAAATTGAGTAGGGGGAGAGAATATGAAGAGGAAAGATCGTACACGGTGAGGACTAAACTCTTATTACTTTATCCCTGCATCCTGTGGTGTCTTCAATCTGACATCTAACAATTTATTTGATCAATCATCAGTACCTGCTTTGGTCTTTAGTATGATACACAGAAATAGTAACAATATTTGTAGGCAGGTCTACTGATAAAATAAAGTTTAGAAAATGAAACAACTCAATAGTTTTTTCAATCAATATAAATTTCAAAAGGGACTCAAAAGCCTTACACGTAAGGGACTTTTGTGATAATCATAACATAATCTAGTCATCATAATTTTAGATGAATCAACAAATTGGATCCCCCCTTCCCATTGCCTGTGCAGTATTGTTTTGTCAAAAATTACTTCTAATTCTAACATAACATTGACAGACTTAAATATGATAATAATTAAACATTCATAAATTCAGGATCCCTACAATAGTATTACTTTTCAACAAAAACATTTGCTTTAGAATACATAAAGAAGAAGGATTCCATACACAGTTAACTTACCCAAGGAAAGAGTTCCAGGCAGTTAAAAACACTCAAGTTCACTTCACAAATAATCATATATTTCAACTCACAAGGGAGTGAGTTCAACTTCACATAGCCAGGTTTAGATGGCCTAAAGCAAAAATGTATGGCAGTTGGCAGTACATTGAAAAGTAAAAATAAAGTTACATTGAATAAAGTGAATCCACTGTTTTTAAGCGAATTTCCCATATATGGAATAAGCTATTACTTTCATGGTATGTTTCATGGTAAGACCTGGACCTGGGACTTATGTACTTTTTTTGTTTTGAGTTTCCCAGAGGCCAAAAACACCCTCTGTTTAAATTCATATGTTAATTAATACAGGGTGCGACAAAAAACCCGATCTATTTTCTGTAGCACAATTTTCAGCGACAGGTCTTCTGAGGGTGGTGGGGGTAGGCTCGTTGGAAAGCTTGAACACTGCCATCATCTGTAGTCAGGTAGCAGTGGTATCCTGAGCAATGCACATTTGTTACCGAGTTGTATTTAAAAGTAATGATTCTGTTATTGCAACTGGGGGCGGTTCCGTGCATTCTTTCAATTAGGGCGACATGGAGAAGTTCCGTTGCATAGCACAATCATGCGGTGGGTTACAATAGTGTTAACTTACATTTTTTCGAAGAAGTTAGCGAACCAGCATGATCTGATTATGGGAGTGGGAGTAATTGGTGGTTATATGGGGTGAAAATGGGGTTTTCAATTTGGCCCTAAAAACATAACTAAACATTTCTCAATTTATTTCTAAACCATTTTGTAAATCTTAAAAAAAGAAATAATTTAGTATATTGAAGCGTTGTTGTATGCCTAACGGTTATTCTTATGGACAATAAATAAACCGGTTGTACTTTACTTGTTTATGGATGTAGGCCTATTTAATTTTAATCAAATTTGGCAATTTTGTTTATTTCATACTGAGCTATCAACTTTTCAATAAAACACACCTCATTACCACCCCCTTAGCAGCAAAACTTTGTACAATACTAATTTAAATTAATGTTATTTAAATATGAAATAAATCTGACAATTATAATGGAATATTTTAGTGGAAATCTAGCTAGGTAAATGGATATTCGCTGAGTTTGCAGGTTTGCTGCGGCGAGAGTATTTTTTATAGTACTGGATTTAACATTCCAATGAAGTGCTAGTGGTTTATGGTTTGGTTTCAGTACTCATGAGTCCACCAATTTTAAGATGGTGTTTTGGCTATAAAAATCATTTTTGAATCTTGTAATGTATAAGGTACTTTGATGTAGGGTTAAATTTTATATTGTATAGTTTTTATGACAGTAACATTTTCTCAGTAACATATGATTTAATTTCTTTTAGAGAGATGGAGTTAAAGTTGATTACTACTTTATCACCAAGTGTTACACCCCCATGTTAGTGGACATGATGGAAGACATCCACCTGGGATCAAGAGAGGCTCCCGATGTTATCTACATCAACTCTACCCTCTGGGATGTTAGTAGGTAAGTCAATCTATAGTCTTGTCACTTCCTAGTTCGAGCAATGCTAGAATAGCAAGACAAACTATCAAATACAAGTTTTATCCAACTTTGGCTTATTGGGGTAGTCGTGGTGAAAGGGACTTCATAGAATTAAAAACCATGGGAAATGAAAATGTAACAGTAAAAGAACAGGTACTCACAAGAACGCACTATGAGACTACACAACCAAAGTAAGGGATTTAATGTCAAAGGTTTTCCTTCACGTATGTGAAATGCCAAATGGCTAAAAAAAATTATCAGAGAATAATAATTGTAGAAGAATCTGTGCCAAGATTGTGAAAGAGAGAGAAAAAGATGAAATATAAACGTTTAGATAAAATTACAATGAAGAAATAATGTGATGGTTTTGCCTGTTTTGAGCTGTAGTTTTTTAGTTTTTAGCGAATTTCCCATATAATGAATAACGTCAACACCCTCCATACTTGGTTATAGTGGTGGATAAGTAGGGGTTTTCTACCTTCTAATCCCTTCTTGCTCCGCACAACCTAATCCTCAGCATGATATGCTCTCCCTTTCACCAAGCTTAGCTTTTTTACTGTTTTAGAGAGGAATCTGGATTTCTTGTTTATTGTTCCTGTGATGAAGGTGTGTCTATTCAGTAAACGTTCGGCAAGAGGAATTTTGATATAAAAATTGTCCTTAAATAAATGGTAACCTTTATCGAGCAAACCGCTTTTTGACATAACTTCCATGACGACACGCTCCGTAAACAATTCTTCAGAATTTGCACCTGCAGCCAAATAGTCCCTCCCACTATATAATTCTACATGAATAACATAATTGATTTTGCTGTCACACGACTGGAATTTCTTGATGCCGTACTGTTTATGTTTTTTATTTGGCAACTACTGGATGAAAGTGCACCTGTTCGCCAATCAAACTTTCGTCAATACAGACATGTTGGTTTGCTACAAACTGCTTCTCGAAAGCTGAATTCGCATGATCAAAAAACCACCTTATCTTCAACCAAGGGTCATAATTGGGGTGGTCTCTAGGAACATCACGTGCAGATGTCATATGTAAAAATGTGTTAATCAAATTGAATCTGTTGACAATCATGTGTTTGCCATAAAAAGGATTTAGCTGAGATTCTCTAGTGACTCAATAGTATCTCACGTTCTTTTTTACAGTTAGGCCCATATTTATGAGTAATGCAAAAAATTTTTTCATCTCATTGAAATGGACAAAGATACCTTTGTCCATTTCTGAAACCTAGATTTAGGACTCAACGTGTCCCGCTTTTCTGCAATTACACGGTCAGCATATGCATTCGTTTCTCGTGTAAGTAATTGCCAAAATGGCACAGTCAAAAACAATGACAAATAGTCTAGAGGTGGACTATTTCTGGGGGGAAGATCTTTAGACCCCGTTTCCCTAACTCTAAACTCAGGACTAATGTCTTTTGGTTCCTCTGGAGGATAAACCCTAACCCAAGGTTCTGCTAAAAGAGGACGGACAAGAGGTGGTGGATGAGTAGGCCTACCTGGTTCATCTATTTCCTCATTTATAGCTAATTCATCATGTTCAGAGGTATATAATTCACTTAGATGGGGGCTGTAAATGTCTTCATTCCACTGGAAAAGTCCGTAAGTGAATGTTGAGAATCTGACTCATAGTCAGGAATGACAATTTCAAAACCACTTACGGGTTCATCAGGATCATCTATCACGTTCGAGTCATCTAAATCAGTAATATCATCTTCTAGGGCATTTCTAACATCACTACTATCCATTTTAGAACGAAAACTTCAAGTAAAACACTAAGCAAACGCGAATAAACAACGCAGTAAACACAGCAACTTACTAGTAGAAGATAGCAGACAGCTGTCGCAACTTTTGTTGATCATAGTACAACAGAACATACAGTTAGCGTCTGCAGGCAGGCATCGGGGCAAAGCTTGTAGTTTGCCGATTACAATGATACTATATACCATACAGTTTGTGTTATATTAAGGGGCTTTAGAGCGCATGAAAAAAATTATTGTTAACTGTCGCAATTGTGACAGAAGACCGTCAGCGGCTGGCGGGTACTGTCGCAATTGTGACAGTTAACCGCTGGAGGGTTAATGTTGGTTTCAATATTAATTTGTGTGTTTGTGAAGGTGGGGACCTAATGGTGTCGTTGAATTCAAAGACAATATGTTGAAGTTGGCTCGTCTGTTTAAGTCTAGTCTTCCTACCTCAACACTAGTAATCTGGGCCACGGCTCTGCCCATCTCCAGTAAAGTTCAGAGCAGTCTCCTCATCAAACAGGTGATACACATAGATGAGAAATAATTATCAATTATTTCAATGTAGCATAGTCATCCATTGAGCGTAACAAACAACAAATCATATATTACATGTTGAATTTCCGCACAAGTGGAATTAAATTCCCTTATGTGATGGTTCTTACACTTACTTAGTTACTGCTGTGGCCACTGGTACTGTAAATGGTAGGCCTACTTGGCCCAAGGCTATTAAAAAGAAAAAGAGGTTGCCTCAGTCGCGCGTATGACGTCACCCGCCGACCCGGATCTGTTTACAAATAAATAAATGAAAAACAAACAACAATAACAAAGTACTTGACAGGTGACAGCTGTGTGAATTAAAAGCAGCACCGTCCGGGTCGGCGGGTGACGTCATACGCGCGACTGAGCGGACTGAGGCAACCTCTTTTTCTTTTTAATAGCCTTGTACTTGGCCTCCCCCCAACACACTGCTAGATGGTTGTAATAGGCAAACCAAATTAGAAACAATCACACAAGTCACATAAAATATTGTAAATCAATGGGACAGGTATAAATTTATTTACTCATACAATTCTTTGGTTGAGTAAATAGTTTGTCAAGGCTCTGAAAAATGTATATATGGTTCTAAGACCATTTTGTCAATCTATTGTGTAGAATATTTGAAATACTCTTATAATTTTTGCAGACCCAGATCCAGACCCTGTAATTTTTAAAAGAAGAACAAATACCTGTAAATTATTCAGCGAATGACGGTGACTATATTCTACCTTCCCAATTATTCTTTCCAAAGCCTTGCAGGCACTTGATTAAACAATTTATTGTACTTCAAGCAACCTACAGTAAAAGCTCTCTAATCCAGCATCCGATTATCCTACACTTTATTTATAATCCAGCATCGGTTAAATGGTCTAAAACAAGTTTATGAATGATATATGCTTTTATGCTTAAAACTTCTTTAAGCCATATACCTCGTTCGGCAGGGTCAGGAGCGATAGGGAGATGTCGGGAGCGAATGGAAGAGCTATTATAGCTGTTTTTAGAAGGTACATTCAATAATCCGGCATAGCCAAAGTCCCGAATGTGACAGATTAGCGACGTAGGCCTATCTACTGTTCATTAAGCCTCTGAGTGGTTTAAACATAATTCCAAATAATAACCTAACAAGTAACTTTTAACTGTATGTTCTTGATAAAATAATAATATAATAATTGCTATTTTCAGATAGATTTCCTGCAACATACTCTACGTTTTGATGTAATGGAAGCCAATCAGTTTGCCAGACAAGTGATGGTGAATCACGGGTTCGACGTGCTAGACAATCACTTTCATATGCGCATGCAAGCCCACAGGTCAGCAGCTAATTAACGTTACAATATTTATAGTAATTGAACTAAATGTTCTTAGAATACTCTGTAGCTCTTCCATGGTTTAAAACATGGGCCTAGCTATTATTGATCATTGGGATTTTTACGTAAATGGTAGTGGCTAAAGAAACAGATGGTCTTAGTCAATATCAAAGCTACAGAAGGTTTCTCATTCAATTCTAGTTGTATCCATTACTCAGATTCAGTTTCAATTTAGCAGCATGACACCCGGTCTCAATCTTAAGACAACTATGAACATAGTACACAAACTGAAATAAAAATAATAGCTTAGTAATAATTTGACTAAAATTCATTATTATAAATGCATAAATATTAAATAATTTCTTTGGTGTTACCTGTAGTTTAATCATATATGTATTACATAAAAATTCAAGTACAATGCTTCAAAAAGTGCAATAACTTAAATACTCTCCAATATACTTATTGTCCACTGTTTTTCAGACGAGTACATGATGGTGTTCATTATTTCCCTACTGCGATTCGACTGCTGACAAACTTACTTCTTACTCATATAGGTAACTATTTTAATAATCTTTATTTAAAATTGTTTATGTTGTTATCGTGTGTGCATTTTTAGATATTAACTTTAAAAGTTACTTAGCCATAACAGTAATTGGTGTTAGTATAAGGATCCCACTTCAAACCTGTGATTGGCAGAGAGAAGCATATAGAAGAAGAACACACCATCAACTACCGAATCAGGAGCCGGCTTTGAAAGCTACTAGGAAGGACCTTGCCCAGACAGTGAGACCTATCTCCAGTCTAGAATATATGACGATATCTAGCATAGTAATTGCATGGATTAGATAAGAACAAATATTACAAATATTTTCTAGTAAAAGTAAAACAATCACACCACTACAAAAATAAAACAGCTGATATAGAGGAGAATAGGCTAAGCAGAAATAGTATCTGCAAATTAGGACTCACAAGAAATTTTTTTAAACAAGGAAATTTGTTGCCTGCCATTCAAGACAACTAAAGAAAAACAATACTACATAAAAATAAAATTATAAAATAGTAAAATTTATTAAATTACCTTCAAAAAAATCTTAAAAACTTTGAAAAAAGGCTTATTCAAACCGATAGCCTAGGGAATGTAAAAAAGGGGAAAGAGTGACACAGCTTAAGGGGATTTGCCACTGAAAATAGGTAAAAATCATGAAAATTTAAAAAAATATTTTTTTCATTTCTTTGTACATTGGACCCTATTGCATCCAAACAGTATGATATAATCCATGTCTGAATGTTATTATATGTTATAAACAACGGGTTTCGCTCTTTACGATAGCTACAAGATCATAGGACACCTACTTATTCAAATGCGGTTTTCCGCAACATTGAAATTTCACGTTTTTCAAGACAAAATGTGATATATCTTGAGAGCCACTAAAGGTACATTGTTGAATTTTTTACTACTTATTCTAGACAATATTAGGAAAATATTTAGGTAGAATTAGGTATCTAAGTTGATTAGGGAGTGAAAAATATTTGTTTTTTAAATCAATTATTTTTATATTCTTGAGTGTGGCAGATTGCGTGAAAATATAATAAAATCTAAGTTCTTACCGTCAACGCAATCAGGAGTAATATTCCACTACGGCCGTTTCGGAGATGACTCCATCGTCAGGTGCGTAGTGGTACACTAAACTATAGTCTTGTCACATTTAACACGAGTTTTCTTCATTTGCATTGCGTCAGGGGGTGAATAAATAATACACATATATTTACAGGACGGACACACGAAAACACGAATACACGAAAACATTTAGAGCACGTGCACGGCTTGAAAACTGACGACCGAAGTCTGAGTCGGTCGTCAGTTTTCAAGCCGTGCACGTGCTCTAAATGTTTTCGTGTATTCGTGTTTTCGTGTGTCCGTCCTGTAAATATATGTGTATTATTTATTCACCCCCTGACGCAATGCAAATGAAGAAAACTCGTGTTAAATGTGACAAGACTATAGTTTAGTGTACCACTACGCACCTGACGATGGAGTCATCTCCGAAACGGCCGTAGTGGAATATTACTCCTGATTGCGTTGACGGTAAGAACTTAGATTTTATTACAATTATTTTTTTTAAAGAAAAGTTATAATTAATGTGTCACAGCAAAAAAAGTATCTGAGATATTATTAAGAATCTACCTAACAAACTAGGCCAATCTCTATAGTTCCCACTTTCTCAAAATACATAGCGAAAATCATTTTTAACCAGATAATGAACCATTTAAATGAAAATAACCTCCTAACTGAAAAACAACACGGATTTAAACTAAAAAAATCTATTACCACAGCAATTTTTCAATTCTGTGATTTTATAACAAAAAACTGGGTAGAAAAGAACAATGTCAAAGGAATATACCTGGACATAGAAAAGGCATTCTACAGTCTAAACTGGAAAACCCTTATAAATAAGCAAATTAAATACTCTTAACATAAAACATGATGCACAAAAATTGATCAAAAGTTATCTCACAAACAGAAAACAACAAGTTGAAAAAGCTACATAAAAAAGAAATATTGAACTAAAAACCAAATCTAAATTTTAAGACATGACTCAAGGAATTCCCCAATGAAACATCCTAGGACCCCTCCTTTTTATCATATGAGAAAAATTTTCCGGAAAACCTTCTAAAAGGAATGGACTGTATTATTTTTGCCGATGACACCGCAGTACTAATACCAAGATCACCACCTTATAACCAGTGGAGGAATAGAAAATATTCTAAAACATATTGAACGATTCTGCAAATCAATATACCTTAAAATCAATAACACAAAAACTGTTACAATAGAATTTTTCTGCAAGTCAAACTCAAACAAAGATCCTTTAGATAAATCAAATTCAAACAGATCAAATCATACTAAAGTTGGGAATACAAATAGACAAGAATTTAAAATGGGAACACCATATTGACTTCCTGCAACAAAAACTATCTACATCAATCTATGAGAAGGATAACAAATCTGACCAATTTTACTAGAACCAAAATTGCCTACCATGCACTTATAGAATCACACCTCCGTTTTGGAATTGTTGCCTGGGGCGCAGCAAGTACAGGCCTTTTCCAATCAATTTTTATACTACAAAAAGAAGCAATAAGAACCCTAAATAATCTCCACTATCAAAAACACTGCAAACCATTCTTTAAAAAAATCTCACATTAACATCCCTGTACCTAGTTGAAGTAATAACTCAAGTAGTGATGGGCGGATCCAAGAAAATGTCGGTACCGGATCCGGATCTTGAAAAATTCTTCGGATCCAGATACACACTGTCATAAGGGCGGGTTAAAAAAAACGTAATTAACAGAATGCCAATTTAAATCATACTGTTTAAAATTAAATTGGTAATGTTTACACAGACATAGGGTATTTTAAAGTGATGGACAAGACCCAAAACTTCGAGATTTGCATCGGGTGAGATTGAAATACTAACGGGATATTTTTGAGACGAGATTATAGGCCGTTAGCTTATCATCCAGGTACAAAACTAAAAACTAGAGGTGTGCAGATATCCAAAAAATCGGGTCGGATTCGGTTTGGAAAGATACATGCCATTGCCATATATGTTATTTGCATCAAGAGACAAACACTGAGACATGCCTTGCCATATAAGTTATTTGCATCAAGAGACAAACACTGAGTCATGGCCTTGCCATATAAGTTATTTGCACCAAAAGACAAACACTGAGTCATTGCCTTACCATATAAGTTATTTGCAACAAGAGACAAACACTGAAACATGGCCTTGCCATATAAGTTATTTGCATCAAGAGACAAACACTGAGTCATGGCCTTGCCATATAAGTTATTTGCATCAAAAGACAAACACTGAGCCATGGCCTTGCCATATAAGTTATTTGCATCAAAAGACAAACACTGAGTCATGGCCTTGCCATATAAGTTATATGCATCAAAAGACAAACACTGAGCTATGGCCTTGCCATATAAGTTATTTGCTTCAAGAGACAAACACTGAGACATGGCCTTGCCATACAAGTTATTTGCTAAATTTTATAATTAAAATAATCCATGAAAAATTTATTTATTTTATTTATTATTTATTTTTATTATATATTTTATTTTATATTTTTATTTATTTTATTTTATTTTATTATTTATTTATTTTTGTTGTATAGATACAAACATCGAGACATGGCCTAGCCATATAAGTTTTTTGCATCAAGAGACAAACACTCGGGGAAAAAACGGTCTTGTACATGGATACAGACAGCTTTGTGTTAGTAAAAAATCGGGAAAAAATCGGGGTTGTACAGTGATACAGATAGCTTTGTGTTAGTAAACAAATCGGGGTTGTACAGTGATACAGACAGCTTTGTGTTAGTAAACAAATCGGGGTTGTACAGTGATACAGACAGCTTTGTGTTAGTAAACAAATCGGGGGGAAATCGGTCTCGTACATGGATACAGACAGCTTTATGTTAGTAAACAAATCGGGGGGAAATCGGTCTCGTACATGGATACAGACAGCTTTATGTTAGTAAACAAATCGGGGTTGTACAGTGATACAGACAGCTGTGTGCTAGTAAAAAAAATCGGTGTTGTACAGTGATACAAACAGCTTTGTGTTAGCAAACAAATCGGGGTTGTACAGTGATACAGACAGCTTTGTGTTGGTAAAAAATCGGGGTTGTACAGTGATACAGACAGCTTTGTGTTAGGAATAAAATCGGGAAAAATTTTGAAAAAATTGGATCCATCAAAACCGGATCCAGCCCAAGATCCGGAATTTTTTGGATCCGATCCGGTGCCGGTCCTAGCTCGGATCCGATGGATCCGGTAGTCCGATATCTGGATCCGACCATCACTAAACTCAAGCAATAAAACTGAATCCCATCAAACGTTCAGAAACACATAACTACATCACCAGGAGAAAAAATGACCTAAATTTACCACAACATAGATTGAAAAAAACGGCAAAAACCCCAACATATAGAGGGACGAAACTTTACAGCTTACTACCAAAACAGCTTAAAACCATTACAGACAAACAAAATAATCCACTACCCAATTGAAAAATTATCCCCTCAAATGCCCCTACTACAGCTTAAAAGAATTCATGGATGACCATATATTTAATGGAAGACAATAGAAAACAGTAGGCCTACATATAAAACACCAACACCAGAAAATAAGAAAATGAGAAAGAAAAAATAAATAGATGACCCCTTACCCAATCTTGATGACTGAGGAGGAGAAGAACAGCAGTAAGTAGTGTTTTTGTCGTAGTTTCATTTTTGGATGTGTATTGGTCTATTGTGATTCATTATCAACCCCTTCCTAAATCTCCAGTGTCAACATGAATAGCGTACTTAAAACTGACCCGAAGGATTAAGGCAAACAACATTTTGACAGAGCCAAATATTTATTTTTGACAAAGTTTTACAATAAAAGTACATTAAAATGGCAATACTAGTAAAACATATTGTAAAAAAACATTACTGAGTTTGAAAAAAAAACAAATAAAAAACAACTAGAATCATCAATGGTGTAGAATACCTTTTTAAAGTGAATAGGATACAAAGTCCCAACATTGTATCCTGGGTACTCCGATATGGTATTCCCTTTGCATGGGCCAGCCTTTGAGTTGTAGCATACAAAGCATTTCTGCTTCAGCCGTTTCGTCAGTCCTTAGGGCGTTCGTGTTGGCCTGACAAAGTGGCGGGTAGTCAGGCGCAGAATATGTGTGTCACCATTTAGAGCAAATCTCTGACATTGTGTATTGCATACTTTGTCAGTGTAGATCAGGAAGTGAAGAAAAATCTCGGTCCGAATCGAATCAAAAAGCTATTGAATCAAAAGACAATGTTTAAATGTCTGTACAACTGTTGATGTATCGTTGCTTGACACCCCAGAGCGTGTCGTTAGCTGCTAATGAATCGACGTTTGACAAGAACATGGTTTGAAAAATAAAGACAACTGAAGCATAATTTAACATTTTTCAGTTTAATAAAAGTTTTAACAAGTTCCTTCATATATTGGTAACAGTTTAGTCATTAGTGAGATATTCTACAAAATTCATACTAAAACTTAAATGATAAACTTAATGTTTATTGTATTTAAATCATTAATATGTTTACTGTTTGTAATACAGCTCTCAGCTGGGACCATCCGTTGCCTGACCGTGTCAAGACCATCTTGCTGGACAAGACCAAGGCCTTGTGTGGTGGCAAGTGTAAGTCTCCGTCACCGCCAACGACCAGAACCAAGACTACTGACAGTGACAACAAACCTCCCCCTCTATCTCCTAACAGTCTGGCAAAGGGGGATAACAGGTTTATAAACAGGCCTAAAAAATACAAGAATAAGAGGCGGCAAAGTACAACCATCAAATCTAAGAATCCAGCAAGGCAAACAATATATGAGAGATACTTTTACAATCCCTCACAAGAAGAGAAACCGCTCCATTTAAAAGACCGTTTCTCCCAACTCAGGAGGCTCAAAGGACATGACCGCAGAAATACCAACTGGAGACAAGGTAATTTTTATAATAATATGCTTGACAAGCATATCATTACATTTAAAATGATATGTACAAAATGTGGATCAAAATAGTAAAATAAATCTATCAAGCTCAGTCACCCATCCATAAGAATACTATTAGGATGTATTTTTTTTGTCAAATTTCATTGATCAGTGTACCAGCAAATTAAGTAAATAAAAAAATGGTTTAAATGGTTCAAATATTTAACATTCTTGAGTTTCTTGACTTAGTTCCTTTCTTCCCAAGGGAAAACAAAAATCTAGGGCTGCTAAAAAAAAGCTAGCTAGCTTTTAAGGCTGTAACAAAAAGCCTTCCACGGCACATGATCCTGGGCCATCCTATTTACTCCGCCCCAGTTTTTGCCATCTTCCATGTGTTTTTCTGAATGTATCTTCTCCAAGTAATCCTTGGTCTTCCTAACTTTCTATTTCCCTTAGGATTCCATTCAAGGGCTTGCCTGGAATGTTGTCATCAACAGGACTTTTCTTTTATTATTCTCAACAGCTCTTTATTTGTTATTCTTTCTGGCCTTGCTTGTTTCTTAGTTTTTCTGAGTAAAATAGCTTTTGCCTCTTCTCTAGCTGAGCTTTTTGTGAAACTACCTTAAGTTGTAACAAGATTATGATCACTACCACAGTCCGCTCCTCTTCTTGCTCGAACATCCAAAAGAGACTTCCTCAATTTTCTGCTAATATAAGAATCAATGTGATTCATTGTTAGCAACCAAGGGGGTCATGTCACATTCACATTGTGGTGTTTCTTATGTGGAAACAATGTTCCCCCAACAACTACTCTGTTGCCACAGAACTCTGCTCACTCTCCTCCGGCTCCTCCTTCCTATCTCTTGCAAAGTAGGCTTGCCACCGTTATAGCAGAGTTGGATTACCCTGCTACCATATTGTTAATTCATTGTAATCGAACATTTCTTTTAACTCTAACTAGTGTACCTGTTGCTCGAATTCGAGCAATTGCGAAGAATTACAGGCGACTCAAAGATTATGGAAATACTCACGATCTACACAACAGTTAGATATAATCAAAATCTTTTGTAAATATCTTATTTTTTAAAAAAAAAAAGCTGATCTTGTTTTTTAGTGTTTCTACAATTTTATCCCTCTCATAGCCGCATTAGGTTGTCTATAATAACGATTATAAATAAAAAAAAACATTATTTCTTTTCTTCTACTTGGTTGTGTTCTATGACTTTTTCTATGTTTCCATTGTTTGCAAATCGGTTATTTCAATGATTGTTAATTCAGTTTTATTTTTAGCCTACATCCAATTGTCCAGGATTTCTCGCTTTTTTCCAAATTTCACCTACCCGAGTTTCGTCTACAGATGCAATACCCCAAAGAATATCACCTACGTACAATCTCCAAGAAGTGGTAAAAAGGCAGAAACCAACCCATACAATAGAAAACTCCATAAGTTCAAAAAAACTCCAATAAGTTAACTCCATAAGAAATAATTTTAAGAGTTACTATGATATTAGGATTTTCCACTGATTTGGTAATAGAACATTAGGCCTACATTGCAAAACATGACATGATGCGGAATAAAATCGATTTTAAAATCAGAAAAACCTATTGCAAATACTGTACTTCATTTTGAAAAATTCAATAAATCACAATTTAAATATTAACAGCTGTTTCATTAAAAAGTAGTGTAGAATTATGAATATGGTCGTAATGTAAACAAATCGGAAGAGGCAACTTTAAAGGCTTCTGGGGCAGAGCCCCAAGGGAATTTACCTCGTTCCTCTTTTGATGGCTCATCTAGGCTATAGACCATGGCCTTTTTTTAGAGACCCGTACCAAGTTTCTACGCCCAGCCGTTCTCTCAAATTAGCTATGACAAAACCCATGTTTTCCTCGATAAGAATAACATGGGATGGGAATTTAAAGGCCACTGGGGCAGAGCCCCAAGGTTATTCACCATGTTTCACTTTTGATGGCTCATCTACAGACCAAGACCTTTCTTTAGACACCTCTACCGAGTTTCTACGCCCAGCCGTTCTCTCAAATTAGCTGTGACAAAGAAAAACAGTTTCAAATTAATATATAGATAGTTCCAAACCATATAAAGTAGTATTGGTTTAATAGTTTAACTTGAAGCTTCAGAAAGACATTTTGTATTGAAGAGAATGGCACATTCTGCACTCATTATGGCCAATCGCTACCTGTCCATAAGCAGAAATGTTCATATGAATTTTATAGCGAAAGTAAATTAGTTGAATGCAGAAAACACAATGTTCATATCAGGATGGTAACAGAATCTTTATCCCGGTTAAGGGAGTGATACATAAATTTGGAAGCAAGTCAATTGCGTAGTAAATTTGTTGATTTATTTGTAACAATAGTTACAATAATAGCTAATTTGTTGCTGGTCTTAGGAAGGAGGTATTTTAACAGACAGATTAGTTTGATTGATGCTGTTTATTCTACTTTAACAATTTTATTAATTTGTTTACAAGGAAGGATATTCCATTTTACAATGTTATTTGTGACTTGGCGTTTTAAATTACCTATGTATAATTATTTCTTGAGTTTTAAATTCTTATAATATTGCTATTGTGCGTTAATAATTAGTATTAACAACATGTTTGAAATATTACTAGAGGTCCTCCAGTGGTCGAAAACTCAACCAAAAATAAGTAATGTATAGACTTCTCTACGCTGTAAATAAAACCCTTGATTGGAATTTCTTCCATTTGTTTTGATTTTCTGTTTAGGCTGTATTGCCTTGTTATTTCGTCACCAGCATGGGTTATGGTTGTCGGTTTTTGTCTATTTTCTGTTTTGAATAGATTGAATTTCCAGTTTCCACTCACATATATTTTAGTCTAAACCACACTAGTGATACTTTTCTTTGTTTAAAAGGTTTATTGTTTGCTATGGCAGGTGTATCGTAGCCAATATTGTCACTGTGATTATTGCAGACGAAAGTTCAAGATGGTTCAAGTATCAACAATAACTGATGAAAAATGTATGCAATAATCCTTTAAACAACAATAACAATACTATTTATCCATATTTGCTGTAGCATTTATCAAAATTTCATGATAACCTCATTCCGTGATTGTGGTATTATTGTGATCATCTTCCGCTATTGCAGCAAGGTTTTAAACTTCTCTGTAATTCCAATGATATCATCATTCCATCCTGGTATCATGGCCAAATTTTGAACATCTCCCATGGTCTTGGCAAGATCTTGACAATCTCTGCGAATCTCGTGAAGACAACACTATCATCTCCAAGGGTGTGCGGTTACTCGAACCTTTGAGTTTTTTCGTCTAGCTTTTCATTATTCGGCACGGCTAGAGGCATTTTGAGAAAGCTTGAAGTTTGATCCAAGCTCAATAGCTCAATATTAATGTAAGTAAAAATACACTTAACTTGTGTTGTAATTGAAAACAAAGCTATCACGATTCCAAGCTGTTCATGCATTCGTTTTTCCTCAAAGCAAATATTGTTAAGGCACGTAATTCACGTCTCAGATTCAGAGTCGACAGTTCGATACTCCACGTAGTCTCCACGATTTGAGCATTCTCACGGTTTATCTGTTTACTGTTCATATACATTTTTTTGGAGGTTTACTACTCAGTTGAGCTAGTAGATTCCAAAAAGATACTTAAACACTACTTTGAACCAATCACAAGTTGTTATTAGGTACAATTATCGTTTTAGTAATAGGTAGGTTTCTCCGGCCAAATTGTTATCCGGCCAGGGGTTTGGTCCCACATAGGTGGTATATAAGGGGTTTTACTGTAGTCGTAGATGGAAAACATCCTAGCACTGTTAACATAGTGAGCATCCACTGAGTTAAAATTATACAACTAGAAGTAGCACTGGCAACTCTGCTGGAAAATTAAGACGCTGTAAAATGTTGTTATGTTGGTACTGTGACATGCAGGAAACCCCCCCCACATTCACAGGTTATCCTGCACATGGGAGTGTAGCTTTAGTGAAATCCGGATATTTAACCTTATATAATTCTAGTTATGAGCTGGGTGACTGTTAAATGTGAGGACCAGATTAAATTCAATGTACTGAACCTTTTTATTGTCTCAAAGCAATAAACTATTCTATACATCAATAAAACAGTTATTTACAACAAACCCACTAATGAATAACTAGTCGAAAACATCCTGGAGGCAGCTAGAACTTTGAGTATAAAATCCCCAAAAACAAATCTACTTCCACGTAATTTATATTAAACAAAATATCCGAGCCAAAAAGAATTTCTCTTATCAAAATCACGAATCCTATTTAACTTATAATCCCCTTGTATAAATTTAAAATAAACCTCCTTACAAAAAACTCGTGACTTAAGGGCCTGACCCTTAGATAGAGCAACCAGTACTCACCCAAACCTTCTGGTCACCCTACCCTAGCCGACACACCCCTTTCTCTACCTCAGTTGGCCAAGGCCGTAGCCAGGACAAACTTTCAGGGGGAGGGGGGGGGGTAAGGTCAGTGGCGGTTCTAGGACCTTGTCAAGGGGGGCTCCCGGGGAGCTTGGGGGGTCTGGGTGTCCTCCCCCGGAAAATTGTATATATTTTTAAAGTAGTTTGGTGACTTTCTAAAGCAATTTTTAACGCCTAAAACTGTCTCCAATCGTAAAAACACTCCCATTTAACCTGTTGTTTGTCATAAGCAAGTAGACATTTACAAATTCAAACTATGACGATTGGATTGCATTCATAAATTTGTAACTATACTGTAGGCTACGGCCATATCCTCCTAAAAACGGTTTGTACTTTCTTTAGCCCCTGTAGCCCCTCTTGGAACCACCAATGGGTCAGGTCATGACTGTGGATAACAGATTTAAGCTTAAGCACTTTCATTCAAACACCAATTCCCATGCTTATTTCTAAAATGTTGATTATGTAGTTACATATGTAAAATATTACCGGATGATAAATCGGTTTTGTTTGACTAAAGTATTTTTGTTGAACCTTCATAGTTTTATTACCTCTTTAATTGATCAGATTTATTAAATTATTAGATGAAATATGAATAGTTACTGCAAAACATATTTAAACCTAGTGTTAATTTTTACTACTAAATTTCAGGATTTTGGGGGGGGGGGGGTTTGACCCCTTACTTAACCCCTCCCCCTTACGGCCTTGCAGGTGGCCTATTTATTGACCCGATAGCTACTGAGTGCAAAGCCCTCAGTGTTAACAAAAACACCTCCAGCACGCTTTATAGCAAGCAAGGCCTGACCACAGGTTATCAACCTAGCTTGCCTAGGCTACCTTCCAGAACAGTACCAACTAGAAGAATCAACCAGATCATTTGCTCTTGGCTTTATTACAGTCCCACAATCCCCTATTCAGTCCCTGGTTACAATATACTATTGCCCTAGTACATAAAATGGCGGGCAACGTCTCTCAATTCTCTCTTTCAGCGCTACCTTCGGTTGTAGCTCTAGTTCATTGCGAGCAACTATCGCCGCCATTGCCGGCATCAATTAACCTTGACCACTACTACTGGGGACGAACATTACAGTGTTTGGTTATTTATATTTTATTTTAGAATTTAGTCACGCCTGACGCTTACTGTCGACTGGGTCAGTTTTACAATTTAGTGAGACTTTATAGTATTAGACCCTATCTAAAGTGTTATAAATTGAAATTAAAACACATGTAAAATGGTCTATAAAGAACATTACACCATCAGTCACACACGACCTTGTTAGTTTTAAAATTTAGTGAGAGTAGCCTTCAAGAGAAATAGTATTGAATGTTGAAGATTTATATAAATACGGATGAAATTAGATAGAAATTAAAAATTGTTTGTACAGAGTCTATTAAAATAATAACCAATTACAATGATATACAGATGATCAACAGCATCAGCAACAGCAACAGCAGAGGTGGAGGGCGGAGACACAACCTCCCCCTCCTACTATAAACCCTTGGTCTCCATGGATGGCCAACCCCTGTCCAAGTACCAGTGGAGCGGATACCACCAACTGGAGTGAGGACCACTGGCAAGGCAGTGGGCAGATGTTTGACACTGACTATGACCAACACCGGGACACCAGCATCCTGGCCCGCGCGAGCTCCATGCTGGCCAGAAACATGTGGCAACAACAGAGATACCAGCACTACTGAGCAGTGAGCAGTCAGCACCATGTGCAGTTTTAGTTTTGTTTACATTATAAACGGAGTGTTTAGTTTATAAGTCAGTAATTGTCTCTATCCCTTTTCATTTAAATATTCTGCTCACATCAACTACATACACCTGCAGAGCTTCCAAGAGCCTTGGCAACAAAACTGCTCCAGCAATGGTTGTTACATGTAATAGGACTCTTATAATAAATGAGAGACAAAAAGAGGAAAAGGAACCAATTAATCCTATTAGGTTGTGATGAAACTGCCAATATAGCGTTTAACCAGTTTCTATTTTATTATGTTTAAAATTCAGAGTTGTGCATGATCATTTATTAAAATTATTATTTATTGTAAGAAGGAGAAAATACATCTTGTTTGTCAATTGTTTGATAAATTTAATACAACTTTAAGTAAACAGACGCGGTCACTGTAAGGAAGGGACACAACACCAAACCCACGGAACCCACATCTGGTTGACCAAGTGTAACGTGAACAGTGTCTCTGCACAACTGAGCATTGTGGGATTGAGTTACAATATTTACGTCTGTTCAATTATTACGTATGTATCAAATTCAACAAACCATAGACAAGGATATATAATTTTATGTGGTAATCTTGCATTCCTTTTGGTTAAATAGTTTCATTATCAATAACTAGATTTTTAATATCTAAAAAATACGTAAAAGATAGTCTAATTTTCAAAACCCATTTTTCTTATCACATTTGCATTTTCCTGCTTTTATTCAAACTTTTGTTGTTTCATTTAGGAGGTGCCAGAGTCAAAGTTAAAGTCAGATGCACATCTTTTTGATTGGGTTCCCATTAAAATATGAGTAATTTTTTAGGGGGAAAATATTTTGCCAAAGTATAAATGGCCCTTACTGTATTTTTTTCCACTAATTGTTTTGTCAACGTACCTATGGAAAATCAGTATTTACTGTTAAAGGCTACAAAGCTTTGACCTAAAAAGTCTTGCTCTAGTTTTAGATGATTGGTCGTTGATCCCAGAGCGTAATTGGGCAGCATTTACATTGCTATAATGCACAAAAAACATTGTCATTTTAACTCCCCCGAAGAAAACCTAAGTATGTAAGAGTACTATTTAATTTTCAGGAAAATATTTCCTTAAAGATTATTAACAACTATAAAACTGTACAGGTTTGAAATTGAGACTTTAATCGTAATTATGGTATTACAAAAATTAAGGCCACTGAACTACAGTAGTCTGAATGAATACTCATAACATTCCTTGCACAAGTAGTGTAAGCCTAGTTTTAAATACAGTAATGCTATATTTTTTATAAAGAATGTGTACATTGCCTTAAAAATCTACAAATATGTTAATTGTTAATAACGGCTATCTCTAGTAAGTAAAATTCAAATTAGTTATTGAATCCTAATCGTGGGTTCTTTAAAAGACTAGCAATCAGGTGATTTAACGTAAAGTATTTGGTAAACACATGTGTTTTAATGCTTTTCTATTGAATTCACGTTGATAGCACGAGTCTGCAGATGAGAGTCTATTTACAGACAAAAGTATGAATACCCTCTTTTAACTGTTTAATGGGTAACAACAGGGAAAATAAACTCTACACACCTTTATATGGCATCAAAATGCACATTTTTAAAGAAAAATATCAGTAAAAACTTGAAGTCTCTATCTTAACCCATTGAAAATATTTTGCACAATTTAATACCCCCCCTAAGAATTGGGTTCTCCAGGCTAATTAAAAATTAAAATCACCACCATTTTTTACTGGGTTAAGATAGAGACTTCTGGTTTTTGCCGATATTCTTCTTTAATAAGTGCTTTAAAATGAGGTATGTGATAGGGCTTTATATTAAACATTTTTTAGATGCCCCCAAATAATCGATTTTTAGATCCAGGGTTAATTTGTAGTACCGAGAAAAAGTGCATTGGTTGGTCTTATGAGGGTGATACTGAGTTTGGTTTTCTGGTAAAACCCCTTAAAAAGTTAAAAGGGAATGATAATGCCTACATTGTGGGTTCTTTCAGGATGATGATACTGTAATTTTAATTTGCCGCCATTTTGTAATGGTTTGAGATCACAGAGAAGTAAGATACAGAGGATACAATGGTACACTTAAGTGGTGTCTAGAACCAGTCGCTGGTGTCTAGAGCAAGTTCTATTCCCTGTTCCCTTCCGCTCCCCTTTCCCCCATTGCCATGAAGTACTACAACACTCACGCTGTAGGAAGACCCTGTGCATTATAACTGCTGTACAAAAATGTATGTGTCTATCGCTGATCAGGCTCTTCCTTGCTCGGAACAGGTACATTTCGGCCCCACCATACTAGAGCTATAAGTGCCCGGTTGTCCCATAAGCTTGTATCCTCTGTATCTTACTTCTCAGTGGTTGAGATGGAGACCTCTGGTTTTCACTAATATTATTCTTAAATCAAGACCTCTATGGGAGGTTGTAAAGTAATAAGATAAAACTTATTGTTATTTATCAAGATATTTATTTTCCATTCCATCAAAGATATTTATGGACACAATTTTTAATTTTGTTGGAAATACTGTTACGAGCAAGTGTTTAGGGAAGTAATGTTGTTAGTTACAGTTGTTTTGTTTTTGTTATTTTTAGATATGTACAGTTGATGGTACTAGGAAATTTTATTGAGTAAAATATCAAAACCTTATTACCTTAACTGATGCAATTTGGTTTTATCAATTAGTTATGTTGTTTAAGATATTGTAGGAATATCAATAACATTTTGGTATTTGGAATAGAACCCTGGTACGCAACTAAACTACTTAAGTTGCAAATTTAAATTTTTTGTTTTCATTTAGAGTAATAAAAACCTGTTTCAGAAAACTTAACTACAATAATTGATTTGTTATGGCTTACTAAAAATAGTTTAGTGATATGTGTTCCAGCAATTTACAATAAAACTACTAAATTAAATCCTTGGGCTATACATAATTTTCTAAATAGTTATAGCTAGGAAAATTCAAAAAATATGAGTAATTTCATACTTATATAATTATAAAAAACTATCTCTAATTAGTAATTATATCTAAATTTTAAATGTTTTAAATATTTAAAACAGCAAAACTTTTGCAGTGATACTGACTTTACAAGCGATGTCATAGGCATCTGATTAAGTAAGGAATACTGCACAGTATGAGTATATTGTCACTTAAGGTATTGCCGGATAAACATTGATAAAGGAGTACCCTCTTTCCCTCTTATGATAGCATTATAATTATTAAAACTTGTAACTACTTACAAATAATACAAAATTGCACTCACAATAATTGCTGATTAACGGATTCAGACTGTACCTGTTATTTTAGTATCTCTGCAGATTTGTTAACCAATTTGTCAAAAGACATATTACGATTTTTAAAATCTTGTACTGTTTTTTTGTTTGAATATTAATGTTAAGCAGTTATATATTTGCTTGTGCCTTCAAAGTTTTAAAGACTGAACGTTTTACCATTACATGATTTTACTCTTTAGAAATATTTTTGTTTAGTAGTTATAGTAATAAACGTTTGCTTGTAAAGTGTTATTTTGCCAATAAAGTTTTGATTTGTAATACAGAGCCTTTTGATTACAATTCCTTATACTGAATGTTTTAATGGATTTTCATATAAGGATTAAGCTATCACCATAGGTGTCATAGTAATTAGACCTGGGACCGATTTTGTTTGTTTTGATGTCCCAAGAGGCCAAAACACCATTTGTTCAAATTCATTTATATATATATATATATATATATATATATGTGTGTGTGTGTGTGTGTGTGTGTGTGTGTGTGTGTGTGTCCGTTAGCACAATAACGTCGGTAACTCAAGCAAAAATTATCCGATTTTGATGAAATTTGGTAAATGTGTAGACCTGTTTAAACGAGTTCGTGAAACAGCTGGATCGAACCACTGGAACAGGGTGTTATAGGGGGTAAATTGGTTTTTCTAATTTTTCACTTAAAGGGAAACATAAAATTTCCCATTTTTTTTTAAACCACTCTGATGAGCTTAAAAAAATAATTTATTGTATTTAAGTTTTTCTGTACGCTTATTGGTTACATACAAAATTCAAAAAATGTAAATTTGAAATTCCCAAGCTATTTTTATGGAGAATAATAATCTGTTGTAGTTTGCTTTATTTATGTATATGTTTTGACCGAACAGAGTGATTTACCTACCTGACATTTCTATTGTAAAAAATTGGTTAGGTAGGACGGATGAATAAGCAATGGTTAGAGAGAAAACCCTTATCGTATAAGTATATAGATATTTAAGCTTGTGACCTTGGTTACTGCTATAGAAGCTATTAATTATAGCAGTATTAAACTAGAAAACATAACATTTTTGAAATGGTCACCAAGGCCCCAGAGTTTGAAACTACGCTGGTTTGAAATATAATTCCTTTAAAGGCTCTATATTTATACCTACAAATGAATCCTGCTGATTTGAATGAATTGGTTCTACATGAAGTTAGTTTTGTAGTTATGAAGTTTCAGAAGTTTTGTTAGACTTGAATAACACAAAAGAAGACGCCACTTATTTTAAAATGGTTTAACAATTTTCAATACATTGCAATGCAACCTTTTCATCAGTCAGACTGAAATAACATACAAATTAATGTATTATGGGCCACTCTCCTTGCAAAATGTTATACTGGTAACTCATTATGGCCAAAGTTGTCAGAGAACAATGACATATTGTCAGCACAGAGTAATGCAATTTGTAGGTAATCAATTATTCAGGAGTTTATGTTGTGGCAACGTCAGTCAGCCATTCGACAGCTTCATCCCTCTTGGTGAGTTATCAAGCGTGACACTTTAGGTACCTAAGAGAATTTTTTTTGTTTTACATTAAAATTTTGTAAAAAAGATTGATTGAGGTTATTTGTAGTTGTTTTGAAAACAGATAAGTTTATACATTTTAACTGGAAACCTCAATATCAACGTAAAAAACTAGTAAATTTGCATCATGCTAATTCCTTTATTACTGTGACAGCGCATGTTTGTAAGAAGTAAATAAACAATTAAAAAAAGTAAACAGATATTAAGACAATAACAAATTTTCTTACCTTTGAAAATATGAATAGGGTCTCACATTTCATTGTTTAATTACATTAGTTATTAGTAATGGTTTTTCTTCTTTTCTAGATAGACTAGTGGATGGAAGGTTCCTAAAATAAGTAAAATGGTGTCATCAGTGATATTTATTTTACTATATTTTTATATCAAAGACTGCCTGTGTGAACAGTTCAATCTCTGTGAGTACAAACATGAGGAATACCGTAGTGTTTTTTTTCATTACATATCAATCTATATCTTAAAGTTTACCTCTACACTTTGTTTTCATTATTGGTATCAGTAAAAAATCTGTATCAGATAGACTAAAAAAAGATGATCTATTCTGTTACTTTACATCAAATAGGTAATAGCAAAACTGAAAAAGGAGATTTATATATATAAAAAAAAAACATATTTGCAAGTCCTAATTATGAATCAACATGTATTCTACGAGTACTTCTACTACACATATACCGTGATAGCTCCAGCAGATACACACTATATACATTATTGTCAGATACATGTAAAAGCAATGGTGTAGTCGTAAATTTCCAAATGTGGAAATACTCACCAAAGTTGCAGAGCAATACCAATATAGGTTCCATTGAAAAATAAACTTAAAATTTTGTCCTAAAAATTTAAAAACGTAATGGAGGTTTTGTACACAGTTCTAAATGTTGAAAATGGCTTTAGCAAGTCATAGTCCAGGACCTGACTAGGGTTCTGTGTGCATGTCGTGTATAGTGAATTTTACTTTTGCATTTCAATATAGGTGTCTTAGGAAGTGTTTTCCACTCGGGTGTCAAGTTCGCACCTGGTACGTTTTCGAGCTATGACGTCATCAAAATGGCGGCCATTGATTTTTTTAAATCGTATATTTCGCAAACTATTTGTCGGATCGGAATGAATGTTTTTTTGTTTGAAAGATAATTTTAAATGCTACCTGTTTTACATTTACACATTTGTTGTATGTTTAGTACATTCTTCGTAATTTTGCAAAAACCTGTATTTTTAAATATTTTTGAGTTATTTTTGTTTGTAACGTTTTATTGATACAATTTATAAAAAACCACCAATGAAAAAAGTTGTAGAACATTTAAAAATCTTTACAAAAATACCAAATTCGATATGTTTTACTCAAAAGATTACGTCAAGAAACTAGATAAATCTCATAAAAACACCAATTTTGGCGCAAAAACGCCTATTAGTCCGGCATCTAGGGCAGTTCGCAAGTCTTATAAAGACAGTTTCGCCATTCAATGTTGATGTACGTGTCTAAATAAGTGTTTTCAACTCGGGTGTCACGTCTGCACCCACTGCAGTTTCCGGTTATGACGTCATTAAAATGGCGGAAAGGGCTATATTAAAAATAACGATATTTTACATACCATGTATTGGATCGGAATGAACTTTTTTTTGTTTGAAAGATAAGTTTACATGCTATCTTTCTTACATTTGCACTTTTGTTTTATGTTTAGTACATTTTTCGTAATTTTGCAAAAACCTATATTTTTAAACATTTTTGTGTTATTTTTGTCGATAACGTTTTATTGATACAATATATCAGAAATAACTTATAGACAAAGTTGTAGCACGTTAAAATAGCTTTACAAAAATACCAAATTCGATATGCTTTACTCAAAAGATCACGTCAAGAAACTAGAAAATCGTACAAAACAACCTAATTTTGCGCAAAAACGCATATTACAGTAAAAACAATATAAATATTTCCTATTCCATTCTGTGAGCAACATTTTTGTTATTCTTTCATCATTAATACCTACTAAATTAATACAAATTAATAAAAAAGCACTTTGCTGATGCAATATTTATATAAATAAAATTTGTTTCTTTAAGTGCTGCCGTCAGAAACATTATTCATTATGTCATGTCAATTGTAAAAATCTGAATGACCCAATATAAACAAAATGCCCTGCAAACAAATGTCACTCAGCCAACTACATTTCATGTCCAATGATGTTGGAATAAAATATCAACTTACTCAACCTGTGGGGCAAAGCCCTAATGTGAAACTGAGTGTGAATCCTTTCCAAACTGGTTAGAAAAATATTATACAGTAGCTCAATACTGTCTCGCCATTGAAAATCGGTAAGAAACTCAACAGTGATTTTTTCTCTCTGTGAAATCAGTGTATCGACACGACTAAAACAAAAATCCTGGTTTTAGGGGCCGTTAAAATCCCGATTTGTACCACTTTAGCGTAATGAAAAATCCTGTTTTACCTCTCATGGATTTCGTAAAAAACCTTGATCCATTCTGAGTGATATTTTTGAAACATCATGCTACAAAACTATTACTTGGATTTTAAAACACATTCCAAACATATTTTTTGCAGTGGTGATAAATCAGAAAAACAATGAGATAGCAAGTGAAGTTTTGAATGTAGCTACATCGTATCTGAAAAGAAATAGTATTCACGGAGTTGAAGTTGGTGAGATATTCTACATTGAAAACCAGGAGGAAGATGGGCAGCAGTTTCTTGATGCCAGTAAGAACTGCATTAGCATTAGAACTAGCATGTAAATATATATTTATACATTTAAATGTGTTGATAGCAATTTACTACAGTTTTTTCCCCTTCTTTATAAAATCCTATAAGAATAACACAAAGATTTCGTATCAGTGCCTTGTGAAGTGAGTATTATTTATATTCACTCTATTACTCAGGAAAGTGTTACATACAGTATTGAAATAAATGTCATAATGTTATCTCTTTTTATACTAATAAAAATTAACCCTTCGAGGTTGAATCTTTTTTTAATATTTTGGCGAGTATAGGTCGCCATTTTCGAGCAGTCGGGAAAATTGTGGGTGTTGAGCTATACACGCCTATTTTGACAGCAAAGGGCTAATAATACTCATAGAAAATAAACAATATAAAATTTGCTGTGCTACTTTGCAAAAGATAATATTTATTAGGAAAGATAAGAGAAGAGGTATAGATGACGTGTTAAGTATGTTGGAAAATATTTAGTTCAGTTTATATTTAAAATAAAATGAACCATATTAAATGCAAAACAATAATGGCAATAAGTTAACTCTGTACGAGGATTCTATCAAAAAACTTGTTACTTAATAATTTTATTGCAAAGTGTTTGATAGGGCACAGTATTAGTAGGTTATTACTTTACTTTGTTTGAAAAACATTGATATTTTCTCAGAACTTGAAAATTGAAGCAACAATAAAGAAACTATATTGATTGATTGAGTGCTTTCAATGGGACCAACAGTGTTTGCAGAGCTATTACTGTCATGCGATCACTACAAAGCTTATTTACAAGCCACATTGTTTGATTGAGACTGACAGAGTTTGCTGGGTCATTTCTGTCATGTGATCACTACAAAGCTTATTTACAAGCTACATTGTTTGATTGAGACTGACAGTGTTTGCTGGGCCATTACAGTCATGCAATCACTACAAAGCTTATTTACAAGCTACATTGTTTGATTGAGACTGACAGTGTTTGCTGGGCCATTACTTTCATGCGATCACTACATAGCGTATTCACAAGCAATTTTTTTTTATTAAGACTGACAGTGTTTACTGAGCCATTACTGTCATGCGATCACTACAAAGCGTATTTACAAGCTATATTTTTGATTGAGACTGACATTGTTTGCTGGGCCATTACTGTCATGTGATCACTACAAAGCGTATTTACAAGCTACATTGTTTGATTGATACTGACAGTGTTTGCAGAGCTATTACTGTCATGCGATCACTACAAAGCGTATTTGCAAGCTACATTGTTTGATTAATACTGACAGTGTTTGCAGAGCTATTACTGTCATGCGATCACTACAAAGCGTATTTGCAAGCTACATTGTTTGATTGAGACTGACAGTGTTTGCTGGGCCATTACTGTGATGTTATCACTACAAAGCTTATTAACAAGCCACATTGTTTGATTGATACTGACAGTGTTTGCAGAGATATTACTGTCATGCGATCACTACAAAGCGTATTTGCAAGCTACATTCTTTGATTGAGACTGACAGTGTTTGCTGGGCCATTACTTTCATGCGATCACTACAAAGCTTATTTACAAGCTACATTGTTTGATTGAGACTGACAGTGTTTGCTGGGCCATTACTTTCATGCGATCACTACAAAGCTTATTTACAAGCTACATTGTTTGATTGAGACTGACAGTGTTTGCTGGGCCATTACTTTCATGCGATCACTACATAGTGTATTCACAAGCAATATTGTTTTATTGAGACTGACAGTGTGTGCTGTGTCATTTCTGTCATGTTATCACGACAAAGCTTATTTTTGCAAGCTACATTATTTGATCGAGACTGACAGTAGTTGCTGAGCCATTACTTTCATGTTCACTACATAGCGTATTCACACATGGTGGAAGGAAAATTGTGCTATTCCCGTCATATGCTGACGTCACCTAGATTGCAAACAAAAAAATCACCTGATTGTATTGCCATATAAGTATATATTTGTTTTGATTTGATTGTTATTGTTTTTATAACTTTCTAACTGGTAAAATTGTGTTTGCAATCTGAGTGACGTCAGCATATGATTGGAATAGCACACCTATGTGTTTTCCTTCCACCATGGTATTCACAAGCTATATTGTTTGGTTGAGACTGACAGTGGTTGCTGAGCCATTACTGTCATGTGATCACTGCACAAAGCTTGGTTTACAAGGTACATTATTTGATAGAGTCCCCAAATTACACACATTTTGTTACTATGTGACTGTGCTATCTTTTTCTATTAAATTCATATCTACAAGTGCCGTTTGGAAAGTAATCTCTGTTGGATCACTATACGGGAAGTATTGCGTTACACTTGTAACGTTATGCACACTTGTATGTGGCAAGTCAGTTGCTCTGCAGCTGTAGTAGTTGTCTATTTAAATTTTACAGTGTTTCAAAATGTACATTATAGAAAATCCGGCCAGGTTTTTGAGGTGTCAAGGTTGTTAAAGTATTCAGCCACCGCTATTTGTAGAGAATTTTGTGTGGTGTATGGAACAAATGTGATAGGCAAAGTAGTAGTTTGTGAATGGGTTTATCAGTAAAAGGTCCCAGCAAAACCAACACCAAGGTATGCTGACCTCCATTGTTATGATTTTGCTTGACAACGCCCAACAGCTCACACTGCTCAGATAGTAAAAGACTTTCTGGGAAAGTTCAATAGACGACAGACGCATTCAATGGACGTATTCCACAATCTGTCCTAAAGTTCAGATATAGCTCCCAGCAAACCACCTCTTCTTGCATATAAAGAAGTGGCTGGGATTCTAGTGTTAACTGATGATGAGCTAAAGATGCGGTCGTAGACTGGCGCAAGGCATAGGAGGGAGATTTCTATGAACATAACATTTTAAGGCTTGTAAAATTAAACAACAAGTGCATTACTGTCCGAATGGCCCTTGCTTAATCTGACATAAGACAACTTTTTTTTTGAACAGATTGTATAGCAGTCAATACACTGTTTTGCTGTTTTGATCATTAATTATATTCCTGCAGAACTACAGCTATTTAGTTAAACAGGTGTGTATTACCGTATTACACAAAAGCTTTCCAAAATCTTACTCTGAAACCGATTTATACCATTAGTCAATTAATCAAGATTAATTTAAGTGGTTTCACTTATATTTATGTTTTAAAATAAGTAGTGTGAAGAGTCTTTTCTTATCATTGGACTTCAATTAAGTGTATCATTCTTATGCCTTGTTCAGTCTGTGCAGTCTACCAGAATGCCTCAGACAGGGGCAAAGTACCAGACCTTGTACTGGACCTGACATTGGCTGGGACAATCTCTGAGGCAGCCAAGACCTTCACATCAGCACTGGCTCTGCCCACAGTCGCCTTGACTTATGGCCAAGAACACGACATCAGGTAAGTCACACTTAAGACTTGTTCTCTCAACGTGTGGTAGGTCGGAACCGCTGAAGCTGATCACATTGATCAATCAACAGATTTTGAGTCGTCAGAGAATTTGCAAACCCGACTGTTCTCACGTTGCATGGTAGCTTGCAGTATTAAAAAGCCACTGATGGTCTCGGAGGATAAGGCTGAGCCATCAAGGCATTGGTAGTTCATGAGGCCTAAATGTATGTAAACTTGCATGTTGTTCATGTATGTTTTGGTTGAAATATATAAATATAGATAAACACAACTTAACTCGACTTCAGTCCGTTTAATACACCTCTGTGTGTATACTGTATGCAAGAAGGACACCATTTTTTGTAACCAAACCATTTGGACTTGTACACATGAATTTTGCACTTGGGTCTTACTAGTCTTCTTCACCTCTAAATAAATTTCCGATAGGTTTCCATTAGGTTTTCTCTTTCCTTTTTAAAAAACTTTTCGGGAATAATGCTGAAACACGATTGAATTTGTTTCCACACATTGTACACTTCATTTCTATCCTTATGGTCATGTAGTGGATTCCAAATTACAGGTTCCTGTTCACATAAGCACAGAAAACATACTACTATAACCCAGAATGCCAACCGCATGGTAAAAAGCGTTAAGTACTTTGAGAGAGCTTTGCCTGTCAATTCGCTGAGTGCATAGAAACGCTTCGGGCGCTGCCTACGAATTGATAGGCAAAGCTCTCTGAAAGTACTTATCGCTTTTTACCATGCGGTTGGCATTCTGGGTTATAGTAGTATGTTTTCTGTGACATAAGTCCAAAAACTCTACCAGAGCTTCATTATTCCTCTCAATTTTTTTCCTGTACACTTTAACCATTATCAAAGCAGCACTAATAAGGTTTATGTTACCTGGCTTCTGTCTACAATCCACGGTAGTTTTAGGAAACTATAGCTGTTTCATGCCTCTATTATTGGCACAGGTTTGTTGAACGCCAGCTTTCTTATACATACCTCAGTGTCGAGTTCATCAATGTTTGATGATGGACATACATGAAGGCACTTACACACACGAAACATTTAAACATTAATTAAGGACGGTCGATCAACTGCGAAACACGATACGGTGCCGGTGAAGGGTAAGTTGCAACTCACCCGCAGTGCATTGTCAAATGCACTCCCAGTACTCGGCACGAAGACTGAACAGAAAAGAGCTGTGACAACAGTGCACTTAGCCAGCCTGATTCTCAAACCTACACTATCCACAGGCCTTTGATGTTTTGTGAGTTTATTAACTTAAGGCGGAAACGGCTCGTGCATAAACGAACAGCTGCACAAGCCACTGATGAGTTGTTCTCAAGAAGTGTTTTAATACAAGCCACTGATCAAGGTCACAAGGAGATTTGACGAATCTTGAGGCTAGTTACCAGACATTCTGCTTGTTTTAGATATTTTTTATAGTTGGTCTCTGTAGTAATGGAACAGGTCCCGGGTAGTTACAATTGCTTGCTGCAGAACTTGGCGAGGCTTGGACAGTGAGCAGCAGAAGTTTCTGATACAAGTGTCTCCACCAGGCGACATGATACCGGAGATTGTGCGTAGCCTCGTAGTCTACCAGAACATCAGCAATGCTGGGGTCCTCTTTGACAGCTCTTATGGTAAAATGCACACTGTGTATAATATCATTATACTGTATACATTATGGCTATATAGAAGACCAAAACAAACTTCAAAAAATTTTAAAATTTAATATATTCCAGATATTAAAAGAATAAGAATAAAAATACTATTTATTTCAAAAAATACTATTCAAAGATTATAGTCATTTGCTTAAGAACGAAAAAAAAACCCACAAGAACTTTTCATCTGCGTGTGGGGAGAGTCTTCTTTGTCGCTCACCACTTCACAAATAAAAGAACACAAAAAAAATTATTTAAAGAAATAATTTTTTTTGCCTTAACGATGGTAAAAAAACTAAAATAAACATGAACAATTACTATACAGTATAATAAGTTGAACAGATCCAAATAACTTAGGGAAAACTAATATTACATAGAAAATAATGAAAAATAGATACACAAAACTGAAGTAATTTGCAATTGTTTAGTCTAATTTAGTATTGAAATACGTTATCAACTTTCTCGTGTCCTGTACTGGGATCTGATGAGATCTTCGGCAGCATCATCGCTCAGTCCGAGGAGCCTACGCCTGATCTTTCTGCTGAAAACTGTGACACTGTCTCCCTCCCAATGTCTTCTCCTATATAGGAAGATTAGTGCATATGATGTGGGCTAGATAGTGAGGGGTATGAATCTGAGCTTTATTGTTCAATTTAGGATAGTTGTTTAAAGTTTTTTTTTTTTTCCTAGGACGCTAGGCACGAGCCCGGAATTTTTTTCACATTACTTCAGGCTAGACCTAAAGGTTGCAGGATTATCACTTCGATAAAATCCATTGGTGATTTGGCGGGATTTGATTGAACACGGGACCTCTGGAACCGATGTCCTGCGCTCTAACCACTAGACCAGCTCGCTCCCCAAGTTGTTTAAAGTAGAGAAAGAATAGTTAAAAGAATAGCTCAATACATTATACAATTTATACTTGTACCTGTATGGTATTTACAATTTCTCCATTATGTTTCAGAGATGGACCACAAATATAAAGCTCTTTTGAGAAACTTGGCAACTCGTCACATTATAATAAGAGTTGAAGAACCAAAGGCTATAAAAGAACAACTGATTCGATTGCGTAATTTGGACATTGTTAATTTCTTTATCCTTGGAAATCTGACTACTATTAAAAATGTGCTAGACATGGCTAATGTGAACAAGTATTTTAACAAGAAGTTTGCCTGGCATGCCATAACTGAGGTAAATATTTCCTGATGAGGGTTTGAGCTCCATAGTATCTTTTCTTTTCATTGATTTATTATATGATGATTAATGGCTCAAACATGGATCCAGAGCTTTCCTTGATCATTGGGATCGGTAACTAATTTTGGACTTGCATCCTTGTAGAGAGAAAAGATTAAAAAGTCAAACAGTCAAAAGGATTGAATCTTAAAAATATACCTACGGTATAGGAAGTAGGAACCATGTCAAACTCTGATTAACTACTCTTTGCCAGTAATATGAGTGCTACTACTCAAACACAATTGAAAAACAAAAGAGTCAGTAATATAATATCACAAACGTAGAAATGAAAAATCATGACATTCATAAACACATTTACAAAAAGAAGTTTGCTAGTCAATTCTCAGATATGTTCTTAAACGATTCACTTAATGTCTTTAAGCCAATTATACTACTGATTGACGATCATTAGCACAGAGCTTCACTTTTCAAAGGAAGTTTACGTGGATTTGTAACATTTATAACTTGGGCAAAAAATTTAGGCAGTAAGTCTATAAACATGTTTGTTTTCTGATACTGATTACTTTTGTCTGGAGCGCAGGACCTGGGGGCCCTCAGATGCAGCTGCACCAACGCGACAGTGCTGTTTGTCCGGCCTGATCTGTCTGGCAGTGCCCTTGAACAAATAAACATGTTACGCACATCATACTCACTGACTGTCAAACCTGAGATCGTGGCTGGATTCTACTTTGATGTTATTGTTCGCTCAATACTCGCACTCAAGTAAGTTTTTTTTTAATTCCTCAACAGTCTAAAAACCTTAAGATTATTTTTGATCCTGGAAATAAAGTATTTAAGTTATATTAAAATTATTACCCTTTCATGACTAACAAAACTTAAAATTGTATTTTATGTTGTACAGGTAAAACACAAATCCTGAATTCCTATCCCACACTCTCTTGGGTTTACCATTTACCTATACAATACAACCCACTTATATTACAAAAATATCGATTAGGCATCTAGTAGGGGATTACCTGAATAATGCAGGCTCTAAAAACTTGTACAACATTCATAATTCCCTAGCCATATTCGGCAGGTAGGAAAACCCACCCTTAGTGGAACTTCATGGGAGGCCATAGACCATTTTTGAGTACATTTGCTTTGTCTCAGGTTTACTCTGCTATTTAAGTTATGCTCCTTTATTTGATTGATCCTCCTAGCACCCTTCATGGAATGTACTTTCCATACAATTGTGAACCCTGCTTTCCCACTGATATGAGTAGATGGAACTATTGGATGTTGTGGTTGATGTTGACGATTGTCCTTGGTAGGCAAACACAAACACAGAAGCAACATCACACCATAATGAACCTTGGACCATGGATGTTCCCATTTTCTCCCAGGTAGATTACCCAGGATAAACTGTATGAATGAAGCTGGACTTCCAATGCATTGGCCCCTTGGATTTAGCTCTGTGAAGGGGGGTGTTTTTGTTTTATGTACAGGAAGATTAACACTAGTGTACTGGAGGTTTACTTTACGGCTTGAATTATCTCTTGAAACTGATGAAGAAAACACACTTACTACACATTTAGCTGATCACCAGTATAACGATTTATTTTGGTTTAGGTCAATGTCCACAAACAATGAACTTTCAAAAACGACGAATTTCACTTCTTGCGATGATTACAATGAAGAAGATCCCCCAAAGAGATTTAACTTTGATTTGAGAAAACACTTCATGCAGGTTGGTTTATTTCAAATTACCCTAAACTTGTTATGCATCTCTATTGCACATCATTTGTTGCCGATTAATTTACACATAGTTTAATTAAGGTGTGTTATATTGAATTCTATAGCTTCCTGATCGCATTTAAATACTAAAGAATTGGTGTAAATATCTGCATTTATGCGATCATTGTGTTAATAAATTTCAACCGGTTTTTGACTCACATAGGAGTGACTCACATAAATATGATGATGTACTGTATTTGCAGGTTAAAGGCCCAGTATCAATTGGACCACTACATTTGGAAAGCAATGGCAATAACTATATGAACTTTTCCATGAAAATTGAGAAGGTGAATATCTTGAACAGCCAGGTGAGCTCATCACGACTTGTTGCCACCTGGACAACCGGGTTCAACCAGCCACTTCAGGTCAATGACTCTTCGGCCATAGCTAACTTCTCGGCAGTCCAAGTTTACAGAGTAGTTACTGTACTGGTAAGTTTCTAACAATAACTACTATTGTACAATAGTATTGCCCATCGGAAAAACCAACAATTCATGAGTCGTTTTGGGAATTGAATCAATTTTGAAGTTCTCTTATATTAAGCAGAATTTTTACTTTTTTAGTTTTTAAATTTTTTTAGTGCCTTAATCTTAAGTGTTATTTCAGTTTAATTCTGTATAATAACAAAAAATGCTGCAGCAGACTTACACACATTTGGAAAATCCAACGTATATTAACAAGGAACTAAATTATGTAAATTTGTAGTATTTGAAAACTTTCGGTTGCTTCAATATTTTCAATTATGACATTAACGTGTTTTCAGTTGGTTTGACAAGCATTGACCTAGGCACTCGTCTTGTACAGACCAGATGTAACCAGTGTTGTAAGAAGCCGGTACTGTAGTGTCTTAAGCACGGGTCACACTAGGCTGGCATCAGCGGCGAATTGAAAGAAGCCGCGACTGTCAGCTTAATGTGACCACAAAATTCACAGCTGACACTGAGCTGACTCAGCCTGGATTGGTGAGCCAGTGATGCTGGTGCCAGCTACTGATCACCAGTGGCTGGCAAACAACCTAGTGTGACCTGTGCTTTAGTTGGACTGAAATGTGGTCAGATAACACTGGATGTTATCATTTTCTCTGTTAACTTCATATGTTTTTAAAGTTTTAAAGTCTAAAATAAAGTGTTAGTTTACAATGAGTAGTATGTTTTCAATTGAATTCATATAGGTCAAAGGTAATGGTGTGAGATTCAATAAGTGTTTTTATTTGTTTTCAAGCAAAAGCCTTTTGTCATGCGAGAAGTAGATTCAGAAGGCAATGAAAAGTTTGTTGGCTACTGCATTGATTTGCTAGAGGAAATATGCAAGCTTATGGACTTTGAGTATGAGATATATTTGGCTCCAGACAACAGTTTTGGGTACATGGATGAGAAAGGTGAATGGAACGGTATGATACGAGAGCTTCTGGATAAAGTAAGTAAAGCTAGGCATAATTATAGACAAAAATAATTAAATATAAACTGTCAGCCATGCTGCGGTTACTATGGTTACCATAGGTCCTAGCGCACACCGCTGGGAGCGCCACGTAGTTACGGCGTACGCGTAACATAACTACAAGGCGTTCCCAGCGGTGTGCGCTAGAACCTATGGTAACCGCAGCACGGCTGACAGTCTATATTTAATTCTTTTTGTCTTTGGCATAATGCTTGAAAATCTCTTTATAGTGACGTTTAGATGTCTTATTACTCAATTTTGCAAAAAGTACCAAGCCAGTGAGCATAAGACAGTTCACATAGACTTTTTGGTATTTGGGCTCAAATGACATCTTTGACCATTTAAAAGTCAATGTTACCATACAATTTATTCTTAAATTTTCATTTTCATCTACTATTCACAGTATGGAAAACTTACTTATATACTATCATTGACTATATATACCTATAGGTATATATGTATAGTCAATGATACTATACTAAGTGTAAAAAATAAAAATTCTTTCAGTTATGCAATCAAGTAGATTCCTGACAGTCCCAAACGGTTATACAAATATATACTCATAATCATAATTATTTTTGTTAATTTTTCTGTCTTCGACCATATTTATTTGTTTACTGATGGCGGTTATCGGTCCAATTAAACATTGGCCTGTATGATCAAAGGAAACCAGCACTGGTACACTGCTATTATTGGTTATGAATTATCCTCTCAGTCAGGTCCTCAGTGTGAGGAGTTAACCTGTCTGTGGCGGAGTTCCATGGAGAGACCCACTTAGTTTGAAGGACTCCATTGACCGTTTGAAGAGAGACCGTTGATGGCTCGGTTTATAGTAATTACAATTGGACAATTTTTTTGTGAGCTGCACATCAAAACTTAGGCTATTTTTAAAGCATTTGGTTTATTTTTGTTTATAAGATGTGGGAAAAGTCTGACAAAAATAGATAAATAATTAAATCACTACGCGACTCAAAGGGTTAAACTAATTGTCAATCCTGCATTACAGAAGGCTGAAATTGCATTGTCTTCTTTGTATGTGACTGCGGAGAGAGAGAATGTCATTGATTACACAGTTCCTTATTATGATCTGGTCGGCATCACAATACTCATGAAGAAACCACAAACCCCTACATCTTTGTTCAAATTTCTAACTGTTCTAGAAAGTGAGGTTTGGCTGTGTATTTTAGGAGCCTATTTCTTTACCAGGTAATTTATACTTTTTGTGTGATCAATTTTACAGAAGATAATTTTTAAATTATGCTGACAAGTGTGTTACACAAAAGATAAAATAAATCCATTGTGTTCAGTTCATCAATTATTACCTTACTTTGAATAAATGTAGGTAGGCCAAATAGAAAATCCAAATAGGACCAAATAGGACATCTAGAAAATACTCTGTGAAGAGCAACTGATCAAAGTAAAACTAACTCTTAAACAATATGGTAATTAAATTAGTTGAGAACCAATCTTTAAAGAAGAGTGTACAACCAATTTTGACCTCACATACATATGCATGTACAGCAGCACTTTTCAGCAGAACTAAAACATTCCTATACAAACTAGTATGGTATGTGTAGATATAAAGTCAATATTAGTATACACAATAATTATTAGAACATTTAACTGTCATTAACACACTCTAATGTAATTCTTAATTATTTTAGCTTCCTGATGTGGGCCTTTGATAGATATAGTCCATACAGCTATCAGAACAACAAAGAAAAGTATAAGGAAGACGACGAACAAAGAGAGTTTAACCTTAGAGAGTGTCTCTGGTTTTGCATGACTTCCTTAACTCCTCAGGTAAAATATACATTACATTCTACTAGGAACTATGCAATTTATGAATAGCACAATACCTATAATTTTTACACTGCATATATAAATACCCCTGCCGTAGCAAACCTGCAGACTAAGGGAATTCCCATTTACCTGGCTGAATTTCTACTAAAATATTCCCTGAAAATTGTCAGATTTATTTCCTACTAGCTGTAACCCGCGGGCTTTGCCCCGTTTAACTTCTTAATTTTCAAGATGATCTCGTTCGCATGGCTCAATCACGTCCTGGTTGAAGTTCGTTCGCTACGCTCACTCACCTTTAGGTTGGAGCTCGTTTGCTACGCTCACTCACCTTTAGGTTGGAGCTCGTTCGCTGCTCTCACTTGCTTTCAGGTTAGCTCGTTCGCTACGCTAATTCGCCTCCAGTTTGAAGTTCTGGTTGCAAATTAGTAAAAGAAATAATAGTGCTGCACCCTGTTGGTAATCCTTGTAACTTTAATGCTATTGAACATCATAGAACTTGTTTAATTGAACAACTTGTTTAATTGAAACAGGTGTTAAGATTCATTAATTCCATTTCTCATAAGGTTAACATAAGAAACTCCAGAGCCACTGGGGCGGAGCCCAGAGGTCGGAGGGTAAAATCCTTTCTTAGTGATCGTCTACTACCCAAAAGGAAGATGCCTGCCAAGTTTCAGGTTCCTAGGTCTTATGGTTTCTGAGATTTCGTGATGAGTGAGTGAATGAATGAATGAATGAGTCAGTGGTATTTGAGCTTTATATATATAGATTTAAATAACATTTATTTTAATGAGTACCTAGGTTTGCTGCTACAGGGAAGGTATTGATGTGTATTTTATTATGCGTATCAGTTTATTTATTCTCTATAAAAATAACATGGGAATTTTAAATTTAAAGTTTTTTTTATTATCTCCGTAACTATTATGCACTACAACGCTTCAATATACATTATTTTTTTTAAGCTCTACAAAATGGTTTGGTAAAAAATTGTGAAATTTTATGTTTTTAGAGTAAAAAATGGGGAAAAACCTATTTTTACCCCATAAAACCCCCCATAAATCGCCGTTCCCATAGTTTGATCATGCTGGCTCGCAAACTCGTTTGAAAACACGTTTGTACCAAATTTAATTAAAATTGAATCATTTTTGCTCGAGTTATCGTGCTAACGGACACACACACACACACACAAATATAAATGTATATGAATTTGAACGGAAGGTGTTTTCGGCCTCTGGGGACCTTAAAATGAAAAAGTAAATCGGTCCTGGGTCTAGGACTTACCCTGAGACCTTCGGTAATAGTTTTTCCCTATATGGCAAATTCGCTAAAAATACATCAAAACAAAGGTAATCTTATACCATTTTGTCCTGGATAAGCTATTATTTCATATCTTGAAAACAACATCGTTCAAGTGACGTCCTCGCAAATTTTTACGAGTTGCTTGAAAAAACCGTTGAATACGCCTTCAAGCTTTTCTTAAGGAATTGCTTGAACCTCTTTGGAGTTTCTCCGTCTGAGTTCGAGCAGGCATCTCGTATCTTTTAAGGGTGGGAATGGAGATCTTGATAAAAGATCCTTGAAATTGAAGTGCTGGGGCGTGCTTCCTGGCATACCTCTTTGGACTAAGAGTGACTGTGGCTCTTTCTCGCTCCACATCGGCTGCTGTGGGAACAGTTTTATAGCTTCCACCAATCTTTTTTTGGGCTGACGCCGTTCTTCTAAATAACGATACCCAGTTCTCTATATAGTTAACTGAGGTCAATATTTAAATGCTTCCTAAACAATCTCTGTGCTTTTTTTTAAATAATCATTCTGCTTAAAAAACGTTTCCACAGCAGGGTTCATTGTTTCAAAGCGCCATGTTTACTAAAATGGTATCATTTAATTTTGTTTATGAGTACAGCTGTTCACTCATTTTTACAATATTTATTATCTGGCAGCTAAAATAAATTGTATAGTTATCACTTTTTAGTGAAACCGAAACCTTATAATTTAAAACAGTACTAATTGACTTTTTGAAATCTTGCAATAATTACTTATTCATCTTGTTTAAAAAGCAATATTGTTCTTTAAACAAACATTATCAAATACATATTTTTAAACCCAATTCTATACATATGTATAGAATTGATCCCTGCCATAGCAAGCCTGCAGACTTAGAAGAGTCCTGTATGATAACTATCGGCAAATTGGGATTAAGGTGTTTTTTTTTTACCCAATCAAAATTACAAGTACCATAACACAATTTTAAACGACAAAACTAGTTAAGAACTTGTTACAAAGTGGCTCAAGGTAGCTATAATTATTTAGGCTGCCTAAAAAAACCTGTACCAAAAAATTGAGATTTATACATTGAAACTGACAGTAAAATATTTGAAGTAGGAGTTTCTGTACTTAAAAATATACTTTATTTACAATTAATTGCTTAACTGAACGTTGTTATAGATTGTAATTATTAAGTACCTACAGTAGTGTTTTTGAAGAAGAAATACCACCTCCTTTTATAAAAAAATATTGCTATTTGTAAAAACTAAAAATTTACATTTGATAACTTTTGAATGCATAAGAATAATTTATAAGAATGGACCATCGTTTTAGGGCGGAGGAGAAGCACCCAAAAACATGTCGGGGAGGCTAGTGGCAGCTACTTGGTGGTTGTTTGGATTTATCATCATTGCCTCGTATACAGCCAACCTCGCTGCGTTCCTGACTGTGTCACGTCTGGACACGCCTGTAGAGTCCTTGGAGGACTTGTCAAAACAGTACAAGATCCAGTACGCGCCCCTGGAGGGCTCCTGGGTACAGACCTACTTCCAACGAATGGCCGATATTGAGCAAAGATTTTACAAGTTAGTAATAAACTAAAAGGCAAACAAAAAGTCTTACAAAATACAAATGATTGGCCTAGCACTCAAAGGGTTAACGTGAAAGTAGAATTTCAGACAGTAGTACACTTTTGCTCATACAACTATAGTATGTAAAGAGTTGTTTAACAGATTACTTACATAATGTAGATGTAAGGGATGTAAAATTAATGTTCTTTCTAAATAAAAAAAAAATGGCTACAGTGGTCCATATAGACGGTATGTCTACTTAAATATTTTTAAGTCAATTAATAGTGTGGTTGTTACAGCTGTAAAGGATTTTTGTCTTTCAGCATCTGGAAGAAGATGAGCCTAAACACCAGTATGAGTCCTGTGGAGAGAGCTCAGCTAGCCGTGTGGGACTACCCCATCAGTGACAAGTACACCAAGATGTGGCGCTCCATGACAGAGGCAAAGTTCCCCAAAACTCTGGAGGAAGCTGTCAATCGGGTACTCCAGTCCAAAGATTCCAGCGAGGGCTTTGCTTTCCTAGGTAAGGATATTTTCATGAGTTTTTGTGGGTTTTTCTTTGTGTACTTTAGAAGTTATTAAAAGTTGTATTTATAATGTAAACAAAGTACAATGCAACCTCTCTCTGAGGAGAACATTTTAAACTTGTGTACCTTAGAATAATATAAAATAATGTACTCAATGTTTTACTGCTTTTTAGGCTTTGCTTAATGTTCTGTAAAATGTTCCCCAACTTCTTCCACCCTATAATTTATATTTTAGCTACTAACCATAACCAACAGTTTTCTCAGTATTGTCTCACAGAAGCGTTTTTTAATACTTAACACTGGGTCAACGATGGTTTTATTTTGTCAACAAATTTTCCCCTGATATCTACCGGCTTTTGATATATTCTTATTCTTTAACTCCTCCCCTCATCAAGGTTTATCCAATGCTGTGCACCTCCTCAATACAATAGATTCTCTAACTTTGACATTCTCTATCCCAGGTTGGGTATTGGAACTGGTTTACTCATCCCACTCTGAAATTGCTTAACTCTGGAACCGGATAAGCAATTCCGGACTTAGCCAATGCCGAGACTGAACATGTTAGCGGGTTCCTCACAACAACTAATTTTGGAAATAGGGCATTTTAACATGGGGTTAGTGAGCTCCTGAGTTAACCTATATTGCGTACCCCCCTCAGTTATACACGTTGAGAAATAGCCACCACATGACTGGCATTATTTAAAAGTAATGTACATTTCATCTGTGTTATGTGTTTCATGTGAATGTGAAATGTCTAGTCTATTTTGTTTCTTGTAGTGATTTCTATTACATACCATGTACAATATATTTTACAGGTGATGCAATTGATATCAAGTACCAGGCCTTAATTAACTGTGAACTGCAAATGGTAAGTTAATACCACTCTTATCCAAAACATCTCATAACAATGCCTTTTTATGTTTTTAAAGTCAACTTAAACTCTTCTTATCACTGACTGTTATTATACTGTACTTGTGTTTATAATATCTAACTGCAAACTGCTACCATCAGCTGCTTGTTACGTAAATACAATAATTTAAGTGCAATTATTGTTTTGTGAGTTCATTGGTTTGTTTAAAAAAAATGCATGGATTTGTTCTTCAAGTAAGTGCCAAATTCACACAAAGGAAGTGCCAATCTTGGGCAATGCACTGTTGATGCGTACCGCTATAATCGAAAAGAGACTAATGCACATACAATTAATGAACGCTGTGTATACACCCCCGATGATACAATTGTTGCCAAACATAAGTCTTACATTTTCGTTGCTTACTCCAGTGTAAGCGTGGTTTAAAACATGTGCTGTTTAAACATATGTTTCTGACTTCTGTTGTCAGATTCTTTAAATGGATATTATCATAGACAAATAGAATAAATATAGACTGTCAAAGGAAGCTTCTGGCGCCCACCGCTAGGAGTGCCATGTAGTTAGCACACCACTGCGGCAAGGAGCGCAGGAGCCTAAAATACCGTATGCGTGGTACCGTATGCTACCAGCAGACGCTGCAGTAGTGTGCGCCGTACATTCTTCGTGTACATTCTTCAGGAGTCTTCTCTCTATAAAAAAGTTTTTGGATGAAAGAAATCTGCTTATCAGCACAACAAAATCAAGTCTAATATCCTTTTCAACTAAACAGTCAAAAACAGCATTTGAACCTAATATTTTTATAAAAACAGACAAAATTGATCAGGTAAGCCAAACAAAGTTTCTGGGACTGGTCATTGATGAAAATCTATCTTGGGATAATCACATAAACTATGTTGTAAATAAATTATCATCTGGCATTCATGCCTTGCGGCTGATGTCCAAGGTTTGCAGCTTGGAAACTCTTATGATAATCTATTATTCTTTATTTCATTCCCACATATCTTATGGAATCACCATTTACGGAGCAACAACTAAGGAAAATTTGGATAGAATACTTATAAAACAGGAAAAAGCTATTAGAGTGATCATGAAATTAAAAAGAACAGATTCAGTTAAAAATATCTTTCCTGAATTGGGTGTGTTAACAGTTTACAGTTTGTATATTTATGAGACAATTGTTTTTGCAAAACAATTTCATTTATTATCCTCTGCAAGTAAATATAACACACGCTTTCAAATTAACCTTCCTAGACATAATTTAGAATTCTACACCAAAAAACCTTCATATACAGGATTAAAATTTCTTCAAAAATTACCCATTTCACTTAAAAAAGAAAATAATGCAAACAGATTCAAAAGCCAACTAAAAGACTTATTGATAAGAAACCCATTTTATTCTATCAACAAATTTTTAAATAGTAATTTCGAAACGTTCATTTGAATTCCTGATACTAACTAGTTTTACTCTGACGTAATCGATTTTATAATTTGTTTAAGTAATAACACTCATTTTTTAGTTTTACTATATAGATCCTTTGTAATGAATTACTTTAATTATTTAGTTTATAATTTTTTCTTTATGTTAGTTTAATGACGCTATTTAGGACATATTGTCTAAACATGAATAAAGAATATTTGATTGATTGATTGAACTACACGACATTCCTAGCGGTGGGCACCAGAAAATATGCTAACCGCAGCACTGCTACCGGTCTATATTTATTCTATTTGTTTATGATATTATTTAAGAAAAAACATTGGTTACATTCTTCAAAAGCTTATGCTTATTGATTAAAATGCTTGCTCCGCTCAACATAGCGAGCACACAACTGCATTGTTTACATCTAGTTAATGTATACAGTTAGCGACATAATCAATGGCATAAGGGGAAGCGTCCAGACACCTACAAAGGACCCATGCATTTCTACCTTAGGCTAAATCCATGTTTTATTATAAAAAAATAGACTTAATAAGGTACAGTAATTGTTATTTTGCTGGGTTGTTTTCAGGTGGGAGATGAGTTTTCAAGAAAACCATTTGCCATTGCAGTTCAACAGGGATCCCCTTTAAAAGATTCTTTCAATAATGCGTAAGATATTCTTTACTACTTTCTGTGCTGAAATTGCAATTCATTGCTTCCAGTACGGATGGTATGCTTTGAGTGCTATGATGAGTAGTTCGTCCGGGTCAGTAGAGAAACCTAACCAAGTACACTCAAACAATCATTGGAGAGAGCAAAATTTAACAAAAATTGAATGAAGTAACTGGTGTGTTGTTTTGTGTAGAGAAATCCCCTTCTAACCATCCACTGGACAAAAATCACATGAAAATGATCATAGATTCTATTCTACATGTTTATTGGGTACTTTGAAATAACATTTCACACTCACATAATTTTTTACTAGAACATTTATGCAACTGCACTACATAGTAAGCAGCTGGTTTTTGTAGTTTTTTAGACCAGAAAGTTGTTTACAAAAAGGAACAGGTAAAGTCAGCTGGACTGGTATTTATATGGCCCTGGTAAATTTACCACACTTCAACAATAATAGCCTACCTTCCTCAATCGTAGTAGACTCGCTCACCTCAACAATACCAATTATCAGCAACTCCCTGCAAGCACTAGCCTCATGTCTTGTTCAACATTTTATGCTATAAAATCAACCCTCCACCCCTCATAGAGCAAGTTTGATTATTTCCTATTATGTACCAACTGCCTTTCTGTAGTGTGCAATCATTCACAAACTAGTTTATTAGAAAAGATGCATTAATTGTAAAGTTCCACATGAAAAGAAGGTTGTGTGGGTTATTTTTGCGGGACAATATTGTAAACTAAACTGCAATAGAAAAAATTGACCGTTGAGTTTAAGTTCAATTTGCAAAATAAACTATTTGACGGAATGCGATTTTTGTTATACCGTAATCAGAATCTCTCCTTGTTAAGCAAGAAACTTTGTTCAGACCATTAAGAGTAGAACCTTCAATACCCAGCTTAGGGATACTGACTCTAGTTATTTGAGTGCTTGGGACCTGTCTAGCTGTCATGCAACAAACACATAAATAACTTGGTTATTTGTATACACTTACAAGATTATATTTTTTAAGAATGTGTTTTGTATGGATTAATATATTTACGTCACTTACTTTACTACTTATTTGGACCTTCTTTTGCCTCCTGCAGTTTTTTTTACTCCTTTGACAATCCTACCTTTTTTGTGTTCCATCCTTGGCTGGTTACACCCCTGATGGTTATTAGACATTCTAACTTACTACTGTACATTGAGTTGTAATTTCTTTATCAGCTTTGGTCAAATTTAACTCTAATTTCAGCATACTTCAACTTCTAAACCAAAGGAAGTTAGAAAAGCTAAAAGAAATTTGGTGGAATGGAAATCCTGAGCGGAAAGTCTGTGAAAAACCTGATGACCAAGCTGATGGTATCAGCATACACAACATAGGTAACATATCTGTACCTGTCAATTTTGTAACTTAAAAACATATCACTAAGTTTAATAACACATGACAATTTTATAAGAGCAGGGCCGGTTTAACCCATACGCAAACTACGCGGCCGCATATGGCGCCACGAAAAAGTGGCGCCGTGGCGACAACGGAACAATTTTTTTTACGTGAACAACATAATTTTGTTTATTTTCGCTCAGAGTTCAAGTATACCACAATAAAGGCATTTATTCTGTTTGTACCAACAGCACTTGCAAAATGTGTATATTTTTGTACAGCACTACAACTCAAGGACTCAATGCCATTTGCAGTTTCGATTTTGTAGTGAGCTGATGCTCGGCAACGTACGGCGCGGCGCCTGTGGGTTTCATTTCACGACTCACTCATGCTCGAGATGAGATAAGCAAGCGCGCAGCACCAATTGTCACAACAAAAAACTTCCCCCTCCCTTCCCTCCCTTCTGACTCTTATCCTAGAGCATAGCACTACGTTGTATTGCACTCTTTTATGTATTAGCGTGTATCGGTATCGTAATGGCGTTGTTTTGATGATTCATGATTGTTGATAAGTGAATGATTACGAGTGTTTTAAGTTTAATTTATAATTAGCGCATTAAATAAGAAGAAAGTATAAACTGAATAAATGAGTAAAACATCTAGCGAGCCAATACTAAGAAAACAATGGTAGAAAAAAAAGTCGGGCACTTAAAAAGGGTAAGGCGAATTTGGAAGAGGAAGATAAAAATCAAGCCAAATCAATGAGTAGATTTTTGTTTAAATCATCTGGTGGCGAGTCCAGTCAGCCCAAAGAAGTCACGATAGAAGACGGCAATGACGTAGGTATTTATTTATTTATTTTCCAAGGAAAGATTAAAACAAGCAGCTGATCACAAACGGTAAACATTACGTCATTGCCGTCTTCTATCGTGACGTCATGCTTGACGAGCATTAGTGTGGCCTTGATTACGGCCTGTTTTTTTTTAGTGTGGCCTTGGTTTTGCTAAAGTTTATATGATGAGTAAAAGTGTAAAAATGTTAAATTTATGCGAATAATAAACAGTCTTTTATTACAAGTATTCTTCTAACCTAAAAAAAATTATTGGGAAAAAATTCACAAATACGGTTATGTTATGATATTGATTTGGGGGGGGGGGAATCCTAAGTGGCGCTGATTCGGGTGTTCGCTTAACTCTGAAAAATTCCTAGAACCGGCCCTGTATAAGAGATTTCTTCATTGAGCGAAGCTCACTTTCCCTCACTTTGTAACTTCTTTGTAAGAGCATCAGAATGTAATGGCTTGACCAATTGATATGAAATTTGGCCAACAGCTAAAGAATACTGCACAATGTTTTGGTAAAAAATATTTGCAAATTTCCTTCTGGATTTTATTTTATGGGTCACACAATTTTCGCTAGTTATTTTAATGTAAGTTGAAAGAAAAATTATATTGGGTTTATGACATATGGGTTTATCTCGTTTCATTTAAATAAGATAAATATATGTTAATTGTTTGTAACTGGTTTGTTTACATTTCAATGTTTACTTTCATCCTAGGTTAAAGTTGGAATGTAACAGTTTATCAATGGAAGTAACAGTTTTGCTATATTTGTTTTGAGCATGCCTCAAAGGCCACGTCGTAATATTGGTCGTCGCACCAATAATGCAAATATTGTGAGAGAGTGGCGTCGTGAACAAGAAGAACCAGATGAAGCAGTGGCGGAAGAAGCTGATAATGATAGGCAGTTAGTTAATCAATTCCAACATGAATTAGATGCACTAATCTGTTGAAAGGGAACATATTATAGGTTGTTAGCTGCTTTAGCCATTGACAATCTTTAAATAATGCTTCGCTCATTTATGCGTCTAAAGTGTAACGGCAGACCACCCTAGTTTATTAGGACACTGTGGTTCCGAAATCACAGTAAAACATGATTAAACCCATGTAAAAATCTGAACCACTAAGGAGTAAAAACCCCCTTTGAATATTTATTTACCTAATTAAAATTTCATTTCAAATATTCCAAGTTATTGGACTACAATTAGTCATACAGGCATACAGGGTATACTGTATAGTGTTGCCTAATGAAAGATACAATATTAGTATAATAAGTTTGTTAAGCAGTGCCTGGGGATTTTATATATCCAGGTTAGAAAAAAATATAATCCAATATTTTAAATTATCTGTGGTGAAAACTGTTTTAAAATGGCAGCTTATTAAAAACGATTATTTTAATTTTGATTATAACACTTGTTTACAACTGTAGCTATAATCAAAAAATTCATGTGTTAGCAAAATTCATGAAAAAGGCTGAATTAGTATATTTATACTGTATTTCATAAAGAGTAGAAAGAAAGTGAGTTATTACATATTTGAGACCACGTTTGAAGTGCAAGATTTATTGAGCACGTTAAATGGTCAAGAATATGACCCACTTTCACTTGTGTTTTGAACGTTACTTTTCGCTACACTACAAAGACTAATGTAATCTTCTTAATTAAAACAGACATTGGATATTCCTCTATTACAGTTAGGAAAAACTCATAGCACTTTTAGGTTATGCCTTAAATTTTAAGTTAATTTTTACTTTGGTTGTACAGTTTTGGTTGTTGAAAATTGAAACAGTTGACATAACAATAACCAATCTTTGTTTACGTTGGCAAAATCTAAATAAGATAGTAAAAATCACTTTACCTTACCTAGCTGGCCACTCAAACCTAAGCAGGTTTTTGGCCTCTCCAACAGCTTTGCGCCATCTTTCTCGGTCCTTCATCATCTCCTCTGTAACGGACATCCTTCTCATATCCCTCCGGACTTGGTCCCACCATCGCAGCCTTGGGCGTCCTAAAGGTCTTCTTCCTACAGGTACAGCATCCGTCACTGTTCTCAAGACTGACTCTTCAGGTCTCCTGTAGACATGTCCTGCCCATCGAAATCTTTGGCTTTTAATTAATGCAGTAATATCCGGATCTTTGTAGACCTCACGTAATTCTTTATTTGTTCTAATCCTCCAAATTCCTTCTTCTTCAATTGGGCCATATATACGTCTGAGAATTTTGTTTTCGAAAATTATTAGCTAAAAAAAAAAAAATCACTTTAGCGTAGTAAAAAAAATCCTTTTTTCTGTAGTAAACAATGTAATGCTGAATTTTCGCAGGTGGTGAACATGTAACGAAAACAGGTCATTTCACAGTAGTGTAGCGAAAAAAAAGCATTGTTATTGAGTGTAACTGACAATAATTTCATGTGTTCACGTTTTGACTGTTGGGTTCATGTTAAAAACTCAAACTTTTATTGATATTTAATAAACACTTTACTAATAATGCTCAGTTATTGTAAGTTTTACTAGAGCACCTGCTGCTCAAATTTGAGCAATTGTAAAGTATTATAGGTGTTATTTCAAAACGAATAACAGTCATAATTTCCGATTATGACTCAAAAGAGTCAACTCAAAAGATAATGAAATCAATCACTCCACTCTAGTTATTGGAACTGCAAACGAACTCACTCTGAAAACGAACACTATTGTGTGTATAATGTGTTTACTAATGAACAGCTGTAATTAATACAAATATTATTTGTCTGTTTAAGTAAACAAAATCTTTTCATCATAAGAAATACATTGGGATTTTGATGGCCTGTGGGGCAAGGCCCGAGAACTTTTATTACAGGAATTGGTGAAAGGGGGCGTCTATACAAAAAATACTTAATTTTGACACATTGTTTGTAAAAATCTGTCCATTATTAACGAAGGAGTAGTGTTTAGTAAAAAACGCCTTCACGTATTATATATAAGGATTCTGCCAATTTTTAATCTGGTTCTGTGTTGCAGGTGGTGTCTTCATTGTTATATTTGTTGGAATCGCACTTGCCTGTGTTACGTTAGCTTTTGAATATTGGTGGATGAAATATAAAAAACCAAACGGAGATAGCGCTGAGCCTGAGAACAATAAATTATTTGAACAAAGGAAAATGTTGTCAAACCAATTGAGGGAGGAGTATTTTACTTCAACAAAGAAAATAACCACTCCTAAAGATAATATTCCTTACAGGTAAAATTGCTTACCTCTGTTAGAGTACAATATTCCACCATTTAAGAAAACCCACAGTTTAAACATGTAAATCTTCAGCTGCGTTAATTTAATCAAACATTAATTACTCGATGGATATATATATAAGGAGTGTGTGTGTCATGAATTTGAGTCGAGCCAAGTTAGCAAAAACTCAAAAGCTTCGAGCTTGTTGAGTCAAGGTGGCATGCGTGATTGCTTTAAAATCCTACACCTTTCTAAAACAATAAAATAAATTAACTTTATAGTAGGCTATGTTCGTAAAAATAATCTTAAAACTTACAATTTACATTTAGTTGTAAATACAAAAACAGTACTTACACTTTCAGACGTAGCAAAAAATTTGGCCAAAAATATTCAATGCAATTTTTGTTTACGTTCTAAAACCTCTAGCCTATAGCAAAAATTAAATCCTATCGAATTTGTTGTTGTAATTTCTAGTCTCTGACCATAATTTACCAGTAAACTACACTTTCAAAAATCTAATACTATATTTTATATTACTTATTTAATAAATCCACTGCATTGTGTTTGTAATAAGTGATACCTAATTGTACTCTCGTATCCTACCCTGTCTAACGTCTTCACTCAGATATCAAATTTCGCAACATTGTACAAATGGTCAAAGAAACACGATTTTTGTTCGCCATAACCAACTTAATTACCATTTCTGTAAAAGAAACTGGGTTAGCTAAGCTTACTCTTTTATTAAACAAAATGGCTGCGTGTTGTTAGTTGTTGGTCTTAGATGGCAACACCAAATATACCGCACAAACAAAAAAGTAACCACTAATTTCATTTTTATTTAAGTCTTGCCCTTGTGGTCTCCCAACCAAGCAATTTATACTTCTGTTTTCAGTGTTGACAACTTATTTCAGTGTTTCAAGGTGAGATGACAGCAAGTTAACCACTTCCAATAAAACTTATTATAAAACTCGACTCTTTGAGTCCTCTCAAAATACTCGAGATGAGCTGGACCAAAAATACTCTACCACTCAAGTATTAGCACACCCCTAATATTTAAGAAATAAATACTTTTTTATCTAAAGGTCTACACCTGATCATTTACTTTGGTGCAGTGTTTGTTTTAGCTGACTCATTAATATCTTGGCCATTACGACCTGCTTCTGTTGCTTGATTCAGGCCCTAGTGACCAGTACTGGTGTACAGTAGTCGCAGTTAGTCTGGGCGCGCGGACCCTTGTGTACTAACCGTTCCTCACGCCAAAGCCATGAAGACAGCGCTGAGGTGCTGAACAACCCCAGAGAGCCAAGTGGGCAATGTTTTTGGAAATGAAACAATAAACACTCCCCTCTACACCCCCCCCGCCCAAGCGCCCAGACTTCAGACTAGCTGCTGGTTAACTGTACTGGTTAGGTCAGCAGCAACTAGCTCCATATATTTTTTTTAACCTCTTAAGTTTTTCAAATATGTTGGTCATTGCTTGTCTTTTGTAAGTTCCTCCTCTGTGATAAAACTTGCTACAATTTGATGTGAAAACCTAAGATACAAAACATTGTATAAACATTTACATTATACTGTGTGTTGTTAGAGAAATAATTCTTTCAACTGTTTGCAGGAGAAGAGAATATAACAGATGGTAGAGAAATGTCTACTACAGTTGTGAGGCAACAGGATGACTCTAAATAGTGAATTATGAATACACATACTCAACTACTGTAAAATTGTCTACTTTCAATACCACCAATCCCTGGAATCCCTTCATGTCCTAATGAGTTTTAGCATACAGTACACAATTATCAGCGGTTGAGTTGACGAACGAGGAAAAACATTCAAATCATTGTGCAAGAAGTAAAAAGTTTCTTTTCAAAGGTTTGTAAAAAAGTTGCATTTTCTAATCCAGTGAAATTAAAGCCTGGCAAGTTTTGTGAAATGGACTTTTGATTTATAACACTTTGAAGTTGCAATGTTTATTGATATTCAACTAAAAATGTGTAGAAAAACGTAGATCACTCATCTTATGTTAATAATCATATTTATCTTTATATAGGTAACTGACTTAAAACAGTCTAAAGTTTTCTGTGTCTGATAACCCGTGATTTTGTCTTCACCAATCTTGATCCTATAACAATATAACACTCAAAGATCGCAGCTATAGCTAGTGGAGAGCTATTAAGACAGTTATCATTGGAGTGTACAAAAAATGAGTGATTAAAACCACAACACTCACATCTTCAAGTTTAACAGGCTAGTATGCCTCTCAACATTAGTATAATATCTACTTTATGTAATAACTGATAGTTGGGTCTTTGATCAGTGTTATTTTTTTTTAGATTTCTTAAAGTCATTTTAAGATGAAATCAGCACAACATTTTCTCTGGATAGAATGAGGTACATCATTGAAGTTTGTGTGAAACATTGGCATTAACTAACTTATGTTTTGATTTCCAGTTTACATCTAGGATCTAGACAACTTTAAAGTACTCATTATGAGTACTTATGAGAATGTTTTAGTTGGCTGTATTCACTGTATCAATCTCTCAATGACCACCATTTTATAACAATCCTTTAAATAAGAGAGGGGAAGGTTAAATTGACTCAAGAATTATAATATAATGTAAAATTATCATTTTTAGAGCACCCTGTAAGCAAAACACTACTTTATTTGCAGACAACATTTACATAAAATACATGTTCAACACAATACTGGAATGTGAAAAAATAACAAACTTAATAAATTGCGCTAAAGTAGCTTCTATAACTTTTTAGGCGTTTTAAAAACTTAAAAAAACATTTTAAACAATCACCAGGAGAATATCATTATTAAAAATGTTTCATCCACTTCTTCAATATTGGCAAGTGCAGAGTAAGTAAATGTATATAACTAACAAATAACTCAATATTTGGGATAGAGTAAATACAATGAATAATTAGTAAATATTTTTATAATTTAAGAAACGTTTATGTAAATTATATATATAGGTATGTATATATTAGGACTTTTATTATTACACAACTAATTTAAATCAAGCATTCCTTCAAAATAACGATCTATGAAACATCTAGGAGACAGCAAAATAAGGCTAATTCGTTTAAGTAAAAGGTGCTTGAACAGTTCATCTCGCTCACAACTAAATTTTGCACAAGTAAATTACAAGTCTTTAAACATTTGACAAAACCATAAACTTCATTAGGCGATTATAATATATGTATGTACAACTCCATAATCGGGCCAATGCCATGATGATGACAGCTTATGGAGAATCAGTGAGATGGACCATCCATACATATTGCGCATCTGGAAAACACCACATCCAATCAGATTTTATTAGTCTAAGAAGGATTACAGGGGATATTGCCTGTGCTCTGAAATCTCACATGACCTAAAACACATTGAGATGGGTATCGGCTATGATACACTTAATTGCATAACTATGCTCCTCTTGATATTAAATTCAGTTTAATAATTATGTTACACTGTACATAATCTAAAAATTAATAGTTACACTTATTGTTACTCTTTTTCAACACCACTGTAACTGTCCAGTTTTTAACCAAGAATACAAAAACACACTTTTGAATAAAATTCAATTTTAATTGTTTTAGATTGAGTGCAACTCTCTGAGTTTTAGATTATATGCGACTTGGTGTATTTTGGACCATGAACAACTCAGTGTTTAGGATCATGGGTTTACAGCTAAATGCAATTGGTTTACAGCTAAGTAAAAGAGTGAATACCCCTAATAGAACAAATGATGGAAGTAAACAACTATTTTGTAAATTTTATGTACCTAGTAATAAGCATATATAGGTACTAGATATAGGCTAATAACTAGTGATGTGTCAATATCAAAATTTATTGATTCTCAATTCTCAATACCGATACCATTTTATTGTAGTTTAGCAAAATTTTCTGAATGGATTGGTCATACTACACCAACCCCTATCTTAATGTTCTTCCATAAAGTAGGCCTACCATTGAGGTAATGGTGTGTTTTTTCAAGTAAAGAAAAAATGAATGAAACAATGAAAAATTTGAACTCGCCAAATTAAGTTGAAATCCTTCTTAACTCGGGAGGACTCACATGCTGGTCTAAGATACCGGGTTGGTAATCATTTTTGTAAAACTTGTACAGGCCTGGGCAGTTTTCACCGCCACCGTACCTCACACATATCTTTCTAGGAACAACATGAATAATTTCCCACACTTGCCCTTTTCCTAGATTTAGTGTCTTGTAAGTTCACATAAAGGACTGGTCAGTTCGACCATGTGTGAGTGACGAAGTTAGTGTGATGCCGGGTTTTTCAGACCGTGAGTGAGGGACCCCAGAAGTCTAATCGTAGTTTTTAATGAATTTGATTTAGTTTTTCAAATGTTTTTGGACTGTGTTTTACGTGAAAATATCACAAATACTATGTAATAAAATTGGGTTGTTGTTGAGCGTTTTGCGCATCATAATGTTTTAGGACGCCAAGTGACGGTACAAAGACTAATGTAATCTTCTTAATTAAAACAGACATTGGATATTCCTCTATTCCTCTATCAGTTAGGAAAAACTCATAGCACTTTTAGGTTATGCCTTTAAGTTAATTTTTACTTTGGTTGTACAGTTTTGGTTGTTGAAAATTGAAACAGTGGACAAAACAATAACCAATCTTTGTTTACGTTGGCAAAATCCAAATAAGATAGTAAAAATCACTGTAGCATAGTAAAAAAATCCTTTTTTCCGTAGTAAACAATGTAATGCTGAATTTTCGCAGGTGGTGAACATGTAACGAAAACAGGTCATTTCACAGTAGTGTAGCGAAAAAAAGCATTGTTATTGAGTGTAACTGACAATAATTTCATGTGTTCTCGTTTTGACTGTTGGGTTCCATGTTAAAAACTCAAACTTTTATTGATATTTAATAAACACTTCACTAAGAATGCTCAGTTATTGTAAGTTTTACTAGAGCACCTGTTGCTCGAATTTGAGCAATTGTTAAGTATTACAGGCGTTATTTCAAAACGAATAACAGTCATAATTTCTGATTATGACTCAAAAGAGTCAACTCAAAAGATAATGAAATCAATCACTCCACTCTATCAATCACTCAACTCTCATTTGAAGTTATGAACACTCCGTAAGTTCGGCACAGCGAACGTGGAATAAAGTATAAGTAAGCAATACAATCACTCCAACTTACTATGGATGTAACTGATTTTCAACAGCACCCAGACTTGGTGGGCTCTACAGGTTTTCCCTGGTCAATCCTGACGTTTTTGCCTGAATCAGCAGCAGACGAAGGCGGTCCCACTCGGTTCTTTATCTCAGTCGCCATTGTCATGAACGCTTGCTCCACGTTCATCGCACTCTTGGCTGATGTTTCTAAAAATGGGATGTTCAACTGGTCTGCATATTCCTGCAAAATCAACAAGTAGCCATTATTAATGAGCTGATATTAAGAGTTACCTAATATTAATACTATTAATAAATAAATAAATCTTCATAGAATTATTTAATAACATTACATTAAGCAAACACATTATAAAACATGGTGTGTATTACGTTTCAGAATAATAGGCCCCTACTTTGAACCGTAGTTATTAAGGGTTAGCCTTTGTTCAAAATTAATAGCTAAGCCATAGAAATAAGTTAATGTAAACTGGAGCTACGTGTCAAAACCAAAATTTATAAATTCTCGATACCAATGCCTAAACAATTAATTGTTGGTACCAATTCAAAGTTTTTTAAATTTTACCAATATAATTATTTGTTTAATTTTAAGTTTTCTGGTATTTTTTCACAAAGTAAAAATAAAAAAATAAAACAGCAATGAAAAATGCTAACTAACCAATTCAAATTTAAACCCAAACATTTACTATCTTCTGAGATTGCAGAAAAATCCTGGACATCTATCTCTCAGCGTGGTACGGGCAAACATCATAATTGTCTATCATGAAAATATCCTGAATATCCCCCATTGTAATGGAAACATCATCATTGTTTAACACAATAGCAGCAAAATACTGAATAACTCTTAGTGACATCAGATATACACTGTAATCTTCTAAAATAGGTCTCAATTAGTGGTGTTGATACCAAAATTTATCGATTCTCAATACTGATACCGGAAAAATCCATTCTCGATACCGATAATTTTTTTAAATTGTTTTACCAATTTTCTGAATGGATTAGTTATACTACACCAACCCCTGTCTCATCGACTCCCGCAGTCACGGAAATGTCATCGTCGTCATCCACAATTGCGCAAAATCATGAATAATTTAGCCGTGTGAGAGGGCTATTCATAGTAAGAAAAATTTTGTTCTTTAATACTTAATACTTTAAAATAGTTTCTTATTAAATGGCGACCATACAAAGTAGGTATTTTAAGCCAAGCATGAATGGAGATGAGTGTCGTATTCCACTGATCTCGCACATTTTGGTGGGTGAGCACTCGGCAACTCAGTCCGCGTCCAGCCGTGACAACGGGAACATCCTTGCGCTGCCCGTTTTTCGCAATTCTAACTTAAGATATGCGCTGTGTTTGAAATTCCCGCCAGTTGTGAGGTGAGGTCAGTGATCGGTTTTTTTAGCAAAAAACCTAAAACTGATAAGACATTTATCGATTATATTATATTTATTATATTATTTATATTTATTATAATATATTATACTTATTTGTCGAATGGTTCATGAGTTATGAAACAATGGGCGGACGCCCGAGCATTGTGACTGGAACTGGTCGTTTAAGATGATGAAGAGGTTCGCGAAAACCGCCGATTCACATTTATGGAGTTTTTGCTTTGTTTACTTTGTTGTTTGAAATTGACAAACATCAATGTGAAAGCTCAGTTATCGGACCGGCGGTTTTCGTGCACTTTTTCATTAAATTTAGCAACCTTTTCCAGTCTTAATGCTCGGGCGTCTGCCCTATGTTTCATCATAACTCATGGACGTCAATTCGGCCATTTTAAAAATGAATGCACCATTTTAGCACAGAACTTTACTTCATTATGATGTTTCCGTCAACGCGTATCACACACTTGGCGATAAATGTCTATAGGTAGGTTTTAAGTTTTTTGCCAAAAGAACGTACCTCTGGCCGTACATCACAACTGGCGGGATTTTCAAATGCAGCGCACATCTTAAGTTTAAATTGCAAAAAAAAAAAAAACAGGCAGTGTGAGGATGTTCCCATTGTTACGGCTGGACGCCAACTGAGTTGCCGAGTGCGCACATACCAAAAAGTACGAGATCAGCAGGGGCGCTAGCGGCGTCAGAACGAAACGTTCCTTACTTTCTGAATAGCCCTCGTAGACGCCATCATTGTCTCCAGTGGCCATGGAAGTGTCGTTGTCTTGCGCGTTCGTGGCAATAGCAGTAATTTTTTGACTGTGGGGGCGTGACAAGTATCGGTATCGGAATCGACTTTCGATGATCGATTCTTGATACCGATACCAACGGCCAAGTATCGTTGGCATCAAGAATCGACATCGAGTATCAACACATCCCTAGTCTCAACGTTTCCACTATGTTGAAAACTATTTTGTCTTTACTACCTTTCTCCTTTGTCAATAATCATTTAAATCCTTCTGTGATTATATATGTTTACGACTCTGTTGCTACTATTATATTTTACAGAAAGGTAAAAGTACAAACCTTAGCTGTTTGTTGATCCACGACCTTTTTAGTAGTCAAATCACATTTGTTTCCTACTAATAGTTTGTTAACATTTTCACAGGCGTAGCGATCAATTTCTTCAAGCCATTGTTTCAAGTTGTTAAAGGACTCTAGGTCTGTGCAATCGTACACTACTATGATGCCATGGGCTCCTCTGTAGTAGCTGGACGTGATGGTTCTGAACCGTTCTTGTCCCGCTGTGTCCCACTACAACAACAAGTGACAAAGTAAAAATAAGGTGCAATACATTTGAAAAAAAAAATACTGTTTCAGTGGCCCTATCCTCCTTTACAATAGGGCGCACTGACAGTTGTTAAAATTTTACCAGTTATATAAATGAAAACCCAGAGCTATCCTTCCCTCCAATTAAGGTGAAAAACACTTTTGATTTGGAAACATCCTACCTAAAATAGGATCGAGAGCCAATCAGTTGTAATAATAATGTCATCTACTCTTGGTATTTAATTTAAAATAATAGTCCTGACTAAAGTAATGATTGAATTAACACTACAATCCAAGGTATCTTATGCATCACAAACAAGGCGAGAAATGTCCTTTAGTTCTTGCACGGCCACCGAACCAACTCTCACGTTTTCAAGGACCATTATGATACATTAACCTAGGTTAGGCTCTTGTTCAGTATCAAATCAACAACAGTACGGTACCAACAATGTGGCAGTAGTCTAAGTTAAATGATTTCACATTGTACTAATTTATAATGATACCGAATAAGGTTAGCTTTCTTCGCTTCAACACTGTTTTAGATGTCCTTATCATAGAGCACAACTATCAGTAATGGGTCCAGAATGGTCACCATCTGATTGTAATATTGATGATATCCGATCAACACACGTACAATGATTGCTGTGCGACTTCCACGTCTGCCAAAGTAGTCAACACCAGAGAGAAGATGGATAAAAAGGATTCACCTCCTGTATAATTTATCTCTATCCATGGACGGACACCTAGACTAGCTCGCTATTCGTCAATATCAGGTTTCCTCGTTTGTAGCAACTCTAAGGCGCTCTCATAAAAATAATGTATTAAATGCAAATACATCAAACCCCATTCTAACCGCACCCAGCTAAACCAAATTTAGTTAAGGTAGCTGTACTGGCTTCGCCAATAGAATGTAATATAGCTGACGACGACACGGATCACAAAGGTACCGTCCCACGGTATAAATAAGGTTGATCAAACAACTGTCCACTATTTTAAGAAATAGATTTTGTTAAGACAGTTGTAGTTTTCAACATGGCAGTAAATTAAATTGACTTTAAAATTAAATGTTATCTCTCTGAACTGAAATAGCCATTCGACAATTGATTTACTGAAATAATAGCTGAAACAGCCTTGCCTCTTTGATTGATAGGGATTTACTATTTTATTACTTTTGTTAGTAAATTTAGTACAAGCCATAAAACATTCTAAATTACTTACAATTTGCAGCTTGATTGTCTTTCCATCTAGATCAATAGTTCTTATTTTCTGTAAAAAAAAAACACAAAGTTATTATAAAATATGAATATTTAGCCAGAGACACTATATAGCAATTTGAAGAATGATGTAAACTCTAGCAGTTTTTTAAGCCTATATTTTAATTTCTTGCACCATAAAGTACGGATATAGGTTTCTGTATTTCTTAAAAATTGTAATATTATGCTTTTTGGTAAACAAAGTTAGTACTTGTGTTAACACCTCAAAATCTGTTTTGAGATATTTGAGTTTTAAAATAAAATTAGTATCCAATGTTTCAAAATTTAATATTGAAATTGCCTTAAGGGGAGGCGGAATCCCTATCTCTGTAATGCTAACATAAGGTACCTTTTTGGAAAAACTATATGGCCTATCTCTCTGAATTTTTTGTCAGTACTTTCTATACCTTTGATACATGTCCTGAGTTTTTTTTCAGACTTTTAAACTAATAAACAGCTTAGATAAAAACTTTTTTTGGAGGTAATACAATTTTTTCAAATTTCTTGTGATATATATATTCTTTTTTACCAATTAGGATGGAATTAGGCCCTAAAAAAAACTCAAGTGTGTTTAACACTATAACAACGTTAACGTTGTGTAACAATTTTAACTCCCTATCCCTAGTAGTTCCTGAGAAAAGGTACATAACATGACAAAAATAACGATTTGCGGAAAACGGCATATAACCTAGGCCTTAGGCCTAGGGGAAAAAAATTTATTAATAACAAGGTCTAATAAGCAAAAAGAAAACAAATGCAATTCATTTGATTTAAAAGCTAAGAAAATGTTGATTTTTTAAAGTTAAAATCATAAACATAGTATCTAGGCTGAGTAAAGTGTCAGAAAAGAAATATTTTAATTTCACTGTCAAAGCAATATAACAATCTGTAGCCTATTCAAAATTGTAATACACATTCACATTTTAATCATATTAATATGTACGGTAGTAAGCTTGGTCAAATGTGATAGTTAATTAAAAATACATTTTGAATCATACAGGAAGTTAATACTGTTGGCTATAATAGTTGTGTTTATATAGGCTACATGTCAAATAGGAATTTTCTAGTTAGAATTTTCACCACACTACTGTCTAAAGGCCGCCGAAATGAATTACCCTAAGTGATTCAATTTATACTCTGGAGATAGTATATAGTTTATAGGTTATCTAAAACTACTGTTATCTTTACTACCTACTTTCGTTTTTAAAATCAATATAATATCATATGTGTTAAATGTGGATGCAATTAGCTATAGAACTGGCAATAATAATAGGTTTATAAATAATGTTGTTTGTTGATGTCTTATTTACATTGAAGCAAGGGTAGCCTAGACAGCTACGAAATAAAGCCTAGGCCCTAAGTTATGTAAATATATAGTTCTTTTTTAAGAAATATTAATATCTTAACATCATTAACAGTTCATTATTTACCATAGAAATAATTAAATAAAATACTCACAAAATCCACACCAATGGTACTGATATAGCTTTCTGTGTACGTATCGTCCTGAAATAAATTAACAAGTTTCAAGTATAAAAATATCATTACTTTATAAGTATAACTAACTTAATTAACTTAATTTTATAACCATGTAGAGCAAGCAAGAATTAGAAAAATGAAAGAAAAAAAAATAATATGCATATTTATTAAGGTGCTAGTTAAACCTATTATAAATGTGCTAGTTAGCTAAAGATGAAAAATAGATATGCCTTAATCTAGACTACTACTTAGATTTTATATAATTAAGAGACCAAAGGTGAAAGATAATAAACAAACCCTAAAACTTATCCAGCGCTTAAACTATATAGGCAAAAGAAATCCTCAGGCGCTCAAGGAGACTTCCTTTGTAAAAGGCCCACTTTAATTGTTAATATTAGACACAAATCAGGACCTCTGTTGAAATTAAAAAGTGTCAATGCCATTATTTCTATATTCTAGTTTGAATAATTAAATTTTAGACAAAAAAAGTTTGTTTTTTCATCACCTATCTCCTCGTCAGCTTCCTTTTCCCTCCCACACTGTTTGTAGGTACTTCTTAGTTGTATTGTTTTTCACTAGTGTTAATTTCTCTGGTAACAATTTGTACGAACTAAAGCCAAACTTCAGTCACGAGTTTCATAATTTATGCTTCTCTATAAATGCTCGATTACAGTCTTGCACTTCTTTTTTTTCGGATTCCATTTGATTTAGAGAAAATAGATTAAGCTTTCCAAATCATTGATACTCATCTAGGTAACATTACTGAACAGCAACACATCGGGACTTGTACACACAGAATTTGACAATTTTTGTATTCCATAGGCCTACTATTACTAACTTTAACTGTTTATGTTTTACTAAAGACACACTGTTTTCCCCTCCCAGTAAACTTAACAGCAAACCTAAGCACTCATTATTAAACCTAATTTTATTTAAAAAAGGGAACAAATTTGACAATTTTAATGTAATAGAAATTGACTAAGTCTGTAGGTTTGCTGCGGCGCCAGTACTTTTTTAAATTATGAAAGAAATGAAATAATTGTAGCACCAACAAATCAGACAACAAAGAATATAATTAGGCACTCGCTACCATATAGAGTAAAAATAAAACTAATCCACACAACGTACTAAATTGAGTCATAAAACAGATAGGCTCACACATTCAAGGAATAAGCAACAAGAATTAACTTTTGACTATTGATCAAATTAAAATAATGAACTCATTTACATTATGGAACAACTTACAGCAAATCGTAGAAGCAAACATGATTTTCCCACGCCAGAATCTCCAATCAGGAGCAGCTTAAAAAGGTAGTCACTAGAGAAAAGAACAAGTAAAATTAGGCACTTTAGTTAAACAATATTTTAAGTTAACATATAAAAAATACAGATAATATTAAGATACGTATATAAAAAGTGGATACTTCAGGACTTTATTCTGGATTTGGCAGTTTTCAATCTGACAATTTAACGGTAGGCCTATGCAATGCCTCAATCAAACCTTTATTTTTAATCATGCTGCGATTAAATGTTTCACACATAACTTTGTAGTCCTGTGGAGCGAATATTTAGCCAATAGAAAATACATGAAGTTATTGAGCAACAAATCATTTGAAGGTCTAAAAAGTAGTGGATTAAACCTTAAGATGTAAAATGTTTCATATTGACTCATTGATTTGTGTTCTTCAATATGTTTAATTTATGCCTGCCTTCTTTATTTTAATTGAACTAACACATGTTTTATTATTATTATTACTTTGTAAATAATGTCCAAATAAAATACACATCTTTTTTGTCAAAGTCTTGTCTGTCTTTAATATTTTTTACTCTTTTAAAACCTGTGTTTAGCGGCAACCACTGCAGATTTAAAATTATGAGTTCAGTCAAGAAGTAAAATACCCTAGCATAAGTCACAATAACAAAAAATGCTATAGTTTAACAACTGATTTTTTACACTTTTGGTCACACATTGCCTTGATACCATTAGTTTAAAACACTACAAGAAACTACAGCTTTATATGGTTTTGTTTTTCTAGCAGAGCTGAGTTAGCCTATACTGTGTGCCATTAACTTAATATAATGAAAACCAAGGGGCCAAGTGAAGAATTCATTTTATTTAATCACATTTTGTTACAATGAGGATTGTTACATAGAGGTTAGATGACCTAACATTTTTCTACATCCAAGGTTTATACCAATTTGGTTACGTTTGACCCTGTTAAAACAATCTGAAACCATGTAAGTTACTGTAACTTATTTTAAATAATGTAAAATATTAACAAAATACACAATAATTATCATAATTGTGTATTTTGTTATTATTTTACATTGTAGTAGATTGTAGATTTTAGATTGTAATTTCTTATTCTGTTTTTTGCTTTTTCTAGAAATCGGATATTTAGCAAAGCTTTAATGTAGTGACTTTGATCAAGTCTACAGAATAATCAATTGAGATAAGTGATCGTTTCAGTCATATTGTCACTCAAACCAAAAACTTTTTAGCAACCAACTCTTCACAACCCTCTTTTAAAGTTTGGTCAGACATATTTTCACAAGTTGTTTAACTCCCACTGTCACTGTAGCAAACAGTTTACATTATGAAACAATTTGTAACAAAATATTATTATGGAAATTTAAAATGACCGTCTGGAGATGAGTGTAACAAGAAACACACTGCACTTCTTATACGTAATGTTTGCACATCATTAATTAGTCAAATTATAATACAGTACAATTAATTGTCATACCGTACACAAATTTAACTTAAGGTTGTAAAAACAGCTTTCTCTCTCTCTCTCTTGATAGTTTTAGGTGATAAAATCTGTAGTTATCAAAGAAATTTATGTTTTGATTTGTAAGTGTAAGTTAATTTCTTTTTTCATTTCTGTATCTTTGTTATAGATATATTTGTGTTTTTACTTATTTGAAGTAAATTTTAGATTTCCATAGCCCACAACTTTGTAAACATATTGTTTGTATACATTTGATGTTCCTGTCCTGTGGGAAGAGTGGACCTTTGGTCTAACTCAGGGCAGGAAAGAATTCGTCAATATGATGTAGGCTAGAGTTGCCTATTTTAGTAGACTACAACTATTTACTAAATTTATTGCATCTATTTTTAAGTGCTATCTGACAGCGGTCATTTTCAAAACACTCATCAAATTTCCTCGTGGATTCAGTTCAAGATGGCAAACTGTGCAGATCCGCAAGATTATTGCATCTATTTTTATTGCTATTGTCTGTTAAAGAAAAACTTAGGTCTAACTTAGTTCATGAATAGGAGACAATATTCCGCTCACTAAGAAAGGATTTTACCCTCCGACCTCTGGGCTCCGCCCCAGTGGCTCTGGAGTTTCCCATGTTAACCTTATGAGTACTCATATTTAAATGGAATTAATGAATCTTAACAGCTGTTTTCACACAAGTTGGTTCTGTTCTATGATGTTCAATAACGTTAAAGTTACAAGGATTACCAACAGGGTGCAGCACTATTAATTCTTTTACATTTATGACAACAGCTAATTTGCAACCAAAAGGTGAGTGAGCGTAGCAAACGAACTTCAACCTGGAGGCGAGTTAGCGTAGCGAACGAGCTAACCTGAAGGCAAGTGAGCGCAGCGAATGAGCTCTTACCCAAAAGTGAGTGAGCGTAGCGAACTAACTTCAACCAGGACGTCAGGACGTCATTGAGCCATGCGAACAAGATCATCTTGAAAATTAAGAAGGTAAACGGGGCAAAGCCCGCGGGTTACAGCTAGTTAATTGATATATTTACATTATTTCAAAATGTAAACATGGAAAATTTGGAAGCCCATGGGGCGTAGCCCAAGGGAAATGTGAAACTTAAATGATATAATATTGCATTGTCATCCATTTGTGAGCTATGCTTCAAATTTCAAGTCTCTAGCTCATCGGGAACTTTGTTTGAAATTGATATCAAAATTTGTAGGAAAGCGAGCTAATAAAAACAAGCCCATGGGGCGTAGCCCAAGGGAAATATGAAAATTAAATGATATAATATTACATTGTCATCCATTTGTGAGCTATGTTTCAAGTTCCAAGTCTCTAGCTCATTGGGAAGTTAGTATAAAATTGATTACAAAATTTGTACCGGACAAGAAAGCGAGCTAATAAAAATGTTTTAAAATAGCCAATGTATCACCACAGTGTACGTAGGAAAAATGAGTTTAAGAGAATTTCTATAGGCTAGGCTATAACTCAGTGTTTAATTTCAGCTAAGAAAATGTTAAAATGGGATAGAAAATACTTTAAACCAGACAACTGAAGTTCTTAACACATTTTACAGCCCTTCTTCTTCTTTTGTGCCGATAGAGCTGAAGCCCCTCGACTTCAACCCGGTACCTATAATTAAACATACCCCGGCCCCATGGTGTAGGCCGGAGCATACGCACCAACCTTAGGCACACCATGGGCGGATGACTTAAGGCTCATCAGGCTCACCGGCTGCCGAAGCAACCCTTTGGAAAGAGGGTTGCCTCTCAATCCTAACCAGGGATACCGGTTACTTGGTCTTACGTCCCACCATCTGGGTTCCCCCAGGGCCGAAACCCCGACAGACCATGATGGAGTCCCTGGATGCAACATAGTGCAAGCAACACTCGGGACCTATCTAATCCCTGACAGGCCATAACCCGCCTTCAAAGCCAGGAGGAAAAGGACCGTCAGCACCACCCCCTATTAACACCACTACCCGAACGAGGCCATCCCATTCGCTGGGAAAGGGCGATAGATCCCTAGATACCCCCATCGGGCTTGATCCCAGCACCCGATCTACTTCATTTGCCCATCCAACCCAACATCACTGCTGGGCCATCAGGGTTTCCCAAAAGGAGGCAGGTATAGAAGTGGGACCCACCCGGATGAACCTATCCACCAAAGGTGGCGACATCCTTAACTCAATTGGGGTTCCAGGGAGAACCCCAGGACTCAGGACTTCCGGACTCAGAGACAGGGATTGGCTGATGGAGTGCGCCCAGCCGTTACCCTCACACTGTGGAAAGTTACGTTCCCCTAGAGTGTCCCCGTGAGCTTACAAGTACTTGCCCGATTTCACTTCCAGGAAAGGTTACTTCCAAAGTCGAGGATTTGCCCCACATAATGTTGATCGCACACAGCAAGCGGGCCGAAACCCATAGAACCATAGCCACAGGCAGGTGAGAGATTGATGGCGCACTTCCACCTCTCGCAGAGCTGAACATCCCACCAACCTGGATGGAGGAATGTCACTGGGTACTCTCCCCTAAGGGGCTGGCTTGTCCAGTCGTCCATAGCTATGGCCTACTTGCAGCGCCGATTCCAAACACCGAGCAGTTACCTCCCCTTCGGGGGCTTTACTTGCCCGTTTTCCACCTCCCAGGAAGAGGCTACTTCCAGAGCCGAAGATATGCCTCACATAATGTCAGTCGTACACTACAGGCCAGGGCAAGTCCCGAAGAACCACAGCCACAGGCAGGTGGGAGACCGAAGTCTCGCGGAGCTGAACACCCACCATCCTGGATGGAGGAATGTCACTGGGTACTCTCACTTTGGGTACAACCCAAAGAGGCTGGCTTGCCCAGTCGTCCATAACTGTGGCCTACCTGAAGTGCCGGTTCCAACACCGGGCAATTACCTCCCCTCTGGGGGGCAAGAGCTAGGGTCCGCGTAGTCGCTAGGCCACGTACCCCCGCAAGCATGGGCCCCCTGCGGGAATTTTACAGCCCTAGCCTATATTATTTTATAGAACCATTTCGGTTAACCCGGGTTTCGGTTAACAGGGGTTCTACTGTACTGCCATCTAACTTCATTCTGTAGGCCAACCGGTAGCTAAAGGAAGACAGCAATAAGTTAGGTTCTTTGAATACGTGAGGTTGTCCATCCTTACTTTTGACTGCATTTTGAGCAGGATCGAGAAGAGAAGGGCGTATTTAAGACAGCAATGCACGTTTTACAACAAAACTGAGGCTTGATTAGCCTACCAAAAACAACATAGGCTAGCTAAGTTAAAACCAAGTAGGTATCTACTTAAACAATGATAAACAAACTAAAGCCAAAGATTTTGCTTTGCTTACTGTTACAGTGTTTTTGTTATTGCTATTATTTTATTATAAGTTAATAAGGTTTAAATTAACATAATTGTTGCTATAGGCCTACCATATTAATATCAAATCGATTTAATATTGATACCTAACTTAAGATTGTTAAGTTATTCATCCAATAACTTAATATAGGCTAAGTTATTGCAGGTTCTCTGCAGAACTGTACCCACTGCCTTTTTTCACGATCAAACCAACTTAACTTAAGTTAAGTTAAAACCTTTTGATAACATGGCAATCACATGTAACTTAGGAATCAGTAGAACGTATGCCTAACTTACAGTTGCTATGACTTGAGGACAAAACACTCTTTTGTCAATATGACCTTGGTAAATTAGGCCTTATAGGTATAAGTTGGATAATATCGGTAGCCTACTGTACCGTATGTTTACTTAGATGAAGTCTTGGAACATTTTAAGATTCAGTTATTAAGTTAAGTTGGTTGTCTTATAGATACCCTAACTAACTTATGCCTACCGTGAACAGCTCACTACCATGAAGGGAAGGGGGGTACAGTTTCTTAACTGGGCTACGCTAATATTGATTGAAACTATCGAATTGAAAATATTGATTAGTAATCAATATTTTTAACCCTCCGAGTGTCCATAGTTTAGGCCTTAAAGTCCGCCTATTTTTGGCGCATTTGCAAGGTTTTATTCAAACAGATCTGAGAAGCTTTTAAAACAATGTTAATTCTACTGTTCTATATACCATTTTGTTTGGAAAATCATGGGCTTCAATATTATACATAAAACATAAGGAACATTTGTTTCAAAAAAATTTTTAGGTAAAAAAAAAAATATTTTGGAAAATTAAAAAAAAAAATAAGTTCGCGCTCAAAGAAGTTGTATAAATTATAGGCCTATAAATATTTGAAAATAGCCACTTTGTTCTAAATTTTATGAGGATTACAAATATATAATAATATAAGGAAGTAGATTTGCAAATAAATAAGTTATGGGCAAAAAACAGATTTCAGTACATAGCGTTTAGCTAAGAATGCATAGCCTAACCATATAGCTAGGAATCTGGCTGATAATTTACATCAATATCACTACCTACTTCTTCAGGATCATCAACCAGCCCTTCAAAATCACTTAAAACTTCTTATAATGCACCGCGTATATCACTACTTTTGATTTTTAACACTAAAACAATGATAAACGTAATAAAACACATCAGTCATCGGTCTGAGGGTAACCTAGCTGTTTATAAAACGCACGTCAGCTGCCTGCTACAATTACGATCGGCTCGGAAAACATAAAGCGCTTAGAGACAGACCTCTGGAGAAAGCGTAGAATATAACGAAAAGAACGATACCTAACTCGATCCAGTTCAATCCGATTCAGTTAGTCATAGAGCCTTCGCCGTAAACAATGTTCGTGCGTCGAAAAATCGACGCGTGACACTACACAAAGTGTCGCGCGTCGATTTTTCTTGAAAGTAGCTCGAAGTAACTTATGTCTATTATAAAATTAAACTAGGCTATCATAACCTAACCTAACCAACCAAACTTGCTGATGGTGAAAAAATTGCATGAAGGTTTACTAATCGAATCGATAGTTTCAATCAATATTAGCGTAGGTAGCCCAGTTAAGAAACTGTTAGTTACCCGGGAAGGGTGTCAATTCAATTTCATTTATCCTAAGGCTACCAGACCAGGACTGACTTTTAAGTTAAGTTAGGCCTTATGTCCCTAGTCCCAATCAGAATCATTTTGTCTACAAAATTTCTGGGCATTGGGCTAACAAATATTCATAAACGAAAGGTTATAACTTAGGTTATACATATATTTGGATGTCTGGATTCTTTGAGGCAAGTAACTTATCATTTTAAGAAAATGGGGCATCTGACAAGAGCAAGAGTAACTTGCTGTGGAGTAAAAGAAAGGGTCTGGCCAATACCTATAGAACGTAGGTGCAACCCAGTAAAATTGGGCTAAAATAGTACTTTGAAGGATAAATGTATGGAAAAAAGAGCTATGGATACACTGCAAACACTTAATAGAAGGTTGTAAATGAGGTAGTTCTATGAAAAATAAAGTAAGATATTCTTATGACGTAATTTAAAGTCGTAGTAGACTATGATTCATTCTAATACAAATCTCCAGCTTCCATACATTTAACAAATTTTCAATGGTTCTATTTTAAAGAAATTACTACACAAAGTAAGATTGAGAAGTACTTACTATTCAGGATTCATTTTAGACGATCTTTTCTAAATTTTCTTGGTGAATAGAGGGCTGAGAAGTACTGTTTGATTCCGTCTTATATTTAGAAACAACAGAAAATTTTACAATATGGCTTCTGCCTTACTTGACTGACTTGCAATTATTCCCTATAGGGGGGTAGATGAAATTGACGAATACTCCACGTAGGAGAAATTGATCTAGCATTGAACATATGTTCAGCAAGACATATTTTTGAGTATACATATAATTTGTACTTTTAATGTTTCATTTGAAATTATTTTTAGAAGGACAAGAGTTTCGCATTTAATGTAGAAATAAATAATTATATTACAATTTTGTCTAATCACTGTTAATAATAAATGCACATAAATCTTTACACAAATAGTTCATAAATCCCCATGGATTAAAAATACACCCCTTATGTTAATGTGTATAAGCTCGGCCGTGGTATAAGTGGTCTATATCACCATTGAGTTTGATAATTTTATACCAAAACACATAATACCCCCGCCACAGCAAACCTGCCGAATAAGCGAATTTCTATTAGTCTGAAATGATTTTAATTAAATCTATTTAAATAACGTTAGGGTTAAACATTTATTATGTTATTTACTCAAGGTTAGTGTCATAACCTTGAGTAATCCCAGTGGTGGCGATAGCGGGCCCGCGGTAAGGCGGGGGGGTGCATGCTAGGGGGCACGTGAGTCTTGACCGGGATTTTTTGGGAAATTTAACCGGGACACAGGCCCGTGATTGTGCGACAGGCTCAGTCACACGGGCCTTCTATCATAACAATATTTATATAAGAATTACCATACGTTTTTTTATGACGAACATTTGTTAAACCCAGTAAGAGCACTAGGACAAGTAGTTTACAACAGCTACACACTGACACTATTACCTGACCAATAGATATAAATTCTCTACCAACAAATAAATCAATTGTCATCAGTCATGCAGGTTGCATCAACTGTCCTCGTGACTGTGTAAAAGCGCTATAATAAGGCCGTATTTAGAACCAATGTGGCCCCCGGCCTAGGAGGATAAAACATTAATGTTAATCCTCCTAGACCCCAGCAGGTCACACCAGAGAGGGCTCTAAAATGTTATGGGAAGGGAGGGAAACAGGCCAAAGACGTAGGATGTTGTGAATGGAGTGTAGTAAAAGCCAGCAGTGCGGTGTGTGGGAACAGTCTGTGGCAGTTAGATTAATGTATCTGCAATAATCTGAAAATGCTCTAGGAAGGGAGGGAAACATGTCCACGACGTAGTAAGGGGTGAAGGAAGTAGTAAAGGTGGGTAGTAGCAGTGCAGAGTGTGGGAACATTTGTATTTTGTATTATATATATCTATAAAAAAAATTTTCTTTTATCGCTTTATAAAAAACCATGAAACATGATTACTCCGCTCAACTGGCTTTCATTGCTGTGAAAAAACTGAAAGCAATCCTGGTTTAATTTCATTTCTTTACTATTAGGAGGCTGCGCACTTTAGATTGGTTTTACTTTGCACCTTAGATTTCTTTACTTCGTGGGAGTGAGTATAAAATGAATTACTTATCTATGGGCCTTGGACCAAATCAGATCGGTTCAAAATTGGTTGGCTTTGGAAACTGTTGATTTTTATGTAATATCGATATATAGTATAATGTCGATTTTCGGGCCGAGCAGAGCCTGGCCTATAAGCTTGAGAGACCAAGCAAAAAGTCAGAAAACCAAGCTCGAGCCAATTTTCTCAGTACTCAAGCCCAACTAAAAGTAAAAGTTTTTATGTCCGTGAGGATCACGCTCACGAAATTGAAAGATTAGGCCTACGCTTTGCCACGATCGCATGATACTTTGTTCCTTCCACCATGCATGATGACAGATACGAGAACGGAAGCTGACTGCCGTAATATACGGAAATTTCAGAGCTGTGACCGCTGTGACGATTAGGTAATTGTATTATTATGAGGTGTATTGTCAATGATTATAGTCATCAATTCAGCTCATGGACTAACTCATGTCTATTGATAAAGAATATCCATCCAATGTAGCAATAAAGAGGCCCACTCTTTATTGCATGAATAAATTGGTCCATTCGTCATGGCAATTTTGTTAACTTTGTTTTTCATTGACTCTGTAGTATTGTAAATCTATGTTCATTTATTTGACGGACCTTTAGGCGGCCGTGTAGCAACCATTTACAATAATATGCTAATTAATTGGTAATTGTATACCTATTTATTTTCTTTCGTACAAACATCAAAGTTACAGGCAACATTCAAAGGCTATTAAAATGTTGATAAAATAAAAAAAAGGCTTCTGCTGCAATGTTGTTTATTGTTGTACGTCCATGTTGTCGTCGTCGCGAAGCATCATACAAAACGTCAAAAGTTCGAGATGACGTGTCTGTGTAATCAATATATTAATTAACCTATAAAATGGAGAATTTTGAATAAATTGCAACCTAAGCTAAGATTTGTTAGGATGATTGCACTTTACACTTTAAAAGCCAATCAATGTGGCAACTTTTGTCATTAAAACCCAGCTTTCTTTTATCAAAACACTTGAGGTTAAGTGCATCAGAAGATAGATAAGCGGCTGACACGTATCTAACTTGGTGAGTATTTTTCATTGTCAACGCTCTTTATTTTCTCATCGAACTTAAATTTTAAAAAGCTAAGGATTTCCAGGATTAACTTTAAGTTAAGTGTGTTTTAATCCATGGTTTATGATTATAAAAAGTAAACACCACAAGGCCCACACAACAAAATAATTACAACTAACTTAGTGGCTTATAGGGACATAAAGTCGCTAAAAAACTCAAATGTAAAACAACTTATTATTGTAATACCGGTACCTAAACAAACTCAAAATCAAATTTTCTATGTGTCAGGATAGGTAAGTTTTATCCCTGCACACCATATCTTGTGTGTAAAACACAGTCTCTTTGTTTACTTTTGTTGATGTTATTTTCAATACATAATTAGAATTCTTATTAGAGGTATAAAATGAAAAGGTAGTAATTATATCTTTTATAAACACTGGTTTACTAAGGTAGCTTTGGTCTTGTGTTTAATGAGGATAAAAATTCTTCCCTGATTGGAATTTTTGAAATTGTCTTCGTCAAATGTGAAAAGGCAAATAAGTTAAAGGTGTAAGTTATTGAGATAAGCTTAGTTTTGGTAAAAAAAAGAAATTGACACCCCGACACAGTTATTATTTCTTAGTTTATACTCACTCCTTTTGTTTAAGGTTAAAAAGAAGTGTAAAGTAAAGGCACGCTATTGACCAAACTTAACTTAACCCTAGATTTGTTTCTGATCAACATTAAAAAACTAAGTTACTATTAGTGTAAATTTACGTGGTGGTATTCCTTCAAAAGGTGCGATTGACTTTACATATTCCAACAAAATGGGCATAATCATCGGCTGATTCCTAATTCTTTTGCGAATGGTTAAGGTTTCATTACTCAGTTATCGAAACCAATCACAAAATTACTTTTCATCAGCATTGACAGGCATATTTTTGGTTAGTTTAAGAAACGTAAATAAACAGAAACTACCTTTAAGTTTTACAGTTATATATTTGGATGCTCCACCTTTACTACCATGCATGCTAGGCTATATTATTTGAACATTTTTTGGGCTGCATACTTTACGTCCTACACTCATTCGAATGAAAATATCGATCGATATATCGATTATTCAATAAGTTAAATTGTTTGGTTAGTTAGGTAAGGTTAACCTAACTAACCAAACAATATATCGAATGAAACAATCTGTAACGAGCCTTTTTCCTAGGGGGGTAAATATTTGCTATTTGGCCGCGCACTTATTGCTGGCATTAGCAAGCGGCGGCGGCGAACCTGGCTAGCGCCCTTTGACCCGGCTTATCAGTTCGGATAAGCTTGGGTATCCTGGGACTACTGGATAGCCGAGAAGGACATTCTAGTCGTAGATCCCGTGCAGTGAAGAGCGAGCGTGTGTCTAGTGAGACGTCCAGTGGTGTACGTGACAGTGGTGTCGGAATATGCTGGTGGTGTGATCGCGCCGAGTGTTGGTGTAAGTTGGGTACTGACCCACTTGTGGTGAGTGGACGACTTGATATTATTAGTTTGATAATATTAATATCTGGTTTTATTGCGAGAGTTAGAGTTGTAACCGTGCTGGTCAAAGCCTGACGGTAGTTAGGATTTATATTAGTCAGGAATAATATTAAAGTGTATTCCTGACGGTTCTGGGCAGGTGCTAGAGCGCAAATAATATAATTTATTTGACTGTAGTAGATATTATTTTGCGTTGTACCTAGAGTTAGTTATATTACTAATAACTCTGAGGCCCGACAAACCTAGGCTGCACGATTTAGCGTGCGTAGTTGGAAACACGTGGCCAGTAGGCTAGTAGCTAATATTATTAGCCTATTAACAGAAGCCCAGCTAAGTATCAAGATGGCGGCAGATGAGGATAACTGTCAATGTGGCGTCTGCAAAAATATCGTTAATAATAATGACCATGCCCTGCAATGTGAAGGAAAATGTAAAAATTGGTTTCACATTCACTGTATTAAGTTAGGGAAAGTTAAATATGACCGTATTGTGAGCCTTGGTGATATAGTTACTTGGTTTTGTTCAGCATGCAAGAAAGACATTGAAGAAGGACATGAACCACCTGTTCCTGTTTGTGAACTGAAGGATGGTCCCCCTGCTACGATAGAATTATTGTGTGATCGTCTAGCAAAATTAGAAGAAAGTAATGATAAACTTTTTGATGTAATTATGGGTCTCGTCAGTGAAATCATGCCCAAGAAACAAAGCAGTGTTGATATTGAATCGGTTTGGTCTAGGCCTAATCGTGAGGAAAATTATCCCGCCAAAACCTTTTCTGATGCACTTAAATCGGCTGCAAACAAGGAAAAACTTAACTTTGTGCCTAAAAAATGCACTTCTAATTTACCTAGTGTTTCAACTGGCAAGATACAGGGTAGTAAACTTAGTAAGCCTGTTACAGGCCTATCTTCAGTTAAAGCACCGGCAAACCCTAGTCCTAGGCCTCAGTCTTTGGAGTCTTCATGTGATCATGCAGAGTGTAGGAGTAAGGATGAGGATGGTTTTTCGCGAGTGTGCTATCGCAAAAAGACCAGACAACCTAGGCCTAGATCAGTCAAAAGTAATAATCCTAGGGTGACTAAACTGATATCTGGTAAGAACAGTAGTAACAAACTCCTTGCAGTTCCTCGCCAATCTTGGATCTATGTCACAAGATTTCAAGCTACTACAACTGAAAGTGACATCGGTGACCATTTGAAAGCATCATGTGGTGATCTCAGTTTTGTCTGTGAAAAACTTCCTACGAGACACACATCTTACAATTCTTTTAAAATCGGTGTACAGCCCGAGTGTGTAGAGGACATCATGAACCCTGATATCTGGCCTACTGGTATATTAATCGGCAATTTTTTTCCGCCTCGTTCCTCTAGGCCTAGGTCGATAAGTAGCTCCACTGACGATAGGCCTACTCAGACTGTGAATTTTTTAGTGGAATCAGTGCCAACCGACTCGAAGAAATAAACATGGATGGTACAAAAAATAAAGTAAGTAAAATGCCTTCAAATTTGAGTTTTTGTGTGCTTACTCTTATTTTCCTCAACATCCAAGGACTGATGGGTAAGTTAACTCTACTTGAGGACTTTACGATGCACCAGCGGTGTGATCTAATATGTCTTTCTGAGCACTGGATTCCTCTGGCAGGTATAGACTTTTTTAACCTCAGCGGATATAACCTAGTCAGCAATTTCTCTAGATTAGAACATGGCAGAGGTGGTACTCTTATTTACGCTCGTTTGGAACTTGACTGTAGACCACTTGACCTGTCGTCTTTTTGTATTGAGAAAATAATTGAAGCATGTGGTGTCCTTGTTACCTCACATAGACTTATTGTTATTTCTATATATCGAACCCCAGACAGTGATGAGTGGCTTTTCTTAAACGCTTTGGAAAAAATCCTGACGTCTGTGACGGAATGGTCCAACCATAGGATCGTCATTGGTGGAGATGTCAACGCACAGTTTGACGTGACAACTACCAAGAGGTCGGTGGCAACTCTTCTCAACCTTCTAAGGGAGTTTAACATCTACTTCCACAATGACCAGCCTAGCAGAGGAAATGCCTGCCTAGACAATGTTTTTTCTAACATCCCCAAAGATGATGTATTTTGTTGTATTGAACCGTTCCATTTTTCAGATCATAATGCCATTCTTTTCAGAATAGTTAATGATATCATACATGAGCCTGATAAGATCAGCACCTTTGCCTTTAAAAGACACTTTTCTCTTCAAAACATCACAAATTTCAAATTCAAAATTAACTTGATCAATTGGCAGGATAAATTTGACCAATTTTGGACTTCGACTGACTACACAGGTAACGACATATTTTCTGTATTTTTTGAAATTTTTATGCATGTGTTTGACGAGTGTTTTCCTGTGTGCAAGTCTCGCTCAAAACCAAACCCAAAAGGGAAACGGTCACGTGCCTGGTACACTCCTGATCTTGACAGGCTCAGGCAGCAGGTAAGACATGCCTATGATCTGACCTGTGTAAGTAGTGACAATCTTTGTAAGTTAGAGTATAAGACCCTAGTTAAGAACTACAAACGGGCAGTAAAGGAGGCCAAGCTCAATTATAATGCCCTATTCATTGAAAACTCCAGCAACAAATGTAAATCAGCCTGGGCAATTGTAAAAGAAAATTCCCAATCTCTCGGAAGCGGTAATAAGCTTCCATTTCATCCAAATAAACTAAATAGTTTTTTTATTAACTCTGTTAACAGTATTAGAAACAGTATTAAGAAACCTGCAAATACTTATGATCATTTCTTACAAAAAGTTCCTTTCAACAATTCAGAGTTTCACTTTTCTTTGGTCACTTGTAGTGAGGTTATGTCAGTCATAACTAAAATGAAAAATACCAAATCCAAAGATATCTATGATATCTCCAACTGGTTCATTAAAGAAATTGTTGATGTAATAATTTCACCATTGACTTACTGTGTAAACGCCTGTCTACAGGGGGGATTCTTTCCTGATTGTCTCAAAATTTCCAAAATTTGTCCTATTTTCAAAAAAGGGGATAAAAACTGCCCAGGAAACTATCGGCCTATTAGTCTAGTACCTGTTCTGTCCAAGGTTCTAGAACATATTATTCACAATCAGATTAACAGCTTTTTTGAAAACAATTCTCTCTTTAACAAACAACAATTTGGCTTTAGAGTTGGACAGTCCACTGTGGATGCAATTGATGCCATGGTTCGGGACATTCACAGGGCTTTTGAAAATAAAGATTTTGCCTGGGCCACCGTCATTGATCTTAGCAAGGCCTTTGATTGTGTTGACCATGAGATCTTGCTGCATAAGTTGGAGTTTTATGGAATCAGAAACAGTGCTCTAAATCTTTTGTGGTCTTATTTAGCAAATCGTAGACAGGCGGTATACGCTGATGGTGAATGGTCCTCCATCGCCCTCAGCAACTGTGGGGTACCTCAAGGCTCCGTCTTGGGCCCCCTTCTGTTTTTAATTGCTATAAATGATCTGCCTATGAATCTTAGTTGCAATTCCTATCTCTATGCGGATGATACTACCTTGCTATCTTGTCACAGTGACCTTTTGCATCTTAAGTCAACTGTCAGAAACACAGTCAATACTGCTGCTGAGTGGTTTTCAGCTAATAGTTTTCTTTTGAATAAAGACAAAACACAATCAGTCATATTTTGCCTTAGACCTCTACATGATATAGGCCCACTTGAAGCTGAACTGTCCAATGTGGTAAAGTTTCTAGGTGTCCATATTGACAAACAACTGACTTGGTCTGATCATATAACGCAACTCTGTACTAGGTTAAGTAGAATGATTTGCCTTTTTCGTAAGCTTAATGATTTAGTTCCTATTAGTTATTTAAGATCAGTTTACTTTGCTTTATTTCAGTCTGCCTTGAACTATGGTATCATTTTTTGGGGTAATAGTTCTCATGTCTCCGATGTCTTAATATTACAAAAAAAGGTCCTGCGCATAATGGCTAGGGTTGATCCTGAGGAACATTGTCGCCCCATTTTTATTGAATTTAATATTTTAACTGTTATTAATTTATATATATTTAATATCATGTTAACTAGTTTTAAGGAAATGGACTCACATGCCATAAGGAGTGATTTTCATGATTTTCAAACTAGAAACAGACATCAATTTGATATACCCCATGTTAGACTGAGCAAAACAAAGAAAAGTCATAAAATTCTGGGCCTAAAATGTCTAAATAAATTGCCCAACAAATTGCTATCACTTCCTTACAAAGTTTTTAAAGCTAAAATTCATATGTGGCTAGTTAAGAATCCGTTCTACAAACTTAAAGATTTTTTAGAATTTCCTAAACCATTAAATATTGAGTAATGATTGTACTTTTTTTTCTCTTATAGTTATCCTCATCTGCATGTATTTTATATTATCTTTGTATATTTTGATTTGACCTTGTACTCTACATCTATTGTACTCTTCCTTGACAAATGTTTCCCAACATAATACCTTCATTGACCATTCCACATGCATTTGTAATGTCTATTGGAAAATAAAGCTTTGATTTGATTTGATTTGATTTGTAACATAAAGTTGGTAGTAGCAGTAGCAGTAGTAGGGTTGTTATTGTTTATTCATTTGATTATTTTAATTTAACCTGAACAGCTTGTTTGGTAATCCAACACGTTATCTTGGTAGCTTGGATAGCGGAGTACCGGCTATCAGATAATATAATTATCTAGTGTTTGGATCGTATTTAGTATTTATTTATCTGCTACTAAGTAGCTCAATATTTTAATAGTGCAATTGTCATTTAATTTTGCTTGTTTGGCTTGGTATTTATTGAGACCAGCTACTAGTGGTGTAGTCACTCTACCTATAGTGTACTTGTATATTATTATGTGGTACGATTATTGAGTGAACTGTTTGATTCTTAGCTTGGGCATTAGAGTTGTGTATTGGATTATAGTGGCCTAGTAGACCCCGCCTGGTGATAACACGCGTTGTGGTTTTTATTGGCAAGTCGTCGTGTAACTCACCGTGTTTTAGGCACTCTGGGCTTAACTATTGGATAGTTAGGACGAAGCCCGAGTTGCGTAGTCAGCAACGACCCCCTAGGAGTGTGGAGAATCGGCGTAGGCCTGGTAGTGATTATTGCACGTTTGTTTTGGTGACTTGTTTTTGACTTGTTCACAGTGCCCGTGTATGAGCCAGTCCTATACCGGTTAGACCCGGCTTTTGGCCTAGTGGTTTCCCTGACCTTATCGCAGACCCTGGAATTTTACCCAGCCATCGTAGGCTGAGCTATCCCCGGCAAACGGTTGCGACTGCACTTACTTGTAATATTTTTCCAGTGCAGAAAATCTCGTCGCAAATCTAATAATCAATATTTTCATTTGAATGAGCGTAGGGCGTAAAGTAAAGTGCAGCCTTTTTTTGCTTGGAGCAACAGACAGTAGGTAGGTACCTGTTTAAAATCTCCTCCAACAAAATTTTTTCCGCCCATTGGAACTTGTCATAGTATAGGCTACTTGCTTAATAAATAAATATATGGTCCGTCGGAATCTACAGTATTTTATCTTTATTCCCAGGCTATTTTCTAAGAGTAGGTACCGGTAGCCTTTAAGGTTACTATTCCACTTCATACAAAATATTGATTAAACAGTAAAATACATCTCAAACTAAAAATGATAGTAAGTTTAAAAAAAAGTGCAGAATAAATCTTTAACATAGGCTACGGTATGTTTTGAAATAATAACTTAGGCCTACTCAAATTATTTTTTCAGCGACAAAGTTATCAAAATATTAATATTGCGTACCGGTACTGGAGTGATAAATCATGATCAGCTGTATTGAAGTAAACAAAAATCAGCAGTAAATGGCTTATAATGTTTTTCTTATGGAGAACATTTTACGTTATACCGTAACTAATATTGTGTAACAATAATTTTGGGAATTAAACTATTCGAGACTTTTAATTTGAGCCCTCTCCTGTCATTCTACGACTTCCCAATCGCCCACAATTTTGTTGTAAATGTTTATAATTTGTGAAAAGGTTAACACATGCCATCTGGTATCTTACTGACCTCTGACGCATCTGCTCCTGAAATGGACTGAACTAAGTTAACTTAAGTTAGGCCTACGGGAACTTAGATTTATGACTCCATTGGATAAAATTGATTCTTATTTACCATTTACCATCCGGTGTCTTCTCCACAATCCCAGGATCGGGGAATCATCACATTTCTTCTTGGGACCAGGGTTAAAATGGGTTTTGTAGGCCTACAGTATTCATGTCTCTGGTGTTGGAAGGTGTGCTCTTCAATGAAGTCGGGGACTGTGCAGTGGCCTATCTGTTAAGTATTGCTTCAGTTTGCTATTGAAGGTGACTGGTTTTTCAATGGTTTTGAGTTGTGGTGGTAATAAATTGAAGAAGTAAAAGCCAAAAACTGGTATCTGGTAAGAACAGTAGTAACAAACTCACTGCGGTTCCTCGACAATCTTGGATCTATGTTACAAGATTTCAAGCTACTACACAACTGAAAGTGACCATTTGAAAGCATCATGTGGTGATCTCAGTTTTGTCTGTGAAAATCTTCCTACGAGACACACATCTTATAATTCTTATAAAATCGGTGTACAGCCTGAGCATGTAGATGAAATCATAAACCCTGATATCTGGCCCACTGGTATACTAATCGGCATTTTTTCCCCGCCTCATACTTCTAGGCCTAGACCTATAAGTAGCTCTACTGACGATAGGCCTACTCAGATTGTGAATTTTTTTGAGGAATCAGTGCCAACCGACTCAAAGAAATAAACATGGATGGTGCAAAAGACAAAGTAAGTAAAATGCCTTCAAATTTGAGTTTTTGTGTGCTTACTCTTTTCTTCCTCAACATCCAAGGGCTGATAGGTATGTTAACTCTACTTGAGAACTTTACAATGCATCAGTGGTGTGATGTAATATGTCTTTCTGAGCATTGGATTCCTGTGGCAGGTATAGACTTTTTTAACCTCAGCGGATATAACCTAGTCAACAATTTCTCTAGATTAGAACATGGTAGAGATGGTACTCTTATTTACGCTCGCTTGGAACTTAACTGCAGACCTCTTGATCCGTCGGCCCTTTTGTATTGAAAAAAATAGTTGAAGCATGTGGTGTCCTTGTTACCTCACATAGACTTATGTGTTATCTCCATATATCGAACCCCAGACAGTGATGAGCGGCTTTTCTTGGACGCTTTAGAAGAAATCCTGACGTCTGTGATGGAATGGTCAGCTACCAAGAGGTCGGTGGCAACTATTCTCAACCTTCTGAGGGAGTTTAACCTCTACTTCCACAATGACCAGCCTAGCAGAGGGAATGCTTGCCTAGACAATGTCTTTTCTAGCATCCCCAAATATTATGTATTTTGTTGTATTGAACCGTTCCATTATTCAGATCATGATGGCATTCTGTTCAGGATAGTCAATGATAATATTCAGGAGCCTGATAAGATCAGCACCTTTGCCTTAAAAAGACACTTTTCTCTTCAAAATATCTCAAATTTCAAATTCAAAATTAACTTGATTAATTGGCATGATTAGTTGATCAATTTTGGACTTCGACTGACTACACAGATAATGGGACATGTTTTCTGTATTTCGTGAAATTTTAATGCATGTGTTTGACGAGTGTTTTCCTGTGTACAAGTCTCGCTCAAAACCAAACTCAAAAAGGACACTTCACGTGCCTGGTACACTCCTGATCTTGACAGTCTCAGGCAGCAGGTAAGACATGCCTATGATCTGACCTTTGTAAGTAGTGACAGTCTTTGTAAGTTAGAGTATAAGACCCTAGTGAAGAACTACAAAAGGGCAGTAAAGGTGGCCAAGCTCAATTATAATGCCTTATTCATTGAAAACTCCAGCAACAAATGTAAATCTGCCTGGGCAATTGATAAAGAAAATTCCCCACATTCTCTTCGACCTGTCACACTCCTCTTATATTCTAGCACCACCTGGTACTGAGTATATTACTGTAAAGAGTATGACATTATTTCAATGATACAATTATTTTCAGATTCACAATGCGAGGAGCAGACTCAAAACTAGGGGACATGCAGGCTCTTATTCTTGTTGGAGGATATGGTACAAGACTTCGTCCCCTCACTCTCAGTAGGCCTAAACCTTTAGTGGAGTTTGCCAACAAGCCAATGTTACTACATCAGATAGGAGCCCTTGTGGAGGCAGGAGTCAAAAGAGTCACTTTGGCTCTTTCTTACAGGGAAGATAAAATGGAGCAGGAGTTAAGAGAAGAAGCCGAGAAATTAGGAGTGACTCTAGTGTTTTCATATGAGACTGAACCCTTAGGCACTGCTGGACCTCTTGCTCTTGCGAAAGATGTTTTATTGTCTTTTAGCAACGAACCTTTTATTGTACTAAACTCTGATGTCATTTGTGATTTCCCTTTTAAAGAATTGGTATCATTCCACAAAAGTCATGGAAAGGAAGGCACAATTGTAGTCACTAAGGTTGAAGAACCCTCCAAGTATGGAGTGGTTTTGTACGGTGAAGATGGATGCATTGAGAGTTTCATTGAGAAACCTCAAGAGTTTGTGTCCAACAAAATAAATGCTGGAATGTACATCTTGAATACAAGTGTTTTCAAGAGAATTCAGCTATGCCCCATGAGTATAGAAAAAGAAGTTTTTCCATTTATGGCTCAAGAAAAAGAATTGTATGCAATGGAGTTACAAGGTTTTTGGATGGATGTTGGTCAACCTAAAGATTTTCTGAAAGGTAAGAATAGCAAACTTCTTTTGTACCACTTGTTTTTCTAGGTAATTTACAAGTCAAGTAACATTTAACTCTTGCATTATAAAGGCCTTTGCACACTAGGCCATCATGGTAGCACAACCAGCCAAATTCATTGAGTTAGTCTATATGTACAAAAGCACATTGGACCACTTTGGTGGCTTTATCACGCCCGTGGCCAGAGCCCCCGACTCTGCTCGCCACCACAGACGTGTCACCAGCCAAAAAGTATTGAATCATTTGGAGCACTGCACACTGGTGCGACTTTGTGTTTCTTAGTAGTTTTGTTTTTCCCTAGTGTAATTTGTAATCATGAAGAGGCTTGAATTGAAACGTACGTTTAGGGCAACGATCACATAAGACCAATAGATGGAGCATGTTGGCCGCGACGTGAAGCCAGTATTTTTCACTAATCTTAACTAAGATGGCGGCTGCCGGCTGTGATGAGCCCTAGTACCGCGCGCAACTAATTAAATGTTAGTCGATAGCAATGGTATCCATGACAATACGCCTTTGTATTAGAAATATTTCTGTTACTAACACAATGACCTTCAAAATACGCTTTTGATTTTTCTTCTAGCGTTTACCGTTTCTTAGAAAAAGTTAGTTTACATAATTAACAACAAAAACCTTTTGGGCGAAAGGAAAATTCTGAAAAGCTACAAATCTGTTTATAATATATGTATCTACATCGTATTAAAGTTTCATAAAGTTCTGATGTTTGGTTTACAATCTACGAATTTTCAAAGTGACAAGATAGTTTCTGAAACTCTTTTATACAACTCTCCTTTATATTCTGACTGTCATATTAATTTTTATGAAAGAGCTAAAAAATGTTAATTTTTAGATGAATACAAAGAATAAAACGAAGAACATTTATATGTAATCCGTGTTTTTCTAATTAGTTTAGTAACTTTTCTGTATAGCTCCAAATTTGAGTATCTAAACTGTATTACAAGTGACGTTGTAGGCAGAATCTGCCCGCATGACGCCACGCGGCGCGGCGGGTAGCCCCTATATTACAATTTAAATTACAACCAAACTACACCAGCTAAAAATTTAAAAAAATATGATCCAAAAGGTTCAACTCTTTAGCTACAAAATCCACCGTTTTTTAACTTACCTGACCAAAAAATAAAAAAAGTAGCAGCCGACGAACTTTTTCATGTCATATTTTAAAACTCATTTAAAAGTACCGACTTTATTTGAAGATTTAAAATAGAAAATACTAACTTTTAAACTTTTAATTAAAACCAATAGTGTCATAGACTTATTGACTTCACTCATACGAAGTTTCAACCATATAACTTAAGTCTAAGTAGGCTAAATGTCGAGTTATTTTGAAGCGGAACATTGAGTTTTGGTGCCATTTTCATCGACATCTAGCGCTTCTATCCTACAGTAAGATGGCGGACCTGGCTTCACCTGCTTTAATGTTAGTTAGATAGGCGTGCTCCATCTATTGGTCTTATGTGATCGTTGGTTTAGGGACATGAGTAAGTGAAATATATTTGGTCAGAGGTGTAGCGTAGTCACCTTACCAGAAGTCATTTTAGGATACCTATATGTAAAACTTGTCTTGGTTTTTTTTTCTGAGGTCGACATTATAATAAAAAAAACACTCCTCTTGAACTTCGATCATGTTAAAACGGGTTATGCTTGAACAAGACAAAGTGATACCTAATTGTCAACAGAAGTTTATCCTAGACATGTTGATTATTGGTAATTCAACATCGATTTACATAGCTATCTGGACTATTTTATAAGTTATATAGCTATCATTTCACAATATTATTAGGAAATTAAAAGTTTAGCTCTAGCCCGGTTTCAATGCTCAAACCTTAGAAAAATTGAGTTGTTCTTACCTTTAGATTAGAAATCGGCAAACCCCAAGGCATAATAGATCATGGTGTATAGAGCCAGATATTTGCTGTTAAGGGTTTGTGCATAATTTTGCAGAGTCAATTTTATGGCATTTAGTTGCATTGTGTAAAAGGATCCATATAAGATTAAATGTGTGAGAGCTGTGTAAACTTAAAATTGGATCAGTTTGTTCCGTGAAACTGAAAAGAAGAAGTTTTAATGCCATTGAAACTTAAATCACGATTTGAAATAGACTCTATTTGACCACATGAGTAAAACCATTATTAAAGTAAATCATCCACTTTTATTTTAAGGTACTGAAAGTAAATTTCCATTTTGTGTTTTGATTTATTGTAGGCCAACTAACCGGGAATAAAATTCAAGTTATAAAAATTATAAGATTATGACTAACTTGGGAGCCAAACAATTCAAATGTGTTTGGCACGTTTTAATTGTATGCAACATAAAATACTCTGACTAGTGTATTTTATGTTGCTCGAGATCAAGCAATTGCAAAGTATTACAGGAGTTATTTAATAATGAATAACAACAGTCATAATTTCTGATGAGTTTAAAAGAGTCAGCTCAAGGTTTATATGCAACTAATGGAAATAATCACATTGTACATAAGGCTAGGATTATACTAGGACGCTAGCGTCCGAGAGGCTGGCGTCCGGGACGCTAGCGTCCCACTTCGAGCCGATAAATTACGTGATTTGTGTTGGGACGCTAGCCTCTCGGACTGCCATTTTATTTCAATGTTTTGTAACTTTTTTTATATCTATTTAAATAACATTAGGTTTAACGAGTACCCAGATTTGCTGCTTTAAAGAGGCTAATATTGTGTGTTTTTAGTAAAATATTAATAGCTTAGTATGAAACAAATTGGCCAAGTTTGACCAAAATATATCCATACACAAGCAAATTATTTTCCATAAGAATAACATGGGAATTTTTAATTTACCCTTCTTTGAATTTTATCCGTAACTAATAACCGTACAAAAACACTTTAATATAACTTACTTAATTATATGTTTTTAAGCTAATTAAAATTACCTAGGGAGAAATATGACAAAACCCCTTTTTTACCCCATAAAACCCCGTTCCCAAGGAGGCACAAAATCGAGCGTCCGGTGGCTTTTTTAGCATCCGACGCTGGCATCCCTAGTATAATCGCCCCCATTTGATTTAATGCCCCGTTAGCATCCCGGACGCTGGCCTCTCGGACGCCAGCGTCCTAGTATAATCCTAGCCTAACAGTTCGATATAATCAACATTTCTTGTAGGCTATATATTGTATTATTTTTGGAAAGCTGATCTTATTTTTAAGCGTTTTCTACAAATGTTTCCTACTCATAGCCGCATTAATTAGGTTGTCCATGTTTACCTTTGTCATTGATAATGTAGCCTTAATGGTACTACCTAAACTTTGATGTATGATGGTCTATGATCTATATAATCATAGCTTTCTTAACATTCTTTTCACTAAAATAATTAATAATGTCTGAATACTAGTCAAGTGAATTTCACCATTTCACCAATTCATAACACTAAACCTAAAATCTAGAATAATATAATTTTTCATTTTTTCACTTTGGTTTTGTAATAACTACATGTAAGCTATTTGAATTTTAAATCTATGATCCGCTGTAAAATATCGTTCAATAAACAAACAAAAATAAAAAATTACTGTGACCAGAGTTGCACCAGCCCCATCCTTGTGGGGGCCATGGAAAGCACATATGTACACCGTTTGCCGGATGTTAAAACATGCTGAACTGGATCTAATCCAATTGATAAGTAAACTGATGGAATACTGATAAGAATTATTTACTGTAACAGTATGTATCTATTTAAAACAGACAATCGTATTCTGTAATCAAGAAACCAAAATTAGATCTTAAGAATAGTTAATGTTGCAGGTATGTGCCTCTACTTGACCTCTCTTCGGCAGAAATCACCAGAGCAGCTGCATGCTGGTGAGGGTATTGTCGGCAATGTCCTGGTCGATCCCACAGCCAAGATAGGCCAAGGCTGTCGTATCGGACCTAACGTCACGATTGGCCCCAACGTCGTCATAGAGAATGGAGTGTGCATTAAGCGCAGCACGGTGTTGCGCGGTGCGACAGTGCGCTCACACTCGTGGCTAGACGGCTGTATCGTCGGCTGGCGCTGTGTGGTGGGCCAGTGGGTACGTATGGAGAACACCACCGTGCTAGGAGAAGACGTCATTGTCAAAGATGAGTTGTATGTCAACGGAGGTCAAGTGTTACCTCACAAATCTATCGCCTCTTCAGTGCCTGACCCTCAAATCATAATGTAACATATTTACAGCCGTTAAGTCTTCCTCGTGTTTGTATACTTTGTAAATATATACATAATATATTTTTATTTTTTAATAGTTTTAGTCTTTGATCCATCAGGTTGTGATATCTTTGATTCTCCGTTTATACAAATGTAATTAGTTTTAAATCAACAAGTGCAACAATATAAATGATCACATAAATAGTGTATATTAATTAAAACTACTCTTGAAACAAATATGTCATTTACTATGTATTAATTAGATCTCTGTCAGTAACAAAGCTACAAAGATCACTCACACCATTCTACACTCATCCTTCACCACTCATATTTGGATTAAAATACACACCTAGTTGACGTCCCCATTTCACTTGATAATGGTAATAATAACACATTCAAAAATTATTATTTAGTTTTATGTTTTACACTAAAGAATAAAATAATGACTTCAATGCAAGGAAGAACAAATTATTGTTAAAATATCTTTACCTACGACCGTTTTTTAAAATAGCCGTTTCAGTTCAGTTCTTAGAATTGAAAAGTTTCACATAACAATAGTTAGGCCTATTTGTGCAACTAGTGAGAAAAGTGAGCAATTGACTCACTCGAGAGAAATCCTTACACACGAGCCGAAGGCGAGTGAGGAATGGTTTCTCGAGTGAGGCAATTGTACTTTGAACTCGAGTTGCACATTATACTTTTCCTACAGTTACCATAAAACAAATAAATTTGTGAAGAAACATAACCTATTTTTAGACAGAAGTGAACTTTTAATATAACATTTAATGTGAAGTGAGTGACAAATACAACAGTATAACAGCTGACCAGCTGATTTACAGCCAGTGCTGCCAACGTATTTCGCGTGCATACGACGTTGCCTGCATGTTACGCGCTCACTATTTCGTGCCTTCACGTTGCAAATCTGGAGTGATGAGCGAATTGGCCACTTTGCTTTCTCAAATCAGTGAGAGAACATGTACATTGTTAGGTAACTGTAGGAAAAAGCATTGTTTGCTTTCATAACAGCAACAACACGGGTAACGGACCAATGAGGTTCAAGGATTGAGAGAGAAGAAGTAAAATTTTATTGATTCGAACTTCAACTAATCAGCTGTTCAGGCCAATTTAATTGTTGAGTGGTGAAATTAGTGTTTGGTAACGATGTTTCGTTGCATCACTGTCAGTGGCAATGAGAGGTTATAAAGGAAAACATAACCTCTCTTAGAAGTTATGAGTAGTGATTTTTAGTAATTAAAACACTGTCGTAGGTAAAGTAGTAAACACAACTCGTGTAAATAGTGTTAACAACACTCATAGAAGTTTTTAAGGCACTCGCCAAGGCTCATACCTTAAATTTCCACTCCTGTCGTTAATACTATCTATACGCAATTGTTGCGTAAATTACTATAACATAATACAGTAGATTCTTATGAACTTGGATCTCAGAAATAGAGTGTCAGGAGACCTATGAACATATAAAACAATATAAACGCTTGACACTTTTGCACCTTTTAATTTCCGCACAGATGAGGTGAAAAAAACACTCTTTTAGTTCTACGGTTCTACTTTGGTACACACTATTTTTAGGAGAATGGGCTATATAATTTGTGATGTAGCGGAAATATACATGTGAGTAAATATGGCGGGGCTGTATAGCGTCACTGTAAAATGTGAATTGCCACAGGACTGCCAAGTACAGGGGTTTTGATATGTGTGCGATAAGTACAGGTGGTATCTATTATATGTGTGTTGGAAATTTGTAAAAAGTTAGGTTGGTGCTCTTAAAAACTAACATAGCTTATGTCTACCTGTTTTATTTGCAATAACTACAGTGAAGTAGTGGCAGTAAAATGGATAGTGTTACCCGTTCTGTATCAGTCTTTACTTTAAAGCTAAATCCTAAAACAGCCACCGGTTTTTATACTATCAGTTTATGCAATCAAAACACAAAAGAAAAAAAGACCCAAATAAGTAACTTTTCGCAATGGTTGCAAGAAACTTTAACATTTGGTATACAAAAATCCTAGGGCATAAAAATGTGAATTTTTTATTGAAATATGTTAAAAACATACTTTCTTTGTTTTTACCTGTAAACAGAATTTTATTTTTACCCTCAGTAGCATTAAAAATAAATCAACGCGAACAATCAAAAGAGAAAATGTGTACTGTAAGTAATTAGTGTAAAAATTTGTGTTTACAACATTTTTAGATTTCATGAAAATATTGGTCTGCACACGCTATGGAAAGCATTTAGAGACCAGACATTCCAAAGTCAGTGGAGGGAATGAAAAAGAGACCAAAGGTCGAGACATAAGTTTATTTAACAGTCTTAGTGGAGTAAGCCATAGCTTAAAAAACTGTATCTAATGTACTATAATTTTAACCATTTATTTCTGGAATCTATGGATTGACATTATTTGTATTTTCTTACTTCTTATTGTATATTAAAATCTGTCCTAAACTACCAATTGAAGTTGTTCTTTTGGCCCTCTGTATAGTTACTGTATTAACTATGCTAAAGCCCTATGTTCATGCTGTGAGAGATTTATTCCACTGTAAATTACTGCTATTTTCAACCTGCTAGAGTACTGAAGTACCCCCACCTCTACCACAATGTTAGCCCCTTCAAATTACATTTACACATCTTATTATTAATGTGACTAAAAAGGAGTAAAATTCTGAAACATTGAGTAAACTGATCATTAGGTACAGGAAACAGGGCAATTAAGTCTAATGCAAAGTCTCTTAACTATTTTTGAATTTTTTTTGTATTTGTTGTTCTTGACATTCTTAATATCTTATGATCTGGTGAAGTAGTGATCTTTGACTCGTAGTTGATGCTTCATTGCCAGGACCCGCAAAGGTGGACGAGATACTACAGTCAGGTTGTTGTTTCTCACTTTGTTGAACATCAAACAGCAGAATGGGCGCAACATAAGATGGTACACTAGCTCTAGTCCACTGATGAAGCTGAAGCCAGTCATCAGAGATAGCAATCCTCCGCAATTACCTGTAATAACACATGAGAAATACACTGCCCTAGGAGTAACCAGGGAGGCTTGGGTTCCATTATCAAATGCTAACTCATCTTTTCCCTGGCTTTTAACATTTTTTCCCATTTCTTATGGTTGTTCTGTTTACATTTATGCTGATAGCCTAATGTGACAAATTGGCGAATCTCAACATAGCGCCTTGTATTGCAATACCAATGGCTATAATCATATGGCTATAATGTGAAAGACAATACAATTTTAGTTTCCCATTTTGGCAGCACTGACAAGAACAGCATAATCACTGTTGTTTGTTTTGAATACGTCAAAAGTTGAACAACTCATTCACAAAATTGATCAATTAAGGTCTGGTTATTTAAACATGTTTAAATTGTTCAGTTGTTCCTTGGAATAATAATTCCTAATAAGAAGTCATAGGTACTGTTATTTGAGAGAAAAGTATGGTCAATTTAACCGTCCTACTGAGCGAACAATTCAAGACTTAATGAGATATAGTGAATTGAGGAAAGTGGAATCATTAGAGAAAGAGTAAGGCCTGTTTATCATTGGAGTACGACCAGCCAAGGCCATTTCTGTTGTGTTGTGACTGATAGAGGGAATGAAGAGTCACAATTATCAATTTTGTCACTTTGTAATCGTTCGCACACCTCACCCCCCTTTCCCACAGCCCCCACAGGCCTTTGGCTCAGCTCCCTTTAGCATATTTTGTACTTTCATTTTTGAGACATCCAGTTGACCCTAAAACTGAAATCCAGAGATCATGTACAGAGAAGAAGAATTAATTTATCCAAAATGGATATATTACAGCAGGAAGATGATACTGATTTTTTGGAAACCTTCTTCTCTGATGAGACAAATGCAATCATCTCTGGGTATGTTACTAAACAGTCTTTGCAAATATGGGAAAATGAAAATGTTCACCTCATACATGCAAAACTATAGTTGGAACAACTTCTGAGACTATAATTGCTGAGTTTTAGCGCAAGTAAATCCTAAAAATTGTTAAAAATAAAAAAAAACCATAAACAACTAATTTTAGAGAATCAACAGCTGCTGTAGGGTGGCCTTTTTGCCTGATATAGTTCTCCTGTGAATGTAAATGTCTATGATTTCGATGATCAAATAATATTCAAGCAAATATAAAATAAGAGGAATATCACTCTTAAGCACAACTTACAAAATACTCTCTAAAATAATTCTTAATAGAATAGAGAAATACGCTGCAAACATAGTGGGAGAACACCAGGCAGGATTTATGGCAGGCAGATCAACAACCGACCAGATTTTCATATTGAAAGAAATAGCATCTAAATACTGGGAATACAACAAAGACTTGTATATTCTTTTTGTTGACTTTGCAAAAGCTTATGATAGCATATCAAGACCAAAAATGTGGAAGTTGATGGAAAAACACAGGATTCCAAAGAAACTTGTCAATCTTACGAAAATGTGCACATTTAAGACCATATCAAAAGTCAAAGTAGAAAATGAATACTCAGACACCTTTAGAATTAACACAGGACTAAGACAAGGCGATGCACTATCCCCATTATTATTTAATATAGTCATTGAAGAAGCGCTGAGAGAGGTGAGCAGTCTTCAGGGAGGTGCAAAGATTAGCGGGAAGACAAACGTTCTAGCATTTGCAGACGATGTGGCACTAATAGCAGAAAATAAAAAAGATATTAAGGAGCTAGCAGAAAAGCTAATCACTGAAACACAAAAAGTGGGATTAAAAATAAATGAAGAGAAAACTAAGATAATGAAGATAAGTAGACTACCTGATAACCAACCATACTTGGAAGTCTTAAATTTTAAATTCACAAAAACTGACAATTTTAAATATCTGGGAGTGACAATAACAAGTGAAAGCAGACAAGACGACGAAATCCAATGTAGATTAGCAGCAGCTCAACGGTGCTATTGGAGTCTAACAAAACTATTTAGAAGTAGACTCCTGACCAGAAGAACTAAAATAAAGATGTATAAAGTAATAATACAACCAGTTCTACTATATGGAGCAGAAGTCTGGACACTTACAAAGCAAAATGAAAAGAAATTGATAGTTTTTGAAAATAAAATTTTACGTAGAGTGTTTGGTCCTATTAATGACAATGGTGAATGGCGGATAAGGAAGAACCAAGAATTAAGAGAACTTTATAATGACCCAGATATCATAGCAATGGTAAAGAGCAGAAGATTACGATGGCTGGGACATGTATATAGAAGAGATGATAACAGTATGATTAAGAAGGTGTGGATGGGGCAACCAGAAGGACGACGGCCGCTGGGACGGCCCAGATTAAGATGGAATGACCAAGTGAGGCAGGACCTCAGGAGGTTAGGAGCGAGTTTGGAGGCAGCAGAAGATAGGCAGCAGTGGAGGAGCATTGTTGGCGAGGCCAAAAATCACTTGGGATTTGTGTGGCCACAGGAGTAAGTAAGTAAGTAAATATAAAATGGTTTGAGTTCTATCCAAAATAAAATATAGGAAACTGAAAACGGATCACCCTTTATATTGTACTGAATTTGATGTGATGGACATCAAATATGAGTAAACGGGAAGACCTATTCAGCTGATTTAGACAATGGACGACGATACCCACAATGCACCATGCACTACGAGTGGTAGGGGAGAGCCTCCAGCCGGGGAGCGGTCACTAGTCAGTTGTGTTCCTGTTCGCTCCAAAGTAGTAGATGAGCTTTCGATCGGGTCGTGCAAATCAATTCCATTCGCAGTGTTAGCTGGACAAATTTCTATTTTCATCAAATTGTAAAGCTTATATCCCGCAGGGATATAATTGCTGTGCGAGTGAAAATAAAATCAATTCGAGAAGGGAAAAAAGTCGCAAAACTTCTTTACCAGCTAACACAAACCGCCATTGAAAATTTCACGCATTCATTGATCAAACTAATTCATTTGCGTTTTTTCGCAAAAAAGCTCACCATTTCCTCCCTCCCCTGTATCTTTGTGTTGGACGTCCAAACTGTAAGTAATATATGTTAATTATTGTCTTATTTATAATAGTTTCAGTGGGTCGCACATGCCATCATTTTTCATGTAATACTTTGTCATTTCCTGTTACATAAGCACATGTCGCCAAGTTTGAGTTTTTGTAAGTGAGTTTTATATCCATTTTTAGCTATTCAATCAATATTAAATCGTAGACTGTGATACTATTATGCTTTTAGGCTTAAATAACTGAACAGGTTTTTGTAGAGAAATTTAACGTAACTTGTAAAAAATTTTGTTATAATATTATTATTTGTAAACTCATTATTTTCACATTTTTGCACTGTTCAATCAAATATTTACTGAGAGTGTAACAGCCATGGATGTTTAAATTGGGAAATAAAATAGTTGGAAGTTGAGGTGGACTGCTGGTTCGAGGAAATAGCGACTGTAGATGTGAGCGTGTGTGTGTTGCATGATAGAAGAACCCGCCATAACACTCTGTAGCAATAAATAATAATTAATCTTTCACACCATACAATTGAGTTACAAACAGTAGTAATGTGTAACAAGTTGGACTTCGAGACACAATCTATAATTTTTTAATCGTTGGCCAACGAGGAGGATTAGTGAATGTCTGGGTCGTCTCAATATTAAATTAAATTTCACGCCTCACCGTCATTGTCGTAGTTGAATTGTAACCGCCTCAATCACTTCTCCTACCGAGGGGTTGGTTTCACGTTTTTTTTCAAGAAAGGTATCAATGGCCATTGTACTCAAGTTCTGAGTAATTAGTATCGATATTTTAAAATATTTGTTCGAGTCATTTCAGTATCAATATTAAATTGTAAAAAAATCGCATTGTTGCTCTGTTGATAAAAGTATTGTTGAATAAATCAAATTGTTATATATTTATCGAATTCTTAATGTCTTGGTCTTCTTAATCTTGGCATTTCATTTTTGGTACTATACAAATTCATTCAATAGAGGTTTGGTAATTATAGCAAGTAAGAAGCCACTACACAAGATTCACATTGAAGTGCAACACTAAAATTAGTGTGGTAGTGTGCAAAGTAGAATCAGTGTTATTTAAGATTGTTTTCAGCACTGGAAGAACTTTAAACAGTACCAGGGACATCCCCTAAGGATCTCTGGGAATAATTTAATCCTACAGGGCCCACTAAATTTTTATTTAACATCAAGCTTCCACTGCCAACGCTCTGTTGTTTATTTTTATTTACTTTGTTCTTCCAACCCAGGGGCAACCAAGATTTGTAAAGAATCAAGCATTTAAAAGTCATTTGTTGAGAACATTGTAAAGAGAGTAGTATATATTTAAATATCTATTTAAATATATAAGAGGGAGTTATTTTTCTTTTTTTCTTTACAACATCTGGACATTTGGGATGATATTTATTGGTATTGCGTATAAATAAGGGCCAAGTGATGAATAAGGATAATAAGGATCCATAGTTAAATGGTGGCTTTCAATACGCTGGAAATACATAGAGGAACTGAGATTGATACAAGCTTGTAAATCCCTGAGTGAGGTGCTGCTGTGAAATTCTTCTCTTTCTCACATATTGGGCTTTCATGCTTCGTTGAACGACTTGAATTAATAGTCTTTTAATACAGTTATTATTTCATTTGGATGACTCGGTTTGGAACCAATACAATTAACTAATACTAATAATTATTGTATATTTGCGTCAACTTATATAGTATCAATAATTACTTTAAACTTGCCTAAAAAGTCATAAAAGGAAGTTTCTGCTTGTCGTCGAACACCGAGAAATTTCAGTTTACTGTAAAATATTGATACTCTTGAGTAAGCCTGTTTAGTGTCACTGAAACAAAAAAACATGTTACTAAACCAGCATTGTTATTTTTCTGAATTATTACATTTTGTATATTTTCAATGATAAAGAGTGTAGTGTGTTCAATGAGTCTCTAACTAGTTTAATACTACTGAGGTATGTAATGTTGTATGTGCGTTGCGATGAAAAGTATTGTTCATAACTTGTACCGAAAGCTATTCTCCGACACTCGCTCCGTTATTCCCGTCATTGGCTTCGCCTCATACATGAAAATAACTCTCAAAAACTCGGCTTTGCCTTGAACGTGAAATTTGGTTTTCCTCTGTTTGGCTTTGCTTCACACATGAAACATGTGCGCGTGCCGGAAAATGCCACTTTCGGTTCTAGTAATGAAATATACTCATTCCATTGTAAACAATACAGACAAATAATGAAAACAGCTGATCTAAAAGTAGTCAAGAGAATAAAAAATATCATGTTTTTTTTATGTAATTGTTTTTCCAAAATAATTTAACTTTATTAGACTGTTATACACTTAACATACACTTTTATACACTGTGTCGATAAAAGAATGGATCAAATCTACAGCTTAACATACTTGTTGTCTACCAAGGGTTGTACAAAAGTCAGTACCTACCCTTTAACAGTACCTAATCAGCTGTTCCATTGTTGTCATATACAGTTGTCATATATGGAGGCGTAGTTGAAAGCAAAGTGTATTCAATGGTTTAGAGATGGAATCTGTGTTATTATTTTGGATAACCCAAAAATATTGGATTAATGTTTTTTTTTTATGTATGGATAGTTACTATGACATGTAAAGCTTCAAGAAAATGCATGATGACATATTCCGTCACCTTTGGGGAATTCAAAATGTCACCACTATCTTGGATTTTTACAAATATTTGTTTGACTATTTTTATATTTGTTAAGGTTGTTGTAACTTATATTGTTTAATTATGCATTTAACCACGCTGAGATCAGTGAAAGCACTCAAAATAAGTGTGTAGAAACAGGGCCGGTTTAACCCATCGATATATAAACACACATATACCATTGTTATATATCGATGGTTTAACCCATACGCAAACTACGCGGCCGCATATGGCGCCACAAAAAAGTGGCGCCGTGGCGCCAACGGAACAATTTTTTTTAAAGTGATCAACGTAATTTTGTTTATTTTTGCTCAGAGTTCAAGTATTTATTCAAAGCACCACAATAAAGGCATTTATTCTATTTGTACCAACAGCACTTGAAAAATGTGTATATTTGTACAGCACTACAACTGAAGGACTCAATGCCATTTGCAGTTTCGATTTGTAGTGAGCTGACGCTCGGCAGTCGGCAGCGTACAGCGCGGCGCCTGTCTGAGGGTTTCATTTCACGACTCGCTCATGCTCGAGATAAGCAAGCGCGCAGCGCCACTTGTCACGGATGGGCATACGGAAGGGACGATGGCTAAAGGTGTGGTGACGTCATATCTCTAGTGGCTATAATGTCTTCTCTTGAGGCGACATGATTAGCGTAACGGGACAATGTGATTCCAGTGGCGTTCGTGGCATAATTGATAGCGCATCTTACTAGTGATCAGGAGGTCTCGAGTTTCAAGACCCGTCGAGAGGCTGACTTTTTGTCAAAGAGTGACGCTGATTCGGGTGTTCGCTTAACTCTGAAAAATTCCTAGAACCGGCCCTGTGTAGAAATAATAATTTTATAGAAATCACCGCCATCTTCAATCTTACCAAATGCGTTGTTTGAATAGTATTATATTTGTTATATAGGGTTGGTTGTTATGTATCATTTCATATATTTTTAAGTTTGCTGAGATCAATGAACACTAACAATTATGTAGAAATAATAATTTCTTAGAAAACATCTTGAATTTTACAAAATATTTTTTGTTTATTTTTATATTTGTTATATGGGATTGTTGTATGTTGTGTTGCAAAAGTGTATGCTGTTTTATATGTTTTTAAGTATGGTGACTCAATGGAAACCCATAAAAGTATCTAGAAATAGTCATTTTTCGGAAATCGCCGTAATTAAAAAACAAATATAAAAAAAATTATAAAAAATATAAAAATTAAAACTATTAATAATTGGTAGTTTGTAATATATAGGTGTTGGGAATATTTTTTAAGTAGGCCTATGCAATTTTTTTGTACTAAAGTGCAAAAAACACTTGTGTGTGGGGATGCTTGTGTTTCAGTTTGTACGAAAGTGGGTTTCTCAAGTAAACAATGCAAAGAGTGAAATTCTGATATTAATGTCAAGTCCATATTATATTAGTATAAAATAAACCATTTATAAATCAGAACAAACAAACATGTTCAAACAGAGACCAGTCTGCCACTGATTCTTCAACAGAGTCTTCATCCCAGTCCACTTTTAATCAAATCATTAGAACAGGAACTGTTTAAGCTTGGCAACCTGACCAACCCCAAAACAGCCTTTGGAAAAATATCTAATGAAATGCCCTACGATGTGTGGTCAGAGATGGAAGACCGACTTGACTTTCTTAAAGCAAATAATGGAGACCATGTAGAGGTTAGGCGGTGAAACCATTGTAGGAAAAATATAGCAATTTAAGAAAAAAATGTTAATTAAAATGTTAATAAAGTTAATTTTGTATCTTTGATTAGAGGACCCATGCTGCTCTGCAGCGTTAAAATAAATATAATATCTGAGAAATAATCAAATTTATGATTTTTGATTGAGTAATACAGTATCTTGGTCTTAACTGATTCAAACTATCAATAGCTCAAATTAAAGCCTATAATTTACTGATTATTTTGAATCTAAAACATATAGAAAAACATGAACAATACTGGAGCTAATATATATAATAATTTTTATGTTGGTTGTTCACCTTGCGTTTGCTTAAAACTCGTTCGATTTGAATAACTAATAGCTTAAATGAAAGCCAGTATTTCATTGAAGGTTCTTAGACTAAAATATATAGGATTATACAATTAAAACTGGAGAAGGTACATCTTAAATTAAAGTAAGAATTAGAATATAAATCAAATTACCTATGCGTTTTGGTCGAATAATACAGAAGTTAAATATTTGCCGATGCTTTATGTGAAAACTTGGCGTGCATGCCTTCAATTTGAGACCTCAATCATGAAAATCGGTCTAGTAGAAGAGCCAAATGAACTCGGAAAAGAAAAACCAAATTTAACTCCCATAAGAAATGCATGGGGAGCAAATTTCGTTTACGTATATGCTGAGTGGGATTATAGATAAATATATGCCGATTCTTGATGGCAAATCTGTGCGTGCATACCTTCAATTTGAGACATCAATCATGAAAATCGGTCGAGTAGAAGAGCCAAATGAACTCGGAAAAGAAAAACCAAATTTAACTCCCATAAGAAATGCATGGGGAGCAAATTTCGCTTACGTATATGCCGAGTGGGATTATAGATAAATATATGCCGATGCTTGATGTCAAATCTGTGTGTGCATACCTTTAATCTGAGACCTAAATCATGAAAATTGGTCGGGTAGAAGAGCCAAATGAACTCGGAAAAGAAAAACCAAATTTAACTTCCATAAGAAATACATTGGGAGCAAATTTTGTTTACGTATATGCCGAGTGGGATTATAGATAAATATATGCCGATTCTTGATGGCGAATCTGTGCGTGCATACCTTCAATTTGAGACCTCAATCATGAAAATCGGTCGGGTAGAAGAGCCAAACGAACTCGGAAAAGAAAAACCAAATATTTTTAATATCCTTATATAAAATACGCGAAGGCGATTTATACGAAACACTACTCCTTCGTTAATAATGGATGTATTTTTACAAATGATGTGTCAAAATTAAGTATTTTTGTGTAGACACCCCCTTTCACCAATTCATGTAATAAAAGTCCTCGGGCTTTGCCCTACAGGCCATCAAAATCCCAATGTATTTCTTATGAAAAGAGAAAATTATTTTGTTTACTTAAATAGACAAATAATTTGTCTTAATTACAGCTGTTCATAGTAAACACATCATAGGTACACACAAGAGCGTTCGTTTTCAGTTTTGATAACTGGAATAGAGTGGTTGATTACATTATCTTTGAGTTTACTCTTTTAAGTCATCAGAAATAATTAAGACTGTTATTCGTTTTGAAATAATACCTGTAATACTTTGCAATTGCTTGAATTCGAGCAACAGGTGCACTAGTAGGCCTATAAGATAATAAAATTATTTATGCCAGTTTACTTTTGATCCATTCTTTTTGGGACGACTGGACCTGGTATATTTTGATACAATGAAATTGACCTGGACTATTTCTTTTGGACTTCCGAGAACACCTTGTTTTAGAAATATTGTAAACATAAATCAAAGTACAAAGGGAAACTGTACATTAAACTATACATGTTCAGTAGTTTATCTGATGAATCCATTAGATTTTATAATTAATATAAAAAAATATATGTAAAAACCCTTAAAAAAATTGTGTCTAGATTATTCATACGTAGCTTCGTAGATCCCACTTTCATTCTCGTGAAAGAACAGGTTACGGTTACTGGTAAAATCGTAAGTAAGCTCATTGCAGACGGGGTAGCAGACACATCCTTGACGCTGCTTGGCATCCTTGTCAATGGCCATCCTGCTGGACACCAGCTCCTCTGTCACAACAGTTCACTTTAGCACATCAACTCATCTAATTCATCTATGAAATACATCAAGCTTAAGAACATGATCAAGACATTTAAAAATAATCCCTCGTCCTCACTGAAACAAACGTTTTGTAGGGAAAATGTACAAGATGTTAATATTGGAGTATTTTATTTTATGAAGTATTTTAGGATGAGTTCAAAATGAGTTACAATTTAGAGGGACTTTGCATATTAACATTTTGGGTTACCTCAAAAATCTCCAAGTATCCTTTACAAAATTAAACTGTTAGTCACATGTGTTGCATACTCCTTGAGCATCTCGCAAGTGTGACCCACAAGTCTTTGCACCTGATTAGGTAGAGAAATATTGCAAAAGACCAGGAGCCAAGAGAGAGGTGGTGAAATTTGTTCTGACTCAATCAGTAGGAAGAAATAATTACATAATGTAAGCAATACATTAACATTATTTTTGGATTTTGTGCTAGTTCTAAGTGCTTGAATATACAAGTTTTCTAAGTGCTTGCTGATTAGACCAAAGAATAGTATGAACTTTATATACCAACCACTGCAGATGTTCACTTGAGCATCGTTATAATTTTGTGCCTCATACAATAATTGTGATTCTTATATAACTTATTACAGCATACAGTAAAGTTCTACATATTTCTATCAGTTGTTTATTCTTACCTACAACTTTTCTCACACAGAGATTTTCCTTATTATTCGAGCACACAGGAACAGATGAATTCCCTGCAAATTGATTGCAAATGAAACTCCCCAAAAATACATAGGAAAGGTGATTATCTTGATAAAAGTATGAATTTCACATTCACAAGTTTTGAAAATCAGTTTATACATTTTGGTTTTTAAATTTGTAGAACATTTTCTTGTAGCTTTATCCATTTTTGAATTCATAGTTAGTTGTGTAGCTAATAAGATATTTTTTCAAACGAGGTAGCTTATTTTCAAACAGTAATAAAGTGTCTTATAAGTACATAATAATGTGGCTTCAGCCAGCTCATACAGATAGCGTGATAATCAAACGTTTGGCGATCTGGATGCTCGTTAAAAATATTGCCAGTCAAATTCTCCAAAATTAATCAGTTATTTGTGTAACTAGTGGGCGACGTGGCACTTTGCTGCACTCGAGAGAAATATTTACCCACGAGCCGTAGGCGAGTGTGGAAAGTTTCTTGAGTTCAGCAAAGGCAATTTGCACTCACGTTACACATTATATTTTTCCTACAGTTATATAAAGATTGAGAATGTTAACAGGTTTTCTATCTGGATAATACCATAGATAAAACATTTAGTCTATGATAATACATTGTAGGCTCAGAGGCCATATAAGAAAATAAATGAACATCGTCCAGGAATGTGACTGCCGATTCTGCTAATCAGGGGAAGAAACACCCAGATATCTATTGGCTGAATGTGATGCAGTTGGGTAAAAGAGAGCCAAGAGGGTGGGAATGAACCAAGTAGCAGTTGGAGATTTTTCACAGTAACACTACCTGACGCTGAACTTCATTAAGGAGTTAGAATTGGAGGGCGTTCTGTAGGCAAAGACTGGAGACTATTTTGGAGGACACTGGGACACAATATATCTTACACTTGGCTGTGTAATATATATTCCCCACAGGTATCATCAGTATCAGTATCAGTATGCCTATTACCATAGATAAAACATATTGGTTAGTCTATGCTATTACCATGGTAATAACAGAAATAACAAAAGGAAAAATACAAACATTGCCTATATGCTCCATTATAAATTACTGATCAGCTGTTTCAGTTTGCTGGGACAGCGGTGTTGCCACTTTTGTCTCGCTGCGGTCTTGTATTAGAGGAGGCTATGATTATATCCATAGACAAAAATAATTAAATATAGACTGTCAGCCATGCTGCGGTTACCATAGTTACCATAGTTTATGGCCGCGTAACTACAAGGCGCTCCTAGCGGTGTGCGTCAGAACCCATGGTAATCGCAGCACAGCTGACGGTCTATATTTAATTCTTTATTTCTATGTTATATCAGTAAGGCCCATTGAAAAATATATTCTGTAATTTAGATGTATAAAACATATTGCCAAGAGTGCTGGTAGGAATATTATAATTTGAGAAATGAGAAATGCCTAATAAATAAAACAAAATATTACAGATTTGTAATAATTAACTCATAATACTAGTACAATCATAATTATAGCACTCTTGGTGATGATTTGTTTTAATTACTTAGACTTATTGTTTTGTATAATTTATGCATCATTGAACTAACTTGGAGCGTAGAAGCCAACACAGCCACATGACGTGATTGCTTCATCTATGATGCACTGTACGACACAGTTAGTGATTGAGTATATTTTAAAGTTGTCCAGTTTCATCTCCCCCTGGTACAGACAGCCTCTAGATCTGTGGTCTGTGTGAAGGTAGTCGAGAGGAGTGCGTATTGTGATTGGAGAAAGATAAATTTTAAAGTCACGTTTCATTGGAACTTTCAATGCTTGATGTGTATATATTGGCAACTCTGCTGGTGACTGAACCACAACCTAAACAAAGATAATAATACTCTTTAAACATCTGTCAAAGGTAGGCTAATGAGTGAGTGTGACTCAAAGGTAAAAGAAGAGTGAGTGTAGAATAATTACTTAGTGACTATAAGACTAGCATACTTGAAAATTAGAGTAGGTTGTGAAATTTCACTTATGTTCAGTTCAAACTCCCACCTCCTTCTTTAGAAGTTGAGATGCACCATTTGGTAGTCTGCCAGTGCAAATGTTTGAATTATGGTTTACTATTGATCTATTGTACAAATGTATCTGATAATGAGGACTGTTGTATTTGACCTTAAACCCCTGGTGACCTCCAACGCACAGGTCTTGCCAGTCGTCCATGTTCTGCCGCAGCTCTACGCTGAGACCGAGGTCTTCCCCAGTCTGGGAACTCCACCTCGGCAGTGTGCTGTAACGAGGGTCTTTTCTTAGGTCTGGCTGTGGGTAACCATTCATGGGTGACCAGTACCGAGAACTCTTTGGATAACTGTCATTGAACATGAACTGCTTCATTCTGCACAAAGAAAAAGGTTTTTTTCTAAAACACAAAATACTCGGATATTTTGTTTTTGAGATTCAGGTGGTTAAGAAATTTATAGATATGAGTTTTGGAGCGGGCATTGTAGCAATAAGGTTGAGTTACTAAAAAAGAAAATTGGGAGGCATGGCTGAAGGAAAGTTTTTCAGGGGATTGGATGCTTGATCTGGGGATGCCAAGAGTAGACAAATATGAGTGACTAGAGGAGTTTCAACCGAGCCAGAGAGGAAAGTATGGATGGTGGATTGTTGTGGACACAGATTAATAAATGAAGGATAGTACGGAATCAAATTTGAGCCTGAGGTAAGTGCAGGTCTTTTTCATGGTCGGACAGATGTTACCGTAATATATAGTATCAGACTTGGTTTTGGCAAATTTGCTAGTTGTAAAAAAAAGAGTTGGATTTTGGAACTATGAAGTGGATTCCCCATCAGAGACAGTGAGAGAGGTTGTTGTGTAGGATTTTTTGGTGGTTTTTGGGGATACATTTTATTTATTTATATGAGACCTGGAAAGCGGGTCAGTAAACTGAACACAACCGTTGGAGGTTTTTAGTTGGGCCTTTGGGAAAAGGAGGGGAAGGTCTCAGACATAAATAAGGTTTAGAAGTGTACTTAAGTATATAAGTCGATCCACTAATCCTAAAACATAAATAATAGATGGTATAAGCAAACTTACACATATACTTCCTCCCATTAGCTTGTCAAAAATCCTTATAATAGGTAAGTGGGGGAAAGTAACTATGATAGTCTATGGGTAAAATCACGCAAATTGCAATAACTTTTGAACAATGATGTTTAGAGCATCGGGAGTATAGTTTTCTTTATACGGTAGTTAAAAAAGGACCACAACATTCTAAATTTTAATCAAAATCAAAGCTTAAAAAACTGTCTTGTCATTAATTAGATTTATGGAAAAAAAAAAAAAAAATGAAAAAGACTCCTGGAGATACCATAGATTATTACGCACATACTTACATATCATAACACAGAAATCAATTTGAAAGAATCTTTTTGGGTTCAGGATGATCCTAAATGGATAATTTCACCCAAAACTTAAACTAAAAAATTTAGCAAAAAAATAGATAAAGGAACCAGTAATGGTGGAGGAACATTACATTAAAACTACACTATATTCTTGAAATTAAAAAATTAAAAAAGGTATAGCATATTGTAATGATAAACACCTCAGATTAATAAGGTTTTAATAAAACAACAAGTATCCTAACAATTTGTGTTTTGACTAAATGTAAACAAAGATTAAATCATATGTTTTACAATACAATAGTTTTGAACAAATTAAACAAGGAACAGAAGGAAGGCAAAATATTATGACATTCTTCCCGGCTTCATTTTGACAAATCAGACGGTCAGGTGGCCTGCATTCTCGACCAGGGGCCCATTTCATAATAAACTACAAGCTACAAGTTACAACTTGTAACTTGTAATTTCCATTAGATTTGCATTGGGTGATCAGCTGATTTACTAATAATATTAGTTTGTACTTTATTATGAAATGGGCCCCAGGTTGCCGCTTTAGAGCCGTTTGTATACTTCCATTTGGTTGAGAGGTTGATTGATTTGATGGATCAGGTTCTTGAACTTGATCAATGTCTGTTTCATGATCTATGGGAGATCCGTTATCCTTCCCGTAAGGAGCCAGGTGCCTCAAGGAAACGGTTGATTCTCTGCCATCTCTTGAACGGATTCTGGCGTATTGAGGACCGGCATTGACTAGATCCACAACTTGCAGGTGAATACTTGCTGGAATGGTTGAACTTCTTCAGCAATACAGGTCCTGGTGCTGAGATTCACATGGGTAAGGATTGGCCATAAAAGGATTTCCTCATGTGGTTGAACATCCTTTCATGTGGAGTAGCATTTGTCACAATACAAAGCAAACTGCATATGGAGTGCAGCGCCTCTTCTAACACTTTTTCCCATTGACTAACATGCAAACTGTGAGTTTTCAAAGCAAGGTTCACTGTCTTCCATATGATGCCATTATACCTCTCAGCCTGTCCATTTCCTCTGGGGTTGTAGGGCGTTGTACGACTGGATGCGATTCCACAGGAGTTAAGAAATTGTTGAACCTCTTGGGACAGGAAAGAGGTTCATCTATCGGAGTGAACATAAGAAGGCATTCCAAAAAGATAAAAGAGACTTTGTAAGTGTTTGATTACTGTTGATGAAGCCGTCAGCACAAGGAAAAGCGAACGGGAATCGAGAAAATTCATCTACAACAGTTAGTATGTACTTGTTTCTTGTTGAAGATGGCAAAGGGCCCTTGAAGTCAATATTCAGTCTTTCAAAAGGTGCTGTTGCTTTCATTAATTGCCCTTGAAACTTACAGAATCTCGGTTTCAACTAGGCACACACCGTACAAGATGAAGTCACCTTCCTAATATCGTCAAGTGAAAATGGGAGATTTTTTGTTCTAACCCAGTGATGGAGTCTCGTGACACCTGGATGACACAGTGAATTGTGAATGTCTTTGAGACTAAGGCTTCCTGTAACAGAACAAACACAAGAGAGAGTATCGGCAGTTGAGTTTTCTACACCCGGTCTGTAAACTATATTGTATTTGTAACACGAAAGTTCCATGCGCCATCTTTGGATTTTTTCATTTTTATTTTTCCAGAGGCCTTGTTGTCAAACATGTAAGCGACCGACTTTTGGTCTGTGATTAACTGAAAAACCCTTCCTACAAGATAATACCTCCAGTGCTTTAATGACTCCACAATTGCTTGAGCTTCTTTTTTTACAATGGGATGTTTCCGTTCGGTTGGTGTCAAACTTTTGGAGAAAAAGGCAACGGGTCTTCCCCCCTGGGATAGAGTCGCGCTCAGGGCGTGGTCAGAGGCATCTGTTTCCACCAGCAAACACATAAGAAAATAGAAGAGCTACTCGGGGCGCTGGAGCGTGGCAGTCTTACTAGTCGGCGAAACGGACAAAGATGGCGGCGCTAACTTACCTGTCGAGTATGTTTTCTGTGCTGTCGGGGAAATAAATATGTGCACTCGAGTTTGAGCCTATCAGGAATGAATTATCCAATTTTGTTGTAACAAAAATTAAATATAAGCTGGTTTAAATACATTTTACGTGGTAATAATAAAATAAATTGCGTTTACCAGAAAAATTTATATTGTTGAAAGATCCTAAAAAGTACCGGTTTTTAAGAAACTCTGCACTAACACTGAAGTTTAAAATTTAATTGTAAACAAACCACTGAGCCAATCTTTCTGCAATTTTTATGGCTGTGTGTAAAAGCAATGTCAGTGTGATGCCAGGGACACATCAGCAACGTCGCAGATTCGCATGCGCCACCGCCCGGCTGGGAAATATCGTACAAACACCAGGCGGCCCGCTGCCAGTCGCGGGAGAAATTTTTGTTTACAAATATATGTCTGTTTAAAAAACACCTTTGTTCGCATTTTAAATCTGTCATATTGGTGTTATTTCTTGAGTCATGACAAACGCGATGGTATTTTGAACAAATTTTTTTGCGTCTTATTAACGATGTTAGCATACGTTTTAAAAACAAACATCAGCATAAAAACTATTGTGAGTAAAAATGCATGGAACTGTTAACAATAAACCTACCAGTTAGCCATAAAAATTTCAGAAAGATTGGCTCAGTGGTTTGTTTAAAATAAAATTTTAAACTTCAGTGTTAGTGCAGAGTTTCTTAAAAACCGGTACTTTTCAACAATATAAATTTTTCTGGTAAACGGAAATAGTTTTAATTGTTACTACGTAAAATGTATTTAAACCAGCTTATATTTAATTTTTGTTTCAACAAAATCGGATAATTCATCTCAAGAGAAATTTAGGCTCAAACTCGAGTGCACATATTTTCCCGACAGTAGTCCCGGCGTGTGCAGTGCGCTAGTTGTCTGCTATGCTTGATGAGAATAGTGTAGATATAAAGTTAATGATATTAGTGTAAAGGAAAACAATGTAATTGAGGACTTGACGAACAAAGTACCCTACTTGGACAATGTGTAGGAGTAAATTTGTTTCCAAATAGTACACATTTCTCAGGATATGAAACAATATGGACAAAAATCATTTTCGTTTAGTACCTAATTAAAATGATTGCTCAAAAATATTTCAATTTTAGAGTTCGCTACTACTGTAAAATAAGTAACAAAAGTCTTCACAAAAATCAAATCAGACAACATCTCAATAAAACTGTAATTTTTCTGGGACAATATATTTGAAAATGTCTTTAATAACTACAATATTACAGTACAACAGTATAAGTAAAACATTAAAACACTGCACAAGACGACGGCCCGGTGGCGCAGCGGGCGTGGCGCCGAGCAGCGGCAATGGATCCCTTTTGTACCTGATTTTTTTCAGAATACCGAACATGATAAATATTTTGGTGAATCGGATAGTAAAATTTGTTTATTTATCCACAACTTTCCCACTGACAAAATTTCTCTGACCAAAAAATAAAAAATGTCCTCGCAATACAACTTTTTCATGTCTGAATCTGAAAAATTAAACTACATAAGTGTTAAACATATTTATAACTCAATTACTATAAAAACTAATAATCATATATTAACACCACCGGTTTCTTCAGTATCATATCTACAAGTGTGCAAATTTTCAGAATTTTTTGTCAACTATTAATGTTTAGGTTCGTGTATTTGTCGCGGGGTTTTTAATGCGAACTGAGCTCGCGGATCTTGGATTCAGGCTGTTAAACGGACCAAGATGGCGGATTTGGCCACACTATCATCAGTGCATTTGGTTAAACGCCGTGTCCTCTCTATTTTATTATGTGCTTGCTGGTTTCCACAGTGAACTGTTCTTCATCATCAATTGGTGACTTGAATGCTTCTGATATATCTGATTTCAGTTTGTGAAAGGCTTGGATGGATTCTGGTGGTAGAGGAAGGCTTTGATTATTACTGAATGCTTTGTATTTTCTTCGAAAACTTAGGAATGAGATTTGCGCAGTGAGCAAACATCCCCATGGCTCGTCGAAGAGCTGCTATGTCCTTTGGTACTGGGAGTTCCATGAGTGGTCGGAGACGTTCAGGATCAGGTTTGATGGAACGATAAGATATCAGGTACCCAAGTAAGTTTATTGACTTCTGGCGAAACTTACTTTTTTCATTGTTGATCGTCAAATTATACTTGTGGGAAACCGCTAGGAAGGCTTCAAGGTTCCGATCATGTTCTTCTTCACTGTCTCCTCCAATAGTAATGTCATCTAAATAAACCTTGGTTTTTACTAGTTTTTCCTGTGGTATGATTTCGTTAATGACTCTTTGGAAAGCAGGCACTCCGTTAGTTACTCCGAACGGGATTCGTTTGAATTGGAATAATCGACCATCTGCCTCAAAGCCGGTGTATGGTTTCTCACCTTCCACAATTGGTATTTGATGATACGCTGAGCTCAGATCTATGGTGCTATAAAATTTGTACTTAGCCACCTCGTTGACAATTGTTTCAATTTTCGGCAAAGGATACACGTCTAGCTCAGTGAATCTATTGACAGTTTGAGAGTAATCAATAACCATCCTCTTCTTCTTGGATTCTCCCTAAAATCAACCAGAACTTGTGCTCTCCAAGGTGATTGACTCTCTTCTATGATACCCTCTTGTTGCATTCTATTAACTTCCGATTTTATGAACTCACTATCTTCAGGTGAAAACTGTCTCGACTTAATTGCGATATAGGTTTACAGTTGGGAGTTAAATTTGTGAACAACTGAATCGGTTCAATTCCAGCTTGAGCAAGGCCACATATCTTGAGAGGAGCACTGTTTCCACCAAATTTCAAGACTTGAGTGATTTCGTAAGATATCGTGGCCAATTATAACGTCAGCCCACAGATTTTTCATGACATACAATTTTACATCCTCATAAACGTTAGGTACCTGAAAGTTCTAACTTTGCCAGACAGACCTCATTTATTTCAGAATTAAGTGATGTGGATGCCATAGCTAGGCTACACTAAGTTTTCCAGGACGACATGACAAGTTGTAATGTTGAACAACCTGTTTGCTGACAAAACTCTCAGAACTTCATGTACCAATCAAAGCATCAGCCAGAGTAGAGTTTACCTTTACTGATACTGTAGCTTTAGATAAGACCGGAGGGGATGAAGCACAAACACTTTTTGAATTATTATTTGACGGTGCACAAATACTAGCAGAATTTCGCCCCAAGGGTTTAGACATTATCTAGGCCTACATTATCTTTCTTTGATCTACAGACACGTCTGAAATGGCCAATTTTATTGCAATTATAGCATTTGAAGTTTTTTGCAGGACTAACATCATGCTTATGTCTGTTTTCTCCACAGAAATAACACTTCTGAAACGGTAATGCAGCTGAAAACAAAGTATTGTCCCCCAAATTTGCTTCGTTAGGTGATTGGCTTGAGTTCGCACTATTGCTATCTGCGCGATTTGACTGCGTGATTTGAGTGGTGGCATCTACAGTTTAAGTACGACTCTGCTTGAACTACTTTAAACTACTCTGCTAGGCCTACTTCGATACTCCTTTCTTGGTCAAAAGCTTCTTCAAGCAACAGTGTTGATTTCTCTAACAATCTTTGTCGTATATAATTTGATCGAAGCCCAGTGATAAAAGCATCTCTGATATTTTCACTGTGATTCTGTTCCGCCGTAACTGATTGAAAGTTACATTCTTTACTAGTGATTTTCAGTGATTGGAAAAATTCATCTAATGATTCCTCAGCCCCCTGCATTCGCGTGGCAAGTCGATGCCGGGCATAAATTTCATTCTTAGGCTTTACATATAATTTTTTTAAAATTTCAATTGCTTCTTGACATTTTTTGCATTCTGATATGAAGCCGTAAACGTTTGGTCCAACAAAGTTTACGAGAAAATTAAGTTTCATCTTGTCATTTGGTGCAGGCGTCAAGGAATCAATGAAATTGCCAAATGTTCTGTACCAGTGTATCCATTCTTCTTGTGCATTTGTTTGTATTAGGGTCAATATTAAGTTTCCCGGGCTTCAGAAGTTTATTCATTGTCTTCAGTTCGTTGTTGAGTTAGTTGATTAAATTGTAATGATAAACACCTCAGATTGGTAAAGTTTTAATCAACTAAAACTGTACTACAACAAGTATCCTAATATTTTGTGTTTTGACTAAATGTAAACAAAGATTAAATCATATGTTTTACAATACAATAGTTTTGAACAAATGAAACAAGGAACAGAAGGAAGGCAAATAATATTTTGACACATATTATATAGTAAATACCATTGACTATTGTAGTCAAAGATAATACATATTAAAATGTGAAATCCTAAAATTATTCTCTTTAGTTGTTAATACTAACGTATTATCTGCTAAGTGAAGGTTAGACGGTAGGGAGTTGAACACATAGCAGATTCCAGAGTTTGTGACAACAGGTTTGAAGCCTTCACAGCAAGGGAACTTCACTCCTCGCCAGCTGCAAGAGGTCATCAGCTCCTTACAGGTGGGACTCACCTAGAACATGTAGCAGATAACAGTGATTGTGACAACAGGTGTAAGGCCTTCACAACATGGGAACTTCTCTCCTCGCCAGCTAGAAGAGCTCATCAGCTCCTCACAGGTGGGTCTCACCTAGAACATGTAGCAGATACCAGTGATTGTGACAACAGGTGTAAGGCCTTCACAACATGGGAACTTCTCTCCTCGCCAGCTAGAAGAGCTCATCAGCTCCTCACAGGTGGGTCTCACCTAGAACATGTAGCAGATACCAGTGATTGTGACAACAGGTGTAAGGCCTTCACAACATGGGAACTTCTCTCCTCGCCAGCTAGAAGAGCTCATCAGCTCCTCACAGGCAGGGTCTCACCTAGAACATGTAGCAGATACCAGAGATTGCGACAAGAGGTGTAAGGCCTTCACAACAGGGGAACTTCTCTCCTTTCCAGCTACAAGAGCTCATCAGCTCCTCACAGGTGGGTCTCACCTAGAACATGTAGCAGATACCAGAGATTGTGACAAGAGGTGTAAGGCCTTCACAACAGGGGAACTTCTCTCCTTTCCAGCTACAAGAGCTCATCAGCTCCTCACAGGTGGGACTCGCCTAGAAAATGTAGCAGATACCAGTGATTGTGACAAGAGGTGTAAGGCCTTCACAACATGGGAAATTCTCTCCTTTCCAGCTACAAGAGCTCATCAGCTCCTCACAGGTGGGTCTCACCTAGAACATGTAGCAGATACCAGAGATTGTGACAAGAGGTGTAAGGCCTTCACAACAGGGGAACTTCTCTCCTTTCCAGCTACAAGAGCTCATCAGCTCCTCACAGGTGGGTCTCACCTAGAACATGTAGCAGATACCAGAGATTGTGACAAGAGGTGTAAGGCCTTCACAACAGGGGAACTTCTCTCCTTTCCAGCTACAAGAGCTCATCAGCTCCTCACAGGTGGGACTCGCCTAAAAAATGTAGCAGATACCAGTGATTGTGACAACAGGTGTAAGGCCTTACAAAACCTGTTCGCAAAACCTTGGCTATCTGGTGTAGGCTGGGTTGTCTGGAAATATTAAGGAGTGACTATTTACACAAGACAAAACTTCTCTGCAGAAATGAAAAAGGGCAGTATATTTAAAATGTTATTTCGTCTCAACCCTTAAATTACGCCACTTTTCATCAATAATTTGTTGTGTAGGATTAATGTGGTACTTGTCGGGTTTGCATTTAATTTATTTATAGGATGTCCAGAAAGCAGTATCATTAGCAATCTGAACACAACACAGCTTGAATGTGGGGAACATTTATTTTTTTATATTAAACTTACATATTCTATTCAAACATGTAAATGTACAATAAATTATGATAATATAAAACTTAAAAATATATCAAATGAGCACTCCAATAGATATAAATCACTGCACTTTGATTATTGACAAATAAGATTATTACCCACTTAAGAACAAGACACATAAAAAACAAATGTTTTTGGCGTTTGCTCCTCACCTTCACAAGGAAATCATAAAACTTGTCCATCTGTTTACGAGTAATGGTGAGATTCTTGCCCTTAAAGAGTTCTCTGTTTTTACAAACCAGGCTGGAATAATAAAGTTTAACCCTAAAACAAGACACACGATCAACTACAGCACATGTATGAATTTTATATTGGTGAAATAAAATACCCTCATCTTACATGACAAAACAAATTAGGCCTGATGAAATTATATTTTTTGGAAGCTTGTTATTGTTGAACATTTTTTACATAAAAATATCTCATTGGAATTTTACTGTAAGGTTTAGGTATAGGTTAAGGTATAGGTATAGGTTTATGTCATCTTTTTCATTGTCAGTGACTGAGGAGATGTGTCTTATCGTACAACACTATGTTCACCCATCGTCTGAGGAGAGGTGTTTTATCATTCAACACTACATTCACCCATCGTCAGTGACTGAGGAGATGTGTCTTATTGTACAACACTATATTCACACATCGTCAGTGACTGAGGAGATGTGTCTTATCGTACAACACTATACCTACACATCATCATTAACTGAGGAGATGATTCTTATCTTACAACATTATACCAAAACATGGTCAGTGACTGAGGAGATTTGTCTCATCGTACAACACTATATTCACACATCGTCATTTATTGAGGAGATGATTCTTATCGTACAACAAGATACTTACACATCGCCAGTGACTGAGGAGATGTGTCTTATCATACAACACTATATTCACACATCGTTATTGACTGAGGAGATGATTCTTATAGTACAAAAAGATACTTACACATCGCCAGTGAATGAGGAGATGTGTCTTATCATACAACACTACATTCACCCATTGTCAGTGACTGAGGAGATGTATCTTATCGTACAACACTACATTCACCCATCGTCAGTAACTGAGGAGATATGTCTTATCATACAACACTACATTCACCCATTGTCAGTGACTGAGGAGATGTGTCTTATTGTACAACACTATATTCACACATCGTCAGTGACTGAGGAGATGTGTCTTATCGTACAACACTATACCTACACATCATCATTAACTGAGGAGATGATTCTTATCTTACAACATTATACCAAAACATGGTCAGTGACTGGGGAGATTTGTCTCATCGTACAACACTATATTCACACATCTTCATTTATTGAGGAGATGATTCTTATCGTACAACAAGATACTTACACATCGCCAGTGACTGAGGAGATGTGTCTTATCATACAACACTATATTCACACATCGTTATTGACTGAGGAGATGATTCTTATAGTACAAATAGATACTTACACATCGCCAGTGAATGAGGAGATGTGTCTTATCATACAACACTACATTCACCCATTGTCAGTGACTGAGGAGATGTGTCTTATCGTACAACACTACATTCACCCATCGTCAGTGACTGAGGAGATGTGTCTTATCGTACAACACTATACACATCGTCAGTGACTGAGGAGATGTGTCTTATCGTACAACACTATACCTACACATCATCATTGACTGAGGAGATGATTCTTATCTTACAACATTATACCCAAACATGGTGAGTGACTGAGGAGATTTGTCTTATCGTACAACACTACATTCACCCATCGTCAGTAACTGAGGAGATATGTCTTATCATACAACACTACATTCACCCATTGTCAGTGACTGAGGAGATGTGTCTTATCGTACAACACTACATTCACCCATCGTCAGTGACTGAGGAGATGTGTCTTATCGTACAACACTATACACATCGTCAGTGACTGAGGAGATGTGTCTTATCGTACAACACTATACCTACACATCATCATTGACTGAGGAGATGATTCTTATCTTACAACATTATACCCAAACATGGTAAGTGACTGAGGAGATTTGTCTTATCAAACAACACTACATTCACCCATTGTCAGTGACTGAGGAGATGTGTCTTATCGTACAACACTACATTCACCCATCGTCAGTGACTGAGGAGATGTGTCTTATCGTACAACACTATACACATCATCATTGACTGAGGAGATAATTCTTATCTTACAACATTATACCCAAACATGGTAAGTGACTGAGGAGATTTTTCTCATCGTACAACACTATATTCACACATCGCCAGTGACTGAGGAGATGTGTCTTATCGTACAACACTACACACATCATTCACACATCGTCATTGACTGAGGAGATGATTCTTATCGTAGAACAAGATACTTACACATCGCCAGTGACTGAGGAGATGTGTCTTATCGTACAACACTATATTAGCACAACGTCATTGACTGAGGAGATGATTCTTATCGTACAACACTATATTTACACATCGTCATTGACTGAGGAGATGATTCTTATCGTACAACAAGATACTTACACATCGCCAGTGACTGAGGAGATGTGTCTTATCGTACAACACTATATTAAGACATCGTCATTGACTGAGGAGATGATTCTTATCGTACAACAAGATACTTACACATCGTCAGTGACTGATAGGTCCAAGACAGATCGCTTGACTGTCACAAAGCTGCACACAACTACAGCAGGGAAGGGGATATCCCAGATAAAGCTCAGATCTGAGTCGTACACAATCATGAAGGGAGTGTGCATAAACTGTAGAAATGCGTTGTGCATTATATATGAGCTTAGAATAAGGTTGAGTATGAAAACTGCCATCCAGAACACCCTGCCAAAAACCATTTCGTACAATGTATTAAACATATTATAAACAACATTGTTCTAACATACTAACAACCATAGTCCATATTTTTGTAATCAATGATTATATTTTATGAATTGAAAGCTTAAATGTCATTATCTTAAGTTAAATATACGGGAACATTTCTACAGTTTACAGTTACTTAGGTAATTTTTTGACAATATTTAAACCTATTTCAATACCTACACTTAATTAGCAATCATATCAAATGCATCTTTATCCTGCAAATTGACATTATATGACAAAATATCGCTTATCTTGCTTCATGGTTTTGAACAAAACCATTTACAATTCTGCATTAAAATTTAATCCCCCACACTAGTAAATAGTTTCTTCCTTCCTCCACTAGGTTCTTTAGTGAATAATTCACACTTATTGTCTTTCACTTTTAAAAATTATTTTTTTGGGTCAGTACTAGTTTACATTTTCTGTAAGTAGCCTATTCAGTTACTTTTACCTAATCAAAACCTCGTTTCTCTTTTTCACATGCTAACTATGCTGTACTGTGTTGCTAATCCTCCTCGTCTACAGTTCCATGGATATTTGTTTTTATTTATAGACTTTGAGTATTATGATGTAATATAAATCACCGTAAGAGGTTGGATAATGGTAAGGGTGAATGATGTTGATGATACATGTACACAATCTTATTTGAATTTAAGTATTGCATATACTTGGTGAAGTTCTCTTAAATTACTCATTTATTAGCCTTTATTTTCCCCACCTCTCAGTAAATGGAAGTGAATTGTCACTCCTCAGGTATGGCAGTCCGTGCAGACAGCTCAGTTGA